GAACTGAGCATTCCTTCTCTATCTTCTTTCTCCTGTCCTTATCCCACCGTGGTGGGATTGGCCCAACATGTGCAGCCCGACACCTGGGGAATTACCACGCCCTCGCAGAGGAGTGAAGTGAGGTACCCGGGGCCCACTTTTTAATGAGTGGCAACTAATCTGCAACCCCACAGGTGTCGCAGAGGTCCATGGTTCACGGTAAACGCTTAATATCAGGTGAACTGCCAGCTTTAGCTTGACCCGTTGCAACTTTGTCCATTTTAGATGCAATAAATAACGGAAATAATCGCGAACAAGTTAAAAATGGACGCCCCACAGATTAGCCCCGCAAACAATCAGTAGATCATCAAAAGGCATCCAATTATACTCTGACTTAAGCATCTCCCTGTGCCATTTTAATATCTTGCAAGCGTGGAGGCTAAGCTTCGAACAATGAACCATAAAAAGAGCAAATTTTCGTTACTCTGCTGATACTCTTATCTCCGTATATTAATCATTGCTTTGTTATTAACTAAGTATGGCACGTTAATTAATACTCTCTCACATTAATCTACCCAAATTATTAACGAATTGTGTAATTACGCGAAATGAAAATACGCATACCGAAGGCGAGGGACGCGCGAAGTTTAGATAATAATAGGCGTGTACAAACTTAATATGCTTTCGTTCTTAAATAATTGTGGTAGGGCCACGCAACAATCCCTATTGCACGAATGGGTAAATCCGGGGAAGTACCATGACCTCATAGAAAACCGGCGTAAAGTGGAAATGTTATACTTCTGCATTTAGTCTGGTGAGTGATGTAGCCGGGGTCCACTTAATTAAAAGGTGGCAATACGTCTGCAACCCTACGGGTGTTGCAAATGTCCGTGGGCGGCGGTTATCAATTAACGTCAGGTGAACCGCCAGCTTACTTGCCACATTCTCACATAAACGAAATCGTATTAAAAAAAAGAATCTTATGGCTTGTAGTCTGTGTAGTTGCAGGAATGGGCAGATCTATCCGGGTAAGTACCACGACCTCACAGAAGACTGGCGTGAAGTGAAAGTAGTAAACTTCTGCATTTCGTCTGGTGTGTTAGTTAGCCGGGGCCAACTTTTTTAAAAAGTGGCAACGCACATGTAGCAAAAATGTCAATGGGCGGCGGTTATCACTTAACATCAGATGAACCGCCAGCTCGTTTGCCTAGGGTGGCCACATATTAGGGGTGGCCAATCGTGACAAAAAATTCACCGATGATAATAATATAAACGATAGACTCCGAGGAAAGGGCGGCTGGCTGCGGCTTTAAAATATAACGGGTGAATATAAAATGCTTTGAACTTTCATAATGTTATAGTATATATGCAAATGTTTTAAATTCAGATAATAATGATTCATGTTTACCTTTATTCCAGGAAAGTAATACCATTGCGATAATTGCTTTATACATTAGCAATGGCGTCCAAACGGCGCCACTGAGATATTAAGTAAAACGGAATTGTCGAAATAATTACAAATAATTACTATTGTAATTGCATTAATAACTTTTTCCTGGGAATACGATCGTTTTGTTTGTAAATAATGTCCCGCAAAATATTAGCATTTAGTATTGAAATGAACAATTTGTTGGCGATTTTGTATCAGGAAAACATCCATTAAGTGTATCCGTTAAGTTTATTACAATAACAGTAGGTGTATATATTATGCAAGGGACAAATACCTGTTAGAATACATCGGAAGACGATAGTCTCAAAACTAATTAGGTTTTTCTTGTGTCGACTTTATTAAGGTTACGTTTTTAGGTAAATTGGTGTCATTTAAATCAACGGTATGATGCGACAGCAAAATATTAATTTTGTAAGGTTGACTTCTTATTCTATCCTATTTATATCTCACTGTTCTGAATATTCTGAAAATTCACTGTGAAAGTTAGAAATCATGTTAGCTCTAATCCGCCAATCAATTTCGGAGTTCCGCAGGGTAGTGTTCTGGGTCCAACACTCTTTCTTATATATAACAATGACGTCGTGGATGCAGTTGACAAGCAATCTGACGTTGTTTTTATACCGATGACACGGAAATAATATTTCATGGAGAGTCTTGGTCGGATATAATCTTAAGGGCCGAACACGAATTGGGTAAGGTTTCAGGATGGTTAAACAATAACTTCTTAACCCTTAATACAGAAAAACAAAAATTATATGTTTCCATAAAACTAGAGCCTCACAACCTCGAAAACCTATTTCTATAAAAATCCACTCTAAAATCCAGATAAATTTTTACTTATAAAAATAAGCAGATGTATACATTAATTATATCATTGGTGATTAAATAAACTCTGATGCAGATTTTATTTAATCAATTTATTGTTGCTTTCATTAAACCTTTCATTTAAAAATCAAGCATTAAAACACTGGACAAAATAGCACGCTATTAAACGAAAATCCGACTAAGGCTAATAAAACCTTCGTGAGCTGCATCAAAGTTTATGTTAGTTTTTCCTTTAATAGTGACTTTGCAAACGAAGTCACGTCAAGCTGGGCGCAAACACATGTACTGGCCATTACGATATTCGCGGCAAAATCGTTTGTTCATGTACTGACGCCATCCATTGCTTTTGAAATGAGGCATCGTGTAAATCTGTGCACCCCACCTCAGCAATGTAGTCGGTAACCGGTGTCATTACAGTGTAACAAAATCGCGTAAGAAGTGTCGGAAACGGAAGCGTCAGGTTGTGCCGGTAATGAATTCGCGAGGGCGGGCGGCGTAGGGTAACAAATTGCCCGTAGTTCTTTTGTTTTGATTTTAAAGCTACAGTTTGACTTGGCTAAGTTATGGCGGCGTGGGAAGTGAAAGATAAGCGTTCAGTAGTTAATTTTGTACGTTCGTTATTACTCGTGCTTTCTTGTAATACATCGTACCCGTGGGTTCTGGCTAGCCCACCGGTTCTGCGTCCGATGAAGCTTTAATAGTCTCGGGACTGAAAGCAAAAACATCAGTTAATACAAGAATACATCGTTTTGGCACATTTTCAATGGAAAAGATAGGTTTTAGCTCCATTGGCGCCATTTCTATAGTTATTTGTTTGCATTCATTTTTATAACACATAATCATATAAATGAAATATTTTAAAATCAATTTAATAATATAAAATAATTTGTAATGTTAAGCAAAATAAATTATACAATACAAAATAACTTAAATTATTGACCAGTTGTACCAGAAATGAAATTTTCAGTTTTACTGGCTGGCAAGAAAAAAAAACAATGATGACAATATTGATCAGACAAGACAGTGTCAGCAACTACGTTTGTTCAAAAATCGAACATTATAGATGGCAAACAAATTGTAGTGTCATTCGGGGCGTACTTGAAAAAAAGTATAAAGGACAAAGCCGACGCCAACCGCAAATCGCTCACCAAACACGAGGCGCGATGGATAACAATTATTAAGTTGATTACCGCACCGCGGCGCGTCTAATAATTCACTCCACGGCCTAAACTCTATAATTACGCCCCGTGGAAGCGTCCGCTTACTGCTTGAGATTGGAATCGAGCTCGCACGCTCTCGACTGAGACACGACCTCCCCGTTCCCCCTGCCCCCCTTAATTACCACCCTTAGTTTCGACAATGTAAACAATTATTTTCGCAGGCGTTGAACATGTCCCTGTAACTTATATACATATTATCGATTGATTGAGGCTAACCTGCGATCTAATTGGATTATAAATGAAACTGTACGAATATGATCGCTACTAGAATATTATATATGCTGCATCCTGCAACAAATTTGCACTATGGTAGAACCATGATAACCTACTTAAGCTCCTACTACACGGGCCAGCTAAGATGTCAGTACCACGGCCCGTCATGAGACCGGCCTGAACTGAGAATGGAAAGCCGTAATATCATCGGTTAGCACCACGCCTGCCTAACCAACTGGTATTGTGAGGGAGCACGAGTGATGGCCCTTGCTTACTATCAGGTGAACGATTTGCTCAGTTGCCACAGTGGAAATAAAAAAAGCAAGAACTACTACAGTTTTATAGAGACATTACATACTACTACATTTTTTTTACTATTACATACATTATTTTCATAAAAAAAGAAATGTCTTGACGTCTTTTTTGATTTTATGTTCTCTTTGATATTTTATTGTACTTATCGAATTTATTGAGTTAATTTCATGTTACATGACATAAAATACCAGTGTAGCTGTAATAATTAATCATAAATAACCTAGCCTTATATTTTCTTGGTAACTTAAATCTGTATGGCACAAGTCCTTAATAACATTTGCACATGAAAAGAGCTATTTCTTGAAAGTTATTATTACATTATTTTACGAGACTTTAGGGAGCGCTCTAGAAATATTCAAACACGTAGAAGGTGGAAAAAAAACATAAAATTAGTTATTATTCTAATTTCTTATTTATAAGTGACCCGTGATAGCTCAGTGTCCGGACGCTCGCCTTTAATTCAATTTACTCGAGCAACCTGAGTTCGATCCCCGGTGCTAGCACCAATGAATTTGTTAATTTTAAGTGCTGATTTATCACGTGCTCGGCGGTGAAGGAAAACATCGTGAGGATACCTGCATATTTTCGAAATTATAATAAAAAAAATATTTTGAAAATATGTGAACTATGCCCTGAGACACAAGTGTCTTTCACAAGTGTCTTTGACAATATTAAAATCAATTTATTAAAATACTGTACTGATCGGAGGGAGTTCGATCGTTATTAGTACGTATACGAAGTTCGAGTAATCCTGGTCCTATAACAAACACAAACTCATTTTGCGTGTGCTATGAACACCAAGCTATGATTATTATATTATGGTCGAACAACCCGCAGAATTTCGCCTTTCCACTAGTTTGACAACCCTACACCAACGGCGACGTCGCAGGTGCAAGAATTGCAATTCATTTAAACGGCGCTGGTACAGACGGTACAGTTCAAACGGCAAGCCGATATAACGCAACGCCGCCTCAGCGTTTGTAAACAAACCAATTTCAATGTCGGAACGAAAGCGGACTGAGCCACAGTTTCGGGGAAGCGGCGCTCGGCGGCGACGAAAATTACAGGGCCGCCGCAAACTACCACGCTTGGGCCAATTTCACGCGGGCCCAAACATCGGCCAGACATTCCAATTAGATTGCGTTGGGGTCGAGCTCGGCCTTCTATTCGGGGTCAGCAGCCTTGAGGATCGAAGTGCTCGAATAGCCAGCGCTAAGATACTATCCTCAGTAACCAATTGCTTTTACCGAAAGAGCTTATTAGGAACAAACATTGATCATAAAACTGGAAATGAAACGGTAAACCCGGCTTGGAGACTTGTAACGCAGATCGTAGAACCTAGTACGGATATCAGAAATCTGCCTGTACATCTCCCACTACTGGGCAAAGGCCTCCTCTGTATAGAGGGGATCAGGGCATAGTCCACTACGCGGCCCCACTGCATTCTTCACATATTTTCGAAATATTTTTTATATGTTATTTCGAAAATATGCAGGTTTGCACACGATGGTTTCCGCTGAGTACGTGACAAAAATTTTGTCCATATCATTTATCTTATCTAAAGTATGTTTGACAAAAAAATAAAGACTTGTTACTTAAAAGAAATGCTTATCATTAAATACCTGTTATAAAATTTTCACTTCGCAACATAACTGAGACCAAATTTTTAGCAGTAATATTGTTTTTATTTAATTTAATTTACGGATAAAAACAATTAAATAAACACTTTTTATAGTAGAAAGTGAAAAGCACCGATTTTGCTAATTCTGCTACCAACCTGCTGTAGGTTTTTACTCCTATAAAAGGTGTGTTTTGATTGTTAGCAGACCAAAAAAATAAAACTTAAGCGGTCACCACGATTGCGTATCAAATCACAGCTAACTAGTGAACAAGAAACAGACAAATTAACGCGAGTTTAATATGTCGGGTACAAACGGCTGTAAAAAAAATCCTATTAGTCGGCCGAATGCGTCCGAACATTAAACAAAAAGCGGGCAACACCGACCGCATAAACGAGCTGCGTTCGCGTTCGCTACCAATAATTACCGTTTAATATTAAGGATCGTTTTCACGAGCGGCACAACGTCGCCATTTTGAATTTAGCCGTGTATTAAAATGCCAAATAAACATAATCAATGTTTGATCAAACATTGACTATGTTTATCAACTAATCAGTTGTCAAATGGATTTTCAAATTTTATTTGAATTGTCAAAAGGATTGTTAAACTCTTTGAATTGATCATTCTGGTCATTAAGAAGATTATTCTGATCAATTCAGAGACTTTGACTTCTACGATTATCAGTGTTTCAGAAACGCCCGGTTTTTGAAACACTAATCATCGTAAAAGTAAGCATGATTTACCTTTATAATCTTATCCAAAACACATTTATTTAATACAAAATAAATATTTATCTACCATTATATGTACAGTTATATAATAAAATAAGATGTTTTAAGGCCATATATTATAAATTACTGCTGTTTTGTTTGCTGTTGATAACTTTATAATATAATTATGCCGAATAAATCATTACCAAGGACTGAAAGCCAAATTCATACAATTACTAATAGTTCAAAATATTTGGGGACCTAGTCAGTGGGTAACGTCCCTAAAGGGTAGAACACGGTCGAAGGAACCGGCATAAAGCGGCTCGGCTATGTACAAAGTATTCGGTAGTGCGTGTCACAGGTCGTGTCTAAACTCATCAATCTTGTCTCCATTTCATTTCTGAATAGAAAATACGTTTAGGGCTGACAGATTTAACTATCCACAACACTTTAGCTCAAGTTTTATCATTTTAAAGCGCATGTTTTCAGTACGTATATATTCATATTTACAGAAGTGTTAATAATAAATAATATCAATAAAAATAAAAATTAAATATTACATAAAACTTGCTTTACAATAAAAATATATATGCATTAACAAAAATTAAGGCATTTAATAAAGCATCAATTTCTATGTGCTTATATTGGAAGAATTAAATATGTTAATAAATAGAAATGAAACTTATTAAGTAATTATAAACTGGCAGCCCTGTATACAAGACATGGCGGCCCGCACCGAAAGCGCCCGTGAAAAGCCCGCGTCCGCCTCGGAACAAACTCGCGTGCACAATGAACCGGCGAGCGATGCCGCGCAAATGGAATACGACGCCATTGTCGATCCACAAAAGAAAGGCAATCATTCGACATGAATAAATATCTTTGAATAATGAGGGCCCCGCTTCCTACAATAAAATGTTTTATGTACCAGTATTATCGCGTATAAATCGCTTTATGTGCTGTTACACTTTCTTGTTGTTGCGTATAATTACATGTGTCGTTTTTTGTTAACATATTGATAATGTTGTTAATGATAGTTGTTAGAGATTTTTATTTGAAATTTGAGGGAAATTAATGTTTTAATTTTAAAATGACTTGTAAATGCTACAATTAAATCACACTTTATTCATTATTAATGACCAAATCAACTCTATGGATTTCAGATAATCGACGGCGTAGATATTGTCTTCTAACTGCTGACCATGAAATATGTATACCAATTTTAATTAAAGTTAAAAATCACCTTTAACGGTTACTTTTTTATACTTCAGAATTGGTTATAACACAAATTGAAATTAAAATAACAGTAAAATGTTAAATGTAAAAAGTGTAAAAGTAAATGAAAAAACAATAACGAAAAGTATACTTACCGCGAAAAAATCAGTAAACAGTTAAAACTACCCAAATTATGTATATTGGATATTAAAATCAGACAATTATGAAAGTTGACATTTACAAATATTTTTTTTTTATTTTATAATGTTAACCCGTGACATAGCGGGTGCCGTAACTGGTTCTGTCGAAAACTTACAAACTCCAACATCATTACGGATCATAAACATGGCGTGTAATGTTGGTATCATTGGGAACTTATTTCCAGTGATACCAACATTACGACTCGACGCTGCGGTAGAGTGGATGTTTTTCCACTTAGTTCCCGAATCTAATGGCATTAATTACGAAGCGGCGATGGAGCGCAGCGGAACGAACCGGAATATTAGAGGTCCGGAGGGACGAGGGCCTGCCTCCTCCTCTAATAAATCAATTTAATTTAATTCAATTTGAACCGAGCTTCCTACCGGACGGACGTTTTGGTGGAGTCACGCGAGCCTATGTAATACATTGTAATGGACGTTGTTACAAGCGATTTACATTATTAAAAAAGAATACTTTATTTTGCTGTCATGTTAAACATTTAATAAACTATATCGAATATTTTCAATAGCATGTTAGACCATCGATTTATCATTAATACATACTTAATAACATAACAAAAAGTTTGTAGCGAATCCCATATAATAGCCGTTTCGCTATTGTGTCTAGATTTGATTTTCAGGAAAATATGGTAAAAGATCTCACGCCCTTATCCGTAAAGTAAACAGAATTAACTTAAAAAATATATTTTTAAGTAGTACATCTTTAGATAGTACCTACGCTTGTTATTCCAAATATAAAATCACATGGAAATCTAAAAAGCACATCGTGTTCACGCAAAGGATTCGATTACGTGTTGCTCGAGATACTTTGACTTTATAGCTACTGAGCTTCCATTTGAGTTATAGTTCCTTTAACTTGACAAACAATGACTTTAAACTACAATAAGCTTAATGATGATACAAATAGTTTATTTTAAGATTATCGCATCGAGTTAGAGTCGACTCTATGATCTCTAGCCATGGTTTCGTAGCTCAATCTTTCAAGCAGAAGCAAGGGAAAGAATTAAAGCACATTTATTTAATTATTGATTATATATGTCATACATATCGACTTCAAACGTTTTTAGTCATGGCTTTCTTAAACATATTCTATGTCAAAAAGAAAAATAGGAGAAAAGATAGATAAAGTTTTCATCTGAAGTTATCTATTCTAAATTAAATAAAAGTAAGTTTCAAACGCAATTATGAAAAAAAATATAAAAATATATAATAAATTGAAATTAAATCTAATATTAAGTAATTATTACAGCCCATGAGTACCCACACTTCACAGCAAGTATCAATAATTATACTTTACTGAGTCGCTTCGTGACAACGTGTTACTTTGCAGAACGAGCTGACTGCTCAGTAAACTGCTGCGTGCGTCACCAATGTTAATGTGTAACTAAATTCATACATAGCTCAACAACGCAACATTAAGGCAATATTTTTGTACGCTAGTAAAGAACGTAGTTAACGGATGATCGCAATCGTCACAATCCGCAGATTCGAACCTACATCTAATCAGAATCCAGTCAGTAAACTACCGAGCTAAACATATTCCTCCGTGTACTACTAACGGTATAACAGCCCGCAAAGAACGTGATGCAAGCAAAGCCCACGGCTGATTCAATTCCAAGTCAAATGAGAATCGATCCGGGCGCTCGGCGTCGTATAATACGTTGACTTAGCGTCGAAATACCAATACCGCGGGCGGCGACGCTCGCCGACCACACAGCGAGCACGTTTCCAATGAGATCGGTGCCGCGATGACACCCTTGAAATGTTTTTAATGGCGTGATTTATAGAGCAAATTAAACATTTGACTTGGCGTGAATTCGACGCTGAGTGAATCCGTCACGCACGGACGCGACATTGGTCCGAGCGAGAGTCGTACTGTCGCGTCCGAATTGAACTAGGGCAGATTAAATTAAATTGCTGTATCATTATGATGATTATGAGTGAAGTTAGGCAATTATGTCAGTACATACAATTACTACAGTTAATACTACAGTTAGTATGTATTATGTACGCACTAAAGACTGCGGAGATGTACTATTAATTCAACGAAACAAAAAAAAAACAACAAATCAAAATAAGAATACCTCCGATACCAATAAATTGTGTGCTGCTCGATGACTTGGACGAAGTTCAGTGACGAATATAACATTGTGCGGCGTAAAATTTTGCATGTTATCTTAATGTATTTGTGATTAAGGCCTCCTCTTCCATGTCTAGATTTGCCTAGTATGCTTTTCTAGTAAATGTAGTAGTAGTACACTCGGTTAAGTAGTTTCCGGAAAAAAAATATTTAATATTAAAATAATCTTATCCATTTTGCTGCGCATCTGTACTAAAGCAGCCAAAGACCTGGACTCTTTGGCTGCTTTAGTACCAACGGTCGCAGCTGATTAATACGTGGCTGCTACCGTCTTCGGGGCTTTTTATGGCGACGACACCGCGCGTGTCCGTGAGAACCGATTCTGTTCCTGACCCAATCAGTATCGCCAGAATTCTAAAGGAAATCTTCGGATCGAAATTCTCTCCTCCAGAAACCTGTTCAAGGGTATGAAATATACTCATGATAGTTAAGCCACTCTTTATAGGTTATATATTTATGCACATATTTCTATATACAATTATAATTAATTTGATGGCCCCGTGACGTATCGTGGGTTCGATTCCCACATGGGACAACTATTTGTGTGACACAAAATACTTTCGGATCTGGATATTTCTCCACGTGAAGTTTGTGTATGTAAAACGTACTTACAACATAACATTATGTTATCGTACAGTGAATATTTAAATTAAAAAAATTAAAAACTTTAATTAAAGTAAAAAGTAAAGTAACAGCCTATACATGTCCCACTGCTGGGCAAAGGCCTCCTCTATACGGAGGGTATCAGGGCATAGTCCACCACGCGGCCCCACTGCGCATTGGCGGACTTCACATATCTTCGATATATATATTTTTCTTTTGTTATTATTTCGAAAATATGCAGGTTTCCTCACGATGTTTTCCTTCACCGCGGAGCACGTGATAAGTCAGCACTTAAAGTTAAAAACTTCATTGGTACCGGCACCGGGGATCGAACTTAGGTTGCTCGAGTATATTGAATTAAAGGCGAGCGCCCGGACACTGAGCTATCACGGCTCTAAAAACTTTAATTAAATTAATTTAAATACAAGGAATTTCTTACAGTTAGAATAAAGCGTATCTATCTATAGACAGTTCCAAAAAGATTTAAATAATTGTTTAGAAGGTCATATAATTTTTTTTCATTAATAGAATAATAAATACCTTAATTTTCTCTACACATTCATTTCTTGAAAAACAAAATATTTACGATGTAGTTCACAAATCGTGGAAGTTTCCAATATTATTAAGAAGTTTCGAAGAGGCCAAAAATTTTGTCTCTCGCAGTCAAATTGTAGACACAACTACACACTTTTGTTCCCACCGCCTTTAATATCTTCAACAGACGAAATCCTAAATCGATAACATTCACTCACATGTACGAGAAATGTATACAGCACAAGTTTAGCAATAAACAGAATGCTTTTGGATCCACTAAATGAGAGTAATAAGAGTTGTCAAACTCTCTGGATCTTATAAGGAAATCAAAATTTAAGGCTTAAAGCCATATACGGCTTTAGATAGGACTCGTCCGAATAATAAACTATCAGAAAATAGTCACCCTAAAAGCGGATTAGGATCGGACCAATGCTCAGACCGTCTCGGAACAGTTACCATCTGTGAAAGTCTCATTTCTACAAATTAACAAAAACTTTTCCGTTTCGTGGTGTAATGTAGCCGTCTGTCTGTCTAGATTTTTATATTTATTTTTTCCGTGACCAAATCTGTTTGAGGACAGTGTAGCCGAAAAAATTATTTCATCATCTTTTTCTAAAACGATTTCTGACAAAAGATTTCGCGATTCTAATCCAAGAGGTTGGGCCGAGAACTACCGATGTCTAATCTTCACCAAGGCTATGAAATCCTTAAATGCTAGCTATTAAGTAGGTTAAATAGGGTAAATAAAATTGATGAGTTTCGTCCATATCATAACCTTTTCAAGCAATGCGTCCAAGTACAGTATATTATACCGTACGTTTGTTTACCTCGTTATCATCGTCATATCAGCCGTTTAGTCAACTGCTGAACGTAGGCCTCTCCAACGTTGTTTGCCTATTTTGTGCAAAATTGGATGTGTACTTTTTTGAAGTGGTACGTCACATTGACACATATTACATGGACGGTGTGACCTTCTCGTCTATGTCGTTTAAAACTTTAAAGAAAGCTAATGTATGCGTTTTGAACTGATCCATATTGGGCCAAATTAGATAATGGAAGGTTAACTATGATAGTTAACCTTCCAACAGAAGGAAAGAAACATAAAAATTTACGTTTATTTGTCATAACAACACATAAACGAACTTAATGTTAGTAAATTTGCAATGCCTGGAAAGGACATCTAAGTTTCTGTTTAAACTTCTTTATTGTAACACCTACTTATATAATGTATACTTAGATGGCAAATAAATGATTGATTGATTGATTGATTAATTCCGTCTCTTGTATTTTATCATTCCTGTTGTAAGAACATTCCATTTTTATATATCTATATGAAAAATGCACATACTTAACCAAAACTCTGACGTAGTTATCATTTGGGAGTTAATAATAGACCTCAGAGAAGATCGGCATAAAGTAGAAGTGTTGCACTTCTGCATTGCTTCATCTAGTGAGTGAGGTAGCCGGGGCCCACATTATTAAGAGGTGGCAACGCATCTGCAAACCTACGAGTGTTGCAAATGTCCATGGGCAGGCAGTTATCACCTAACATCAAGTGAAACGCCAGCTCGTTTACCACTTTCTGACATAAAAAAAATCGGCGCCGGTTACCACACTCTCAGGCAAAAAGCGATGCTTGCATATTTTCGAAATAATAACAAAAAAACATTTTGAAGAGATGTGAAGTCCACCAATCTGTAGTGGGATCGCGTGGTGGACTATGCCCTGATACCCTCTGTACGGAAGAGGCCTTTGCCCAGCAGTGGGTCATTTATAGTCCGTTACTTTACGACTTTACTTTTTTAAAACCATCTCAACCCCGGTTTATATTAATGCTTTTTATATTTTTATTTTTATTATGTACGGTACCATGACTCATTATTAAAACGAAATACCCGTTAAAGTAAGCCTGTATTTTCCAGGAGGCATATACAATCATAATACATAACATTATAGAATCACGATAGTTTCTGGCAGTACAACCCTATTAAACTTTGATTTTACACGGAACGAAAAAGTTTGTAACCGAATGAATTTTAATAAACATTACGCTTAAAAGGCATGTTAATAATATTGTGTAAGTATTTATATGTATAAGGGATTGTTTTTGCTTTCGTCGCTGATGTTAGAAGTTTTGCACACTTTATTATTATTTGCTGATAAAGTTGTCAAACACGATCAGTTGAAATACAAATGTTTATTCCAACTCTCTAACCTCCGATCAATTAAAAACGTGAATAAATTCCGTCAATAAGGTGAAATAGTTAGTCAATAAACGGTTTTTGGATATAAAAAATATTTCCATCGTTTTTAATTTACTTTTCCAATAATTCTAAACGTTTCTTATGCTTTACGGCATTCCCCTTCAAGGAGCTTCAAATATAAAATAAATTTTCTTTATCATTTAGAAATATGTAACTGATATTTTTCAAATAGTAATTTTACTAAATAAATTTTATTGCAAACAGATTAAAATGTGAGGTCAACTATTAGATTTTTATTAGGCATTCAGTAAATATAACACTTTAACTACATATTGATAAAGATTCCTAAGATTTCATAATAAAAATTAAACAATTTATCGATGCTTTGTTATCCATTCATTGTTATTCGTTCCATTAAAACCAATTCTATCACTGTCACATCCCGGCACCCTGCCCCATTATTTTACCACAATTTTCGACGGGCACAACATCTTGCAATTGAAAAAGGTGTTCGCTTGCGAGCAGCATCGCTTAGGGCTGAATGGCTTCTCAATTTCATACCGTTTCTCCCATATTAATTGCCGAATCAACCCCCGGGCCGTGGAACATAAATAATAAAAAGCGACGCGCACCCCAAACCACCCCCCTTGTTCCGTTCCGGTGAGCGGTCGCATTTACATCCTTTCTACCGAAGCTTACGGATCCGTAGTAACGATTTATCGCTTGCTTGATCGAAACTAATACACATTAAGTATCACGAACCTGTATTGTACATAAGAACGTGTAGTTTGTTGTCATATGGCTTTAATTATAAGTATATCGTATTAACAAAAATAAGGACGAGTTATATTTCATGAAGCACATGTACCTAAATCGAAATATTGGTGGAACTTTAGTAGTTTTTAATATAAAAATTAATGCTATGATAATATTTTTAATTAATTAAACCACCTTTTAGGTGAAATATATATTTCTAGATAATTTATTTTAAATTTGCTTGCCTTCAAACATCTTTATAATTAATTGATTAAGAAAAGAATGCAATAGGTGTAATAAAAATGTAAATATAAATTACTAGCTGCTGCCCACGACTACGTTTTCGTAGAATAGGCTGAAGGCGTAACATTCAGACAGATATACATCAAATATGTATATAAATTATAGCGCCTGTCTTATTCTGATGTATAAGCTATATTAAAATCCATTCAATAGTATTTGCATGAGAGTAACAAACATCCAGCCATACATACAAACTTTCGCGTTTATAATATTAGTAATGTAATGTATCCTAATTCCAGCCAAGCTAATTGAACAAAATAGAAGTTCTATCTAATTTTCTTTGGCGAGTCGTTTTTAAAATATTTATAACTTAAATTAAGAATAATTACTGAAAATGACAAATTTCGAAAATATATACATTTATTAATCTATTTCATTTTGTACAGATCCATAACATCATCATAACTTACAAACACTTATAACTTTGTATCTGTTATCGTCTTAAATAATTAACGTAAATAATTTTTTTTTTCAAAAATAATATACTTTAACCAAATTAACCTAATATTAAATATATATTTGACAACGATGATCTATGAAGAAATTATTAAAGACAACAGAAACTTTTTTCATGCATCGTGAATAACAATGAAATTGAATTTAACCTTCACAATTATTTTGTATTTATTAATCAAATGACTGTTTATATATAATAATTACATACTACTTCAAGTAACAATTTTTTTTATTTATCATTCTTAAGCAATAACAAAAGGCAATAGTTTGTCCAAGCATTAAAAAAAATAGAATAAGTATATAAATAATTACCGAGGTTCTACGGGCCGGAATGATCTAAAATTATATATGCTAGGGTTAAAAGGAAATGTAAATTGTAGAGGGGAGGAAAGGGGGACTTGGAAACAAATAGGCGTTGGCCAAATCGCGGCGGCCATTGCTAAAATGTCTGACTGATACGGAACCACCGTTCGAAAAGCATCACTTGCACTCATTGGGCCGTCACAACATCGCTCAACATCAAAATCACTAGATAACAGACTGTCAATGGTAAAGGATTTCTTAGCTTTAACCTTCGTTAACATACAAGTCTCCGATTGTGGTATCTGCGTCGACGGCAGGCGACTAGAGCCCTGTGTAGCTAAGAAAAACCGATTGAAAGCTGTCAGTGCCGCCAGCTCGGCGTTCAAACTGTCCTTCTCCCCCTTGTGAAGCTTGAAGCGCTTCCTGCGGCGCAACAGCGAGCCGTTCTCGAACATGTCGAAGGCCTGCGGGTGCAGGGTCCAGTAGGCGCCCTTGCCGGGGCGGTCGAGCCGCCGCGGCACCTTCACGAAGCAGTCGTTGAAGGAGAGGTTGTGCCGCAGCGAGTTCTGCCAGCGCTGCGTGTTGCGCCGGTAATACGGGAAGCGGTCCGTGATAAAGCGGTAGATCTCGGACAGGGGCAACATGCGCTCCGGCGAGCTCCAGATCGCCATTGCGGTCAGCGAGATGTACGAGTATGGAGGTTTCTGCTCGCCGTAGGAGTCGCGCGACGGCCGCGGCATGTTCGTGGCCGTTAGTGGATTTGGGGTGAGCGTCGCGCCACATTGCGACAGGCGTGGCGCACACGGGCGGGGCTTGCAGCGGTACCCGCCTCGCCCGTCCCACCCTAGACGGCGCACTTTGTCGGCAAATAATACGATAACAAGGATGCCACTCGCCGGCAAACCGCACCGCTCGCTGCCAGCCAGATACTATCATTACTACAATGATTGACTGCGCACTAACCGCCTGTTGGTTTTATAAGTAGGTACCTATTTTCGTGCACCGACGCTGTTCGCGGATTTAAGCTGGCTAGTTAAGCATATTAAACATTTTGAAATGTACACTTAATGATCAATCCAAATTGAAGGACCAAACTAAAGCTTCTAAAAATTATAGCTTTTTTTGTATTGAAAAATGATACTTAGTTGCCCTTGAAAATTACATGTAAATATTAAAATTTAATTAACATATTATAATCAGATTCATGACATTTTAACATTTTCCCTTTATATTAGGTAAAAATATAATTTCTCACAATTTATATTTTCTATAAATCATGATCCCATACGCCATCTTGTGATCAGTGGCATAATATACCAATAACTGATAATTATGTAACCATGAAGATTATCAAATTATCATAAGCGACGTTTTAAATTAATGTGAAATGAGTTAAAGTGATAAAAAATTTTACAACGAAAGTGAGTTCGGAAATACAATTTGTTTTACGAGGTATTATATCCAGATATATTTTTAATGGTTGGCTGCGCCATCTATTGTTCATTAGTATACTTAATTGTTAATAAATTGAAGCGAAATAAGTTCATAAAATAGTCAAGCTATGCATGGTTATATGAAATAATATTTAGTTTAGTTTAACAATTATTTTTATATTCTAGGTTAATTTTATTATTATTACCCTTATGTCGATTTATAACGTGCATTGCAACGTGCCAAATTGTTTTTTTTTTCTTTTCCGCAGCCTTCATGTCTTGTAGAATCGAACCGTGCGCTTAATGTCCGTTGACTGATGACTTAAATGACTGATGGTTCACCTAACGTTAAATGGTAAACGTCGCTCATGGACATTTGCAATACCCTTAAGGTTGCACATGCCTTTTAATAAAGAGGGCCCCTGCTATCGCACTCACCAGACGAAACGCAGAGGTATAACACACTTCATGCTAGTCTTCTTTGAGGTCGTGGTACTTCCACGGACGGACCTGCCCATTCGTACAACAGCGGACTATCACTATATTAATCGTTAGCCAAAGGCGGTGAGTACTGCCTGTAACGCGGGTGTATCTTGTGTACACATCATGTTGGTTTCGCCGTGCTCATAGGCAGACAAACTATTTTGTTGTAAGCGATATTACTATGTGTATATATAATGTCAGACGGCAGCAGGCGATGGGTTTGAGGTGGATACTTGTGTTCCCTTGTTCGACCGAGTCAGAGAGAACGTTACGTACGTAGTCGATGTTTTGTTGAACGGTCGCGTTGGGATTTACTTGATAATTTGCTGCGTTTACAACCAGATGATATTAAACTCTCTGGAAGAACCATTTTGGTGTCGATAGTGATTGCGTAACATCGAGTCGGCAACCGCTGTACAGGTCGTTTTTTTTCTACCTTTCATCACCGTTTACCTGCACTTTCTTCAAATTCGTTTGGGGAATATACCTAAAAGGTATGTAAGTGCAGGACATTATGATCCTACCCAAGCAATGTATAACAAAAGCCTAGTTTTTTATTTGAAGAGTTCATACAATTATAAAGTCGACCCAATACCAAAGCTGTTTGTAAAACATACTTTTTTATCTTACTATAGGGGTAATAGTTTTCTTTTTTTACATCTTAATTATAATAATTGAGAATTAAGAGCCGTGATAGCTTAAGTGCCCGGGCACTCGCCTTTAATTCAATATACTCGAGCAACTTGAGTTTGATCCCCGGTGCCGGCACCAATGAAGTTTTTATCTTCATATAGTGCTGACTTCACGACATCACGTGCTCCGCGGTGAAGGAAAACATCGTGAGCAAACCTGCATATTTTCAAATTACAAAAAAAAATTTTATGTGAAGTCCGCCAGTGGGCCACGCGGCGCGACTATGCCCTGTGATACCCTCTGTATAGAGGAGGCCTTTGCCTAACAGTGGGACATATAGGCTGTTACTTTATTTATGCTTTAAAAATGGGACCTAAATTATGTAGGTAAAGGGTAAAATTTTTATTTATAATAAAACTCATATTAATTACAGATTTTATATACATTTACACTTCAGTTTGACCAATCACAAGTTTGTATACATATACAAAATGTCATAAATATACAAAATTTTTTTGAAGAAAATATTATAAATTTTGGAATTGACATAGTGTATATAAAAAAATTCTCTTATTCTAAAATAAAAATGATATTCACAACTTGGAAGTAAGCTCTGGGACTGCCTTGAACAAGTCAGCGACTAGCCCATAGTCAGAAACCTGAAAAAAATTTGCTTGAATTTAAAATTTATGTTTAAATTATTGATGAACTGTGTATTCAAATAAAATTAATACCCAAATATGTTCGTATTTTTTTGGGTTATATTTGTACATATGTATGTACAAAAGTTAAAAATTACTAACAATATTTTTAGAGAATTTCATCAGTAATGTTTACATACCTGGAAAATGGGTGCTTCAGGATCTTTGTTAATGGCGACAATTGTCTTTGAATCCTTCATGCCGGCAAGATGTTGAATAGCGCCGCTTATTCCCACAGCTATATATAGGTTCTGAAAAATAGAAAAATATATCAAAATAAAAAACTAAACTAAATTGAAATTTGTTATTAATTAAAACTGTATCCATTTAGTGCAATATTATAAGTTCAAAAAACTTAATTCCTTATAATTGTTTTTTTATTAATAATTGCACTTGAATGTGATTGATAAGCTTACATTATATTAATGGCAAGTTGATGACAATAATTTTGTGGATAATGTTGGAACTATGTAGTATTTTTTATAAGGAGGCTGTTAAAATTTTAGCAAATGAATTTTAATGTTATCATTGCTTTATGTTTGTATCTCTTATGGATTTAATATTAATATTTTAATAATTATACCATTTATGTAATAACAATAATAACCTCCTTATACTGCAATTACACTTTATATTGTGCATATCAAAACTCCTTATATTATTATTTTTTTCATTTCATCAACACTGGTTATCTTAGCGAATAAGTGCTGTTGCATAAAAATCTGTATAGGCCTTACGGGCGCGACGATTTTTCCAGTCTGTCCAATCTGCAGGTCGTTGGGCACAAAGCCAGCATCCACTGCGGCACGAGACGCGCCCACGGCGGCGTTCAACTTGTCAGCTAGGTCATACAACAGCTTAAAGTTGTCACCAGACTTCAGACCTCGACCTGAATTAAACATTTCAATGATAAACACAAAAAAAACACAAATTATAGCTAAGGACCATCTCCATCAAGTCAGCTGAGAAACAAAAGAAAAGCACTATAATTGGTCCATTCGTTTAGAAGCTAAAATACCACAGGCAGACACATTACCCTTGTTTTTACATCATCGGTTAAAAAAACTAAAACTAAAAGGAAAAAATCATGAGTAAACCTGCATATTTTTGGGATAATAATAAAAAGGAACATTTTTCAAATATGGTGCTCAAAGAAAAAGTCTTTAAAATTTGTTGTCGGGTTGCTTGATAACCTATGCCAATACCCTATGTACCCAGGAGAACTTTACCCAGCAGTGGGACATAAATAAAATTTCCCATTACTTAAATTTCTTTTTCTTTTTGTATATAATATGTATTTACCATGACATACTAAATATCCAATTACAACCACTTAATATTCCACTTGAGTTTATATGGCTGTTAGATTTATATATAATAGCCATTTAAAAAAACATCTTCCATGTTTCGCTCTATTTTATGCGGTGTTGAAAATAAAATGAGACAATGCTTAGAAGACATAATTTCATACTGTTAATTTACCTCCAGATACAATGTTCTTTGCGCTTGTTAATTCTGGCCTGTCAGATTTGGTAAGCTCCTGAGAAATCCATTCCACAAGATCAGTTTTGGCATCAACTTCAGGAGCCTTCTCCACAGCAGCCGATCCACCTTCAAGGGGCTCTGGTGCAAAAGCCGTACCTCTCACTGTTATTACTTTAATCGGATCTTTTGCCTCCAAAGTTAGGATAGCATTGCCTGAAATTAGTTATTTACCATAAATAAATTGATAAACATTATATATAAAAATATATAAACTATTCATATCAATGTTATTTATTCCAAAAATTGTAGAATGATGTATTTAAACTGGTCCTTAAGGTCAGTTTAATGTTATCAACATTTTCAACAACAAAGTTTATACTTCTAGATTTATACCTACAAACAATAGATAAAAACAGCATATTTGATAAATCAATGATCAAATTAAATCATACTATTTTGTTGAGAAATATTTACATTGAGCTTTGAAATTAACAACATATTTGAACAAACCATTCAACACATGGGTGTTGAATTTGAAAAGTAGCTAAAGTATGGTAAGTACTTTAGGTACTTTTATTACCTTTTTTTCATTAAGTCTGAATAAGCAATTTTTCATTGCTGGTATTGTAATACCTACCATGTAGTTACATGCAACATTCAATGACGGCTGAGCTGTCAGTGCAGTTAACTTGGCAATTGTTAAGCATGTTATGAATATCACAGAAAGTATATACAGCGTGTCGTTACCATCGCGACAATAAATGAACACACATATAGGAGATAAGTTTTTAAAGTTGTATTGAACATTTAAATTCTTTAAACATCAAGAGTTACAGAGTTATTAAATTTTCCAAAACAAAGAATTTTAGAACACTCTTACCTATAAAAGCGTACGTAAAGTTCATTTGTAAAGGTCACAAAGCATATGAAGGGTTGAATGAATTTAAAAGAGACAAAACATACTGTTAGAAGGAGAGGCTTGTAATACGACGCTGTGGCGCGAGTTGTATAGGATGTTACAATTTGTTTCTTTTTTACTTAATTAGTTTCTTTGATTAAAATTCTTTTTTAATTATGGATTTTGTTTAACGTTAATATTTTTTATGATTATTGGCATGTAGCATTAGACGTGTGTTCATTTATTGTCGCAATGGTAACGACACGCTGTATACTGATAACAGTTACCTAGTATCCACATTATATATCCATTACTTTGGAGCTAGATAATGGAGAGTGAAATTTGTCCTGAAAAAATTATGTATATCGTAAACTTTTACGAATTACGATTACGAATTATTTTATTTTTTGACCATTTTTACATACTTTGGCGCAGAAATATATCTAAATAAATTACCTGAATACAATTTGCAAAAGTTGTAGTAATGGAAATTAATTAAAAAATAAACAAACAAATTTAAAGTCACATTAAAAACTTGGAGTTGGACAGTACTTGAACAGAGGCTGCACACCTGCAACACCATAGGAATGAACGGTCCAAATAAGTTATTTCAAGTACCATTACAGTGGAAACAAGATGGATAAGAATTACACAAGGTATCATAATCCTGTCCCTCACCTTTCTGTTGTCTGCTCGTATTAAACTGCCACCATACATTAAAATATTTAAACATTTACATTTTGTTAATTACAATTGAATACTTGCTATGGTTAGTCAAGTATTCTTAAACCATCCAATAAATTAGAATTAAAATCTTATTATAACACAATTGTAGAAATTTTCATTACCTGCATAAATTGTCCTGATAAAAGTGTTTGCATCTTTAACGCCAATTATATCTGTAATTGGTGAAACATCTAATTTGGCAGCTACTCTTGGAAGGACAGCTTTCCCAAAAGCAGTTGCTGGTGCTAATATATGAGTGAAGCTAAATTGCTTCTGCGTAGCTAATATAAGAGGCGTCAGGGATTCAGCTGTAAAACCTTTGAAAGCATCACTCTCAGCAACAAGCACCTTAGAAACCCCACTGGCTTTCGAAATTTGCTCTGCGGCCTAAAATAATGTATTGACTCTCCGTATTACTAAAACTAAGATGATAAAACATAACTTTCGTGAACTATAACTTACTGGTCCACATTTGGTACCCGCAATAAGGACGGACACATCTCCGCCTATTTTCTTTGCAGCGCTTAAAGCATTTTGTGTCACTGGCAGTAAGCCTTCATTGTTGTGTTCAGCAACTACAAGAGTACTCTGCAGACGTCGTAGCTAGAAAATAAAAGTTTAGATTAGATATTATTGAAACAAGAACAAAGTCATTTTGATAAAAGAACATGAAAGATTCTACCTGTGTAGAAAAAAGGAAATGTCTGCTGAATGGCGTGAACATTTTAAAAAAAATGTATTTCTTTATAATACAAATTCAATTATCCAAAAAATGTTACAAATTACAATATCAGTCAAAGTCCACTAGTCCAGTTAAGGGATGTCGAAAAAATATCGATATTTTTTAAAAAATATATAGATATTTTTAGACGATATATTATAATCCGATAAATCGAAAGCATATCAAAATCGATATTTTTAATCAAATTTAATTCAGCTGAATACAATCTGTTTTTCTAAAGTACAACATGGTATAGAGGGATAACAAATAATTAATTTAACTATGTTACGCTATTTTATAAATAGCATGGGAAATATTAATGGTATCAACAAAATTACTTTACTTCAATATTTAAATAGTGTTAACAAAATATATCTCAATGAATTTATAACATAATATCAAGTTTTTATAAAAAAATTCTTTGACATCATAAAATTATTATCATTTTTCAAAATTGTTGTGGTTAACAACAATTTTAAATTTTCATTCAGCATTTTCATGTCAATCAAACAACCTTTACTAAATTTTGATGATAAAACCTGTCTTTCAGGAAAATTCTCTGCGGGTTCTTTTTGACCAATGGGTTTAATAAATAATGATTTACTTCGTTTTAAAGAATTCTTTACTTTTTTTCCTTATTAGTTATATTTTTGATTCGTTTCAGGGCTTACGTAACCGATTTATCTTACATGAAGATCTTGATCAATAATATACCTAGAAATTTACTTCGTTTTAAAGAATTCTTTACTTTTTTTCCTTATTATATATATATATATATACACTGAGTTTTTGAAGTCAAATTAATAAAATGGCGGAATTTCTTAGTGAAAATAACAAGTTTTAAATAATTTTTTTTCTTGAACTTTCAAAACTAATCATGCAGATTAACCGGTAGTCCGTGTTATACGGAATTATAATTAAATAAGCTAAATTTCACGGTGACCTGATTAAAACATTCGGTATCTAATTTGCACCTCCTAGACGATCCCGACGATGAATTAAAGCACGCATTGATAACTTAACTCATCCGCCACCACCCAACAAAATGTTGCTGCAAGGACGCGACGATATCAGTACGGGCAAATAATGAACAGAACCGCTATACTTAACACGTCACACACTACTTAATTAACTTACACACATCAGGCACAGCGCGGTAGGAGGTGAAAGAGAGGTCTCTGATTCGAAGCCTACAATGTTATGCCAGATCGCTTTTAAATCACTTAAATCTTGTTGGTATTGTTATTTAATAGCTAGTATGTGTCCGATCGATCGTATGCACTTCTAAAGATCATGTAGGTATTAAAATACGGTAGATATTACTAAATAAAACTATATTTACGGATTTAAATTATAAACGCGATAAATCCGTAATAATAATTTCGTTTAGTAATTTGTAGGTAATCGCATAAATTATTACCGTAGATTTTATTTTCGTAAATATATTAGTTATATAAAAAAATGAGCCGTTACGGGACGCCTGGCAGATGTGAAACATCGACATTATTTTGTAAAAGTAATATGCAGAAAAGAACAGATTGTGATAGGAACTAAATATGTCATAATGATAAACAAAAAATAAACAAAAGGAACATAATCTCTGCACATAATATTATTTTCTTAGCGATATAAGAATAATAACTAATCACTTTTACACAACAACTTCAATAATTTAACTCCCATACTATTAATCGTCTATACTCCTACCATACTATTGATCGTCTATACTCCTATACTGTTAAACCTAAAACTCACATACTAATAGTAGTCTATACTCGTATACTAATAATCTTCTATACGGCTTCTCCTGACATGAGGCCGTCCTCGGGCTCTTCACTCCTCTTTTACTCCTAATCAAGCAGTGACGTGTAGGCTAGACGTGGTCCCGTTGGTCCTCAGCGGCAGGAGAGACAAGGGTACTCGTGCACCCCTATTTCCCACGAGTAGACGATTGCGGCATGTAGTCATCTGCAGGTGGACTCGCGTCTTGATCTTGGAGACATGCAGTCACTATACCGGACTCCTCGTTTTCGGCGTCTGCATCTAAGCACGCAATATAAAACATGTAAAGTGACAGAAAAAGAAGGAAACTAAAGATTTACATCTCACAAAAGACGCGTCTGCCATATTGATAAGATGGAAAACAGCAAAATTGCTACTTAAGCCATAGACAAAAACGTTGTCTTAGCTCAATTAGGCCCCAAGCCATAGATAGGTAGAACGTTTAACATAACTTGGTCAACCCCTGAGTCATAGGTAAAACGTTTAACATAACTCAGTCAACCCATCCCGACTAAGTCATAGGTAGAACATTTAACGTAACTTAATCAACTCCTGAGTCATAGGTAGAACGTTTAACATAACTCAGTCAACTCCTTCACACTAAGTCATAGGTAGAACGTTTAACATAACTTAGTCCAACTTGTGAGTCATAGGTAGAACGTTTAACATAACACAATTCGACAAGATGAGGGTCATTAAGAGTCACATCTCAAACAAGGACTCTATGATCGGAGCAGCCGCATGGGCGCCCACCAGTTACGGCAGCGCTAACATCACACTTGCGTTCCATGGTTGCTCCCATAACTCATGACCCGTGCTAATGCCCAAGACAGTCCGTGACTATCCCGATACAGCCATCATACGATACACACGGCTCTCTGTGTTAATCTGAAACAGAATTCAATCGCACAGTATCGCATAGCTCGGTCACTCCTGACCTATCTTTAAATTTTTATGAACAAAGTCACAGATCAAAGGATAATAACTCTTTTAATCAAAATAATACCTGGTTTTCAGAGTTACACTGTCTACTAGACTTAAAGTAGAGAAACAAAACTAAACAATTAAATTAAAATTAAGCTCTACATGTTGACTACTTATCCAGTAACCTCCAGTTACTTAACCATTCATTTGTGCGTCCACACTGGATCACAAAGTCACACCCGGACTTCATTTATACTGAGGTATGGCCACAAATAAACACCTGGCACTGTCCAATCACAATGTAAACTTAATCTTAGCTTATCTCCTCAGACATTACATTTTTAGTTTCGGTTTCCTAAAGATCGTCAGTAGTGCTCTGATCACTTGGCATTCTCTTTATCTATCATGAGAATCCATCATGAGCATATTTGTAAGTACGGTTAGAGTTCAAAGCTTTCAGGGTATAACAATCTCCCTCTAAAACCTCTACAACTTAAAATGGACCTCTATATTTGGGAACTAACTTTGTCTGGTTACGCCCCTAATTTTGTATCAACACAAAATCAACAAGACAAAACGCTATCGAACTTTACCTTTGTTTGATCAAACCTCTGTCCTTCATATGAAGCCGCTTTTTCCATATTGCGAACTGCCTCGGACCTAACATTCGAAGTCCTAAAAGTCGAAGCACCTAACAGATTACTGGAGTCCATGTACCACTGAGTATAGTCGTTTAAAAAGAAAAAACATCATTCTGAAACCAATAAAATTATAACTTTAGCAAGCACCAGGTTACACATTCGCGGTCCACATGTAGCTCCAGCACACACATTTGCTAAGCTCTTTCCCATGGAAAGCCAAAGTTCACCCTCGACTCCTATGATCTTAGTACAAGGCAAGATCCGAATATACTACCAAAATAAACCGCCTCATGCTACGCTACCTACAGACTACTCAAAGAGCAGACGTTGATCTGTACTAGGCTACGGTAACGGCATTCTGGTACAGTCACTGACCCAACGAATAGAGAACGTATTAATTACCTGGCGCTCAGGCATCTTCCTAATACGATTCCTAATACGACCATTACATTTAACGTAAACAGAAAGGAAACTACTAACTCATTTTGCATTTTCAAAGTCAAAATTTCTTTATTCAAAATAGGCTTATTTTAAGCTCTTATTGAACGTCAAAAACTACCACGACGTGTAATCTGTGGGTTAGTAATGCCCAGTTTTACTATTACCGATATCAGCTCATCACTTAACTCTCTAACGTTGCGTAACCTTAAAAACCGACGGGTATAGTCTGGGTATGTAAGGAACTTATCCAGATTGGAACTCATAACTGCGTATAAAATGTTCGCTATGTCTGGTTTTCTGGGACACAAGCTACTTTTTAAAGTAATTCTAACTGCAGTCTTTCGTTAACCATTCATTAACCCACGTTTTTGGATCTATTTGTAAACAATTAACAATACAAGATATACATTTCATTAGCATTTAGTTTAAATTCGAAATGTAATGAGTTTGGTTAGATCTCACCGGCAAATCTTATTGCATCGATAATGCGATCGGCCGCACTGAAGTGGCCCACCGCGGCACTCGCGGAACGCTCCGTTGAAGACGGGGCCACTGAAGCCAGCCCGCCATGCTCGCCTTTGAAGCGCGCTCGATGGCGGCGGCGTCGATGTCGTCGTCTCCGCTACCGTCGCGGGCTCGGCGCCGACGGCTTCACAGGCGCCGCAGATTGCCACAGCGAGGAGCCGCCGACTCGGCAACTGTCGCGGGCTCGGCAACGACGACGGCTGCCACAGGCACCGCAGACTGCAACAGCGGCAGCACAGATGCTCGGCTGACTTCGTTGTGATGAAGCCGGATAATGTCGTTCCTGCAGAGATGTAAATTTGTTGCATTGTTTCGGTTAAAACATTGCTAGTATGGCTGCATCGAGTGTGACGCGAATTATGTTGTCTAGAGTTTGAACTGCGATTTCTAGAGCTAAATTTACTTTTTCGCTTTTTGTGAGGCATAACTTTCAACAGATATTCTCAAATTAGGTGTATTTCGAATCAAAGTATCAATAACGCAAAATAATTGCGAAGTCACGACAAAATAACAAAATGGAACCGTAACTCTTTTAGAAATAAAGATGTTACAAAATGTGTTCGCAAATAAAGCTTCGATTCACTTTTTAATAAAAAATCTGGAACGTACTCACCAAACCTGTCGTTCACACTTAACCAAAAGATTCTACCACAATTTACTTACGAACCAATATAATTTTTTTTACGAGGGTAGGCACCCAAAGTAAAAATACGTCGCCAATTCTCTGAATATCCAAAAACGCTTCAAATCAGAATGTACGGACTAAGACACACGAGTTTTCGAATCCAACTTCTGATCTAGAATATCCGTAAGGAATTTATTTTTTAAAAAGAACATTTATAAAACAAAAGGAACATAATCTCTGCACACAATATTATTTTCTTAGCGATATAAGAATAATAACTAATCACGTTTACACTTCAACGACTGATCACCGGTTCCCCAGAGCGTAGCTCCGCACGAGTTTTTATAGGCAACTTCAATAATTTAACTCCCATACTATTAATCGTCTATACTCCTATACTGTTAAACCTAAAACTCCCATACTAATAGTAGTCTATACTCCTATACTAATAATCTTCTATAATATTGATATTTTTTCAACATCCCTACTGTTATGGAGGGTAGAGGTAATGAGAATTGCCTCATGTAGCTGCTAAAGATTTCCAGTCGTAATCAGTACATAATAGTTCCAAATCTCTCCAGAATGACCCTACAGTAATAAGAGAGAATGAAGTAAATTTAGCAGTTGTTGACTAAGTAAATTGCGCTGAATAGAAAAACTTTATACTTTTACGCCCGGTTTGAGAATGATTAATGGTCTGAATGATCTTCTTAATGATCAGAATGATCAATTCAAAGAATTTAACCATCCTTTTGGCAACTCAAATGAAATTTGAAAATTCCATTTGACCGCAAATTAGTTAATTTCTACGATGATCAGTGTTTCAGAAACCGGGCGTGAGAAGCAATATCTTAAATCGGGAATAAATTACTAAACGAGACTAGTTTTACGGATTTATCACATTTATTTTTAGTTTTCATTCCCGATGTTTCGAACCCTTTACAGTGTTTATGTACAGGTATAAGTTTTAAAATATCCAGTGGTAAATAGCAAGTATCAGTTCAAAAACCAAGTGGAGTGGCGCGCTCGTGACAAACGTATATCATTATTTAACTTCTTTACTTTAATTTTAGTAACTAGTAATCATGGTAACGACCACTGCGTAATACCCTGCTACCATTGCGCCACCAGGTTGTCGCCTTTAAATTTCAAAGGACGTTTTTAGTTTTTACACATAGAATGAACATTGTTCTCTTAACCTTTATCATCTACACGATAACACGAGTCGTTTCCACTGCCCTAGCAGTCGGGCAGGTCCAGGTATGGGAGTCGGGTAATCGAATCCAATTGTCTCAAAGGGCGCACCGTCCCCCCGGGAAATTATCCTCCATGCTAGTTGTCTATAGGGATGCCGGAAGTGAAAAATATTCATAAATTATAAATATCGATATTTATAAAAATATAAATATCAGCCTCAACATATCGGAGAAAAAACATCGATATATCGATATTTTCATTTTAGTCCCTATTGTCCTAAACGTATGCCACGGACTCTCGTCCCAGATTCGAATTTGAAAAAAAAATAGTTTTTGATACGATTTCGAAATTGAATATTTTATATCGATATATCGGATAAATATATAACGGTTAAAATATCGATATTTTATAAAAAAAATATCAATAATTCAATATTTTATCGCCATCCCTAGATTTCTAAGTTGTTTTCAAAGTTGTAAAGAGAAAAAGAATAAATTTATTTAATCACTATTCAGTATATATGTCTTATCTATGATTCAGTATTCAGTTTAATTCAATACGGTTTAGTTGTATTAAGTCGAAGACAACAGAGCAAGGAACGTTTCTCATAAGGAGACAACTGTACATTCTGTTTTTATTTCATTCTAATGATACATTAATATTTAAATAATGTCTTCTCTACCTATTGTTTCAATCACAAGACGAGAGTCTTTTAGTTCTTGTCATAGATTACACAGGTGATATAATTTTAATGTATATTTTGTTAGGGGAAACCAAAAAAGTATATTTCTGACCCTTATGTATAGTTTCTTTAGATCATTTACGATAACTTATCTTCTACATAAAGGTCAAGGGTAGAAGTGATACGCATATGTAAATGTACTTAAATATCCGTAACAATTAGGTATTTTCTTTTATAAATATATTTATGTGTTTTTAAATATATAATTTTTTAAAAGGTTTTGTATCCAATTTTAGCCAATTTTTAAGTGATGAGGAAAACAAAAAGTTGTATGGCAAGTGCAATAATCCAAATGGACATGGACATAACTATGTTGGTACGCAGATCTTTATAAATCATTAATTAATACATTTTTATGTCAAAAGGTATACTATATATATTAATTGAGATATTTAATACTACACAGCAGGTGGTATAATAAACATTTACGAAAAAAAATCTATTAAATATTCTATATAAACAGGTCAATAAATATTTATATAAACATTTATTGAACTTTTTATATAGGAAGACAAATAATATTTCAGCAGGTACATAAAATTATTTGTGCTAATGGGGTAAAAAAGAACAATATTCATTTAAGTAATTATAAGCAGATATATTTAGTTCAATGTTTTTAATTTTTATCAGATCTATTAATATTTTTTTTCACATCCTAGTTTTTACCTTTTAGTATACCAGTTTATGGTATAAAAAACACTAATTATATCAATTGCAGTTTTGGTGACTGTTAAAGGACCAGTAGATCAACAAACCGGTATGGTAATGAATGTTCATGATTTGAAGCGCTATATGCACTCTGCTATAATGGAACCATTAGACCATAAAAATTTGGACCAAGATGTTCCTTATTTTAAAGCTGTGGTAAGACATACTTTAAATATTTGCAAAATCATTATACACCATTAATATGTAGAGTTGTTATTTGTATAGTTGTTAATTGTGTATCGCAAGTATTCTATTCATCTTCATCTAGAAAAGATATGGTTTTTTTTTTTCCATTAGCACTGTGTTGTTGACGTAACTAAATGTTTATTCTGTAGAGAAAAATGTGTAAAAAATTAACAAGCAGAATTTGTTAGTTGCTTATAATTTATACTTAATTGATTGATTGATTGCTTGTTATTTTTACTAAGAAAGTCTGCAATTTTACTAATTTGACTTCAAAAACTGAATACACAGTATTACCTATATAATAAATATAGAAAGTGCGCAACTTCTTACTCATATCAATTGTAAAACTATCAATTAATAGTTTTTTAATTCTGAAATAAGCAAATCTCTAAAAAAAATTGTATTGGAGATTCTGCTTATTTCATTAACGAATAAAATGTTTTAGGTGGAAAAACATTTATTATTATTAATGTTTACATATTATGTTATCTTTTGTGTACTGTATTTTTTTAGTAGAATATGTATAAAGTTTACCCATGCTAAATATCTTCAATTTAACTGTTACAGGTGAGCACCACAGAAAATCTAGCAATTTTTATTTGGGATCAATTGCAAAAAATAATGGACAAGCCTCAATTATTGCATGAAGTAAAAATATTAGAGACTGAAAAGAATCATGTTGTATACAGAGGTGGTAATACATATCAAAGAAAGAAATTTAATTCCAGTCTCCACACAAATCACCATGATGTTTCTTCTGATTCAGACTGATAAAAATGTTTTTTTGCATTCAGTTTCAAAATTAATCTCCATAACTTTACAGATCTGCATTCCTTTTTGTATCAATTTTTATATTATAAAAATGAAATATTTTGCTTTCTAAAAATATTAGAATGAACATAACATTCTTTGGAATAATTAAGTGTAAGGTTTTAGCATCTGTAAAAAATGAATATACTTGCCAAATAATTTTTTTTTATTATTAAATCAATTTTTCTTAAAAAGTTCATACAAGTCTTTTCACATCTCATTTTTTTCCATTTATGAAAATAACATAAATGGAAAAAATCATACCCCATTTTTACTGTCAATTTAAATAAATAAAGCGGAAGCTTTTAAACTAACTTGAAGAAAACACATGAAACTTCAAAACAAATATTGTGCAGACATAGTAATGTCAAAATATATAAGTTTAAAGAAAATGTACATATCCTTGGCTTTTCTTGCACAAATTTTTTTAAACCATTTTGATTGTTATATTACATAAGATTTTGCACATAAAACATTTCATAAATACAGATTGTACAATTACCCGTTTTGTGAATAATTATATCTTGAAATCTCAAAATCTTACAAATGCTGAGAAGAATTATCTAAAAGGACTGCAGTAACCCTACACCAAAACTGTAAAGCCCAAAGATAATTAAATGACAAAAAAAAAAAAAGTTTACAGAGAATGTTAATAGAAATACAAATACTTGCAAGTCTATGCATAGCAGAGGTATACAAGTAGAGTTATAGATTTTGTACAAAATATATTCATAAATAATGTTTACCAAACTTAAAATTCTATACAATCATCTAATACTGTCCCTGGTGGAGCAACATCTACAAAATCTTGCACTATATGCTAATACTATACTAAATGTCAGGTAAATTTACATCACAAAAATTTATACAGATTAATTTGCTTTAAAAGCAAAGTATTACAAATAATGTCAATATATATTATACATTTCTTGTAAGTAAAATAAATACAGACTATTAATTTTTAAATTATACCAAAGTATACAGATACATTAATAAACTGATCCAAAAAAAATATGGTGCACCATTATATAAAGTGTTTAGAAATAAAATATTTATTTAAACTATTTTCCCATTGCACTGTTTTACGACTATAATAATTATAATAGGTAAATAAGTCTAAACATCACAGATTGGCACTAGGACATTAAAATATAATCACTCTGAAGAACTTAAAGATAGTCCTATTCAATGTGACATTGCAAAGCAATACTGTTCATTTATTTTTTTTTGGCACACAACGCATGAATTATTGCAAATATAGTACATAAAACAAAAATAATAACTTACTATTATGGGGCGCGTAAAACTTAAAATCGCGCCTGAATTTCATACACAGTCTATACTCACATTGATGTTGCAATGTGAATCCGTTTCTGTCTCGCTCCTACTTTTTTGTTGCTCTATACCAATACTAATAATTGGTCTATACCAAGACTAATAATTTTATTGGCAGCTCTATAGCTGCCAATAAAATTATTAGTCTTTTTTTAACATTATTTTATAAATATAAGGGTGCGGAGGCCGTAAGTAGTTTTTAAAATGTATTCAGGCGCATTTAAGTAATGCGCGGAATAAATAAAATACTTTTGTCGATAAAACAAAATATGGGCAGTCTTACACGAAAAAAAGAACTAAGACTATTTATTGCTAAGAATCTATCTATTCTCTTTCTTTATGTCTATTCTTTCACCATCAATTTTCATTATTTTCTTGACATTAAGAAAAATTGTGAAAAACATTATACAATTCCAGATTAATGGCAGAGGTTATGCTTGCATAAAAGGTATATAAAAGTATATGAATAAAGTACTTTCGAATAAAGTAACTGACAAAAAGACGATTGAGAAATGATTGTTTCATAGACAATATATAGTCTGTATAAGAATCGATTTACATACAAACGCCAATGAATTATCATAACAAGCCAAGGGCTCATTTGATTATTGGATAATTTATAGACCAACATTGCACTTATCAGACGTCACAATATCACCCTCAGAATTTCATTAAAAAAAATACAAAATCTTACTTAAACACAACCAAAAAGAAAAACCTAAATAGTCAAGTTTCGGTCCTTCTTGCACGGATGTTTGAAGGTTATGTAGGGGATTCCCAATTCGAAGTCGTTTATGGGCCAGTATTTAAGCTGTGGCCTTTGCTCGGGCCTTTCATCGGAGACGTTGAAATAGGCGAAGAGGACTAGGGCCGTGTAGCTGGCTATGAATATCAGAATGTGCCACACGCCGTGCAAATATGGGAAGTCGATCGAGAGCCACGCGTCGCAGAACATCCGGTCGATGATCCAGCAGAACATAGCGAGCAGACAAACCGCTGCGCACCGCAGCCCTAGGCGGTACACGCGCGGGCACTTCACTCTGAAAAGTGTCATTTTATTATTCATCGGTCGCTTTAACGCAATCACAAGAACTAAGGCCGTTTAACGCTTACGGAACGGACTGAGATAGCTCACAGTATTTAACTGTTTGACATCTTATCTTCATAACGATTCCGTGGCCGTGTACCGGAGAATTGTTTTTGCACTTAATTCGTAAAACGAAAAACTCGTTAGTAACAGACTAAGTAAACCTACGTTAAATAAAGAAATAAATTAACAAAAGCTAAAGCAATAATCATAGATACAAAAAATAGATTAATGTGTTTTGAATAATAACATAATTTGTTCATAAAATATCCGAAAAGATAAAGCACTGATTAAAAATTTTGATAAGTATTTTGCATTACAAAAGTATTGGATTGCCGGGATTACTGTAGTTGCCGTAATGGTTAGAGAAAAGGATGCAAGATCATTGCTTCCTACAACAGGCCATTGACTCACCGGGTAGGACCGTGACGGCTCGAACAGCCGGGGTGCAAATCTTAGTGCCGGCACCAATGAAATTGTAAATCGCAATTTTAAGTTCTGACTCATCACATGATCAGCGTTGAAGGAAAATATGATAGGATAAACTTGCATATTTTCGAAATAATGATGGAAAAAAGAATTTCGAAAACATGTGAAGCCAATCCGCATTGAGGTCGGGTATACTCTAATATATGTAAAAATACAAAGGAGTCCTTTGCCCAGCGTATGTGTAATATATTCGTATATGTATATACGCTTTTACTATAATTTCTTACTCACCGCGTAAGTTCTTTATACAAGAAACCGAGCGCTGGCACCGCGAGGGTCATCAGGGCAAACGCATTAGCCGCCGGATGCATTATTAAGAAGCCCGTGGAAACCACAGAGAACACGCTGGAGTAGAATGCCAACACTCTCCTGAAAATGACCAAGGTAAAACAACAAACGGAATTTGTCAAGTCTTTTTACGCGGGAAAAATTACCTATGGTTCATTTCGTAATAGCCGTCAGGTATTTTCTTGAACAGCTGTTATCAAGATTTCTGCGCTAATCTTGTAAGATATTTAATTCGTTTTTGTTTTTGTCATTATTATTCCGAGAAGCTTAATTGTTTTTGATTTGATGACGCGGCGGCAAATGGGCTTAACTTGATGTGATTATGTCCAACCGTGTTTATTACCAACAACAGTAGACAACAATCGTAATGGTTGGGTCCCGGTTAGTTTCCTTGCAGATGACGTGCTCAAGTATAAATACTTCTACTAAACGTCGAGCTTCTTTAAGCATTCTTCCTGACGGTCCACGGACGAGTTTTCTTTGCAACTGCTTACTAAGATTTACAAGATATGTCCGATGTTGCATAACGATTCGCAAATTTAGAAGTTAGATTGTAAAGTGATGAATCCGATTGAAGTTCATCCATTGTTTACATTCGAATTTTGTTGTAAACAAATAAAAACCTTACCATCGAAACATTGGTACATTTTGATGAAATAAATTACGAAAATAATAAAAATCAGAAATACCCGGATACCAGGAATTTGCCAGTTAAAATTCATGCAGACCGAAAACTATAACTTCGTACAAGTATCATTTTGGCACATACGATATATTTCACTTTATTACACTTATAGTGAAAAGAATTTGTGAAGTTTTGTGAATAGGTTTCAGACGCGTTTAGTTAACTTAGAACGAAAGGCACGAATAATGAAAAAAAAAAACAAAAAGCACAATTTATAAAGAGTATGCAAAAGACTATGCCAAGAAATAATCTAAACGATAAATAAGTTTTTTTTTATTTGAGAACACGCCGACATCGTTCGGTTGTCTAAAAATTGCTTAAATATCAATCGATTTACGCGATGTAAATAAAGTATGATGATAACTGTGATGTTTTCGAAAAGTATTTCAGTTATAAACAAAGAAAACTTGGTATAATTGCCTAAAAATTCCATTAATTACATTTTACTACATGTATTAAAACATTTTCCAATACCAAAGCAGACAATTACCCTTTATCGCAATATCTTCGCAAACCTATTAAGCGTCTACAATAATAATAACAGCTCACGCAATGCTTATCAACAGCGAAGGCGCAATTAAGCATCAAAATAACGATATTAGGTATTTCATTGCGTTAGTAGCACATTCGGTGCAAGAGCACTCAACGCACTTAACATACTGTAACAATCTGTTACCTTTTGCTGAGCAGAGTATCTTTGCACTAATCAATGCACATTTGAATACAATTAGCGACACATCTACTTGTTATCATATGTTTTAAATAACACAGTAAAATATTGATATGATATAAAAATATGGTCCTCGGCAGATGGTATTCTAGAAAATGACAGTCGGGCTGTCGTTTCACCTGACATTAATTATCCCATTGATAGACGCAACGCTCGGTACGTATGATGCTGTCGAACCTTAAAAAGGTTAAACCCTGGTTACCTCACTTGCTAGACGATACGCAAAAGTATGAGTACTTCTAGATTACCCGCGTCATCTTCCAGTCCATATTACATCCCCTCATTGCCCATTATTGCAACAATAGAAGGTGCTATTGCATAAAGCATGATTTTGATGACTCCATGGCCCAGTGGCCAAGGTATTGGCTTCGGCGTCTGGGGTCGTGGGTTCGATTCCCACACGGGACAACGATTTATTTGTGTGACCCACAGATGACCACAGAAACAACTGTTTCGTATCTGGGTGTTGGTCCGCGTGAAATTTATGTTTGTAAAACGTCCTTACAACACAGGATAATGTTATCCTAAGATAATGTAAGGGCAATGTTTAAAAAAAAAAGCAGGCAAATCATTGATTAATCATGCCTTAAATGTTCAATGATGAAATAGGATAATGGAATAGCATCATGGAATAGCGTCACGTTACTTTGTGTATAATTAACAAGAGCACTTGCAAATTGTAAGATTCTAATTAGCTAATACAATGTAACACAATTATCGAATTACATACGTACGATGCTCGAATAGCATGACTACAGTGCCTCGTGAAAATGGCTACGGTGCAGTCATTATCGCATCAAATAAAAGCATGAAGGTCAGTTTTAACTGTGAACTGAACTGTTGACGGCAACGATAGCGACATTATATGACCAGTTGTACATGACGACGCTTTATACCAGATCGAAACTCAAAATAAAGCGTTTTATATCAGAAGCGTAACCTGTTTTTATATGCGGGTAATGCCTAGACCATAACCAATCCCTGGGCATAAAACGATGAGGTTTTATAGTTAGTTACATGTTCCCCGGGAGGGTGGGGTAGATTGCTTTAACTGCTACACGAATGGGCAGGTTATGCAATGAAACTTTGATGACTACGTGGCGCAGTCGTCAAGGTATCGGCTTCGGCGTCAGGGGTCGTGGGTTCGATTCCCACACGGGACAACTATTTGTGTGACCCACAGATAGTTAATAATTTCTTGTATTTACGCGATTACACATTATAAATTAAACTAATTTTACGGATTTATCGCGTTTATTTTTAATTTTAATTCCCGACGTTTCGAACCCTTTACAGCGTTCATGGTCACGGGACAGACTGAGGTGTTAGACGTCTGATTGTCATAGTTAACCCGGGCTACCGTCAGTTTTTGACTTCAGACTTCAGACTTCAGACAAGTCTGCAGTCTGTGAGCACATTTTGAATAGGCCCAACCACTACATCAGGTTTGACAAACCACAGATCCTTGCAAAAGAACACCGATTCCTCCCAAGGATGATTCGCGAGGCTATTGAAATTAAAAAACACCCTAATTTCAATAGAGAAGAAGGTTGGGTACTACCATCAGCTTGGGATCCTGTCATCAATAAAATTAAATCTAGGCCCAAACGAACCACTACTGCAAGACAAGATACAATTAGCTCCCTCTGCATAGATCGGACACAAAATTAATAATTCAAAAACTGACGGTAGCCCGGGTTAACTATGACAATCAGACGTCTAACACCTCAGTCTTTCCCGTGACCATGAACGCTGTAAAGGGTTCGAAACGTCGGGAATTAAAATTAAAAATAAACGCGATAAATCCGTAAAATTAGTTTCATCCACAGATAGTTGTTCCGCATCTGGGTGTTATACCAAAGTAAGGACAATGTTTATAATAAAAAACAAGAAAAACAAGAAACTACCACTCCACAGAAGACCGACATTATACTTTTGGTTTCGTGTGGTGAGTGAGGTGGCCAGGGCACAATTCTTTGAAAGTTGGCAACTTTAACTTCTGTCCACACGAACTGTGGACGTCCATTGGCTGCGGATTCTCTGACACCAGTTGAACCCCCTGCTCGCTTACAAACTTTTGACGCAAACACATTGTCCATTATCGTATCTTGATTTTACGAAATTGTAATGTGCCAATGTTGTTGATTCACATCGACGTTGATGTTTCATTAAACAGAGATGATTATCATAAGGCGGAAAACGTCCATTGTTTAACAAAGATAAAAAAAAACCAATTGTATCAAGCGAACATAAAATTAAAAATGACATGGTCAACAATTGAACTGTTCATTGTTGAAAATCAAAATTTCTGTGTCAACAATTACAATCCATTCAACTCTACAAAGGCCCACCAATTATTGAAATTTTAAGATTATCCAATTGAAAGGTTATTCACATGTCTTAGCAGTTTAGCAACTTTACGTAAACATTTATTATTTAGAATTTTTTTAGCTTTCCTTTCATTGTTTTATAATACTGTTTAAGCCCCTATACTCTGTGTATGATGTGTTCATCTGTATTGAAATTGCATGTTGTTCTTTACAACATGCAATGTTTATGCTCAATCTTACTATGCTATTTGTAAAAACATATAAATTTGTAGATAGACCTTAATAAATATATAAATATAGAAAATAATACATATCTTCCAGCTAGAATCAGGCTTTGCTCAGTACTTGTTTGGAGAATTGATATATTATATGGTTTTAAAAACTTTTTGGAAATGTGTATTAAACAACAATTTTATTGTGCATAAGATCACATAAACATGCATCAGAGCTAATTTTCACTTTCAAATAGTGGCTAAATACTACTTTTATAACAGTAGAAGAATATAATAGTTCACAAAAAAGGAATTCACATACCTATTTCCACCACAAAATCTTGGAAAATATCTCTTGGGAAAAAACATAGCAAAAGCCGCCATGAAAACCCATAGTATGGCTAGCTCATCTAGTAACTGGCCTAGAAATAACAATGTACAATGAGTATAAAGTTATATTTGGAATATTTCACATAATTATAATAAATTTAAATGAGTTTTACTTACCAACCAAGCTGAGTGTAGCATGAAAATATGCAGAGCTTAAGCCAACCACCATTAGCAGGACCCATAGGACATTTATAGCTGGATTGACAAATTTCGCATATTCTTGAAATAAGTGGATTAAGACAGGTGGAAACAAGAAAAACAGAATGTTGCTTACCTGTAATGTTACAAGTAAAGCTATAACTTCAACAGAAATATTAAATAACTATATATTTAACACTTAATTGAGCCACATGCTAATGAATTTCGATCCTATTGAGATTTTTCGCAATTTGAATTTCGATTTTCTTTTGAAACTATGATGTTACATAAATATTTATGAAATACAAAGGAATTGTTAATGAAAGGCATAGTTAATGAAATAACAAAACACGTAACTTACGGTGTTAACAAATTCTGCTATAACAGGAGAAATAGAATAATTGGATTCGCACCAATCTACGGGTGAGCTTCCTCTTTCCAAATGGGACCACATTTTTATTTTCTTTGTTTACTAAAAAACGAAAACGAAAATATTTGGTGTTGAATATAATGAATTTAAATCTCTATCTATACTCTTACTTAAAATTGTCGTTTAAATATGAAAATTTCGTATATAATTACCATAAAATAAATAATACGAAATTAATAAAATCGTATCTCAAATTATTTTTAATTGAATCGACTAACTCTCAACATGAGATTTGGTTGTAAACTGATTTGAAATTAGGGAGATCAGTGTAGCCAACTACTAAAAAGAAATGACCCTAATATCAAGATGAAATAGCCAAAAATAACCCTAAAATAAATATTCAAAGCCCCAAAATATGCCCTGTATTTAATACATACATATTGTTTCAATAAATTTTACGTTTTGTTGTTAATATAGCTAAGTTTTAGTTCCTTTACATTAGAAATAGTTAAACTAATAAACAAAATAACACAATATTAACAAACATTGCATAAATTACATTCATCAATAGACATTTTGATTTTATTTTACTCATTCAGGTCAGTGAAAATAGTGATTCATGAAATATTATTGGCCCTAAATTTTTTTTACCATAAACAAAGCCCAACATGCATATTTTTCGCCCTAAATTTGGGGCTAAAAGCCCTAAGTTGGCAAGACTGGTAGGGATGCCAAAAAATATCGATATATCGATATTTTTTATTAAATATATCGATAGTAATAGCCGATATATTTATACTACAATTTCATGCTTCGTACTTGATACTATCAATATCTAAGGTACAACATGGTATAAAGGTATTACAAATCATTACTATTGAACTACAAGTTAAGCTAATTTATAAATAGCATGCGATACATTAATGGTTTCAACTAAAGTTACTTTACTTTAATATTTAAATAAAGTTAACAAAATTTAATCATATTCTCAATTAAATGTCACATTCATAATATAATATCAAGTTCTCATAAAAAAATTCTTTGACATCATAAAAATTATTATCATTTAACCACTGTAACTTTAATAAATTGTCGTTCAGCATTTTGATGTTAATCAAACAACTATTACTAAATTCTGCTGATCCAGAAGTGTCTTTTAGGACAAGTCCCTGCGGGTTCCTTTTTGACCCATTATTAATTTAATGTTAAACAATTCTTTATGTTTTTTTACAATTTTTTTTATTAGTTATTTTTTTATTCGATTCAGGTATAATCTAGCTAAAGAAACTGATTTATCTTACTACATAAGCTGTTTGTTTTCTTCCAATGGGGATCTTGGCCAATAATATACTTAGAAATTTAGATTAAAATAATCAAATTTTTTAATGAATTAATAATTAATGATTAACGTATTTTCGTTTTATTAAGATTCCTCATACATTAAAATAATGTGAATTTAGAATATAAAAAAACTATTACTCATTATTGAATCATACTGAACTAAATACATTATTTTTTTAAACCGAAAATTTTAACCGATATATCGATATTTTTTTCGATACATCGAGGCTGATATTGATATACGTATCGATGTATCCAGATATTTCTTCACTTTCGGCATCCCTAACTGAAATAGGGCTGCCTGCTTTGGCTTAAAGGTCTTGTTTCCAGGTCATAAAATCTTTATTAAAAAAAAGGGGATTCCTGCTCTGCCTCTCTCTCAAGGGATCAAAGTCAAGCCGTCGGATCTCTTACCATCGTCGCAGAAAGTGCCACAGGACTCTAAAATAGATGGAACATTGATGGAAACAAGAGTCCTACGGATGATGTCGTTCAGGGCTCGTGGCGAGAAAAGCGTTCAGGACTTTTTTGACAAGAAAGCTCGTGGAGACCAAATTTGTGTACATTGACACCACAAGGGCATTGGTGTGGTTGACAAATGGGTGCCCCCAGACGTATTTCTACAGCAATGCGTAAGCTTTCATCGTGAAATAACGTGCTCAAGTTACTTGATGGTAAAGAGTGAAGCCAACAACTCGATTCTTTACATGAGCCGCCTAGGAAATAGGTACGCTCTCTATTACTATATAAAGATTGAAACATGTCTTTCTGTATTCTCTGCATCAAAGGAACATCACACTGTTTTTGTAGGTTTACTTCTAGTGGGATATTTCTTTGGAGCAGATAGACAGCCAAGACCTCCTTGCCTCCTCGGCATTGGAAAATTCCGAATCGTGATTTATGATATTATTACATAAATATTATTTACACTATGCACGGAAACAAGGAAGGCAGGTAGAGCGACACTAGAAATTTTCCTGACGAAAACGAATTGGTAACGTAGCTTGAGTCCAGCTTAATTCATTAAAAGAAACAATGTAGAATATTTTCTAGAGCTGATTTAAAATGAAAATCAATTTCGTTCAAAACTCACCGCATTTCGAAACGACTCGAGCGAAGGAGGTACGTAAATTTAGGTACAAGAATACAATGTAGTCAGCGCAATATGCGAATTTAGTAAAAACAATTTGTTAACATGATCTAAAACTAGATTTAACCTTACTTTTAAAAGAGGTTCCAAACTTGGTATTAACATAGGAGCAGCTAAGAGGTAAAGTGAATCTGTACGAATTACGTTAATTCCTGCCTGGTATGATCGAGCTAAAATTATGGGTCAAAATAATTTTGGTGGAAAAAGAAATCTTTTCGGAAAAGAAAAGTTCATATTTTGAATTTTTTGTCAATTGCCTAATAATTTCAATAAAATCACTTTCTAGATTACTTTACCTCTAAAAGTACCATCGTCTAGGTCATCAGACATTAAGTTTAGATTCCAAGAAATTAAGTTTAGTTTTCTTTTTTTTTTAAATAATTGGATGAATTCCCAAACTAAATAATACTGGTCCTAGCGCTGCTAGCGGTCTTACTGCTGTACGCCGACGACAGAATCTATAATATTGTTTTCATCAAAATAAATTACTCTTTTCACTGTAACATTGCAAAACATTATGATATATTTCTGGTTAGCCACTTCGTTCAGCAGAGTCGTTATGTAAGTGGAGTTAAAAGCATTCCTTAGGTCAACACTCAACCTTCAGAAGTACGTCCAAATCACTAGTATTTAAAGAGGTTCGAACGGAATGTACAGCTGCTTCACATTCGCCTTTGCTTCTAAAGCGAAAAACAGGCTGAAATATTGTTTTAAGGCCGGAGATTATGTGCCCACATGCTCATTTTGTAGTTCACCCTCGAAAGGTAGAACCAATAGCAATAGGACGGATACCATCTATCTTTTTTCTTAAAGGCACATAATCTCGCCCCGTATAAAAATGGAACAAATTTAGAATTTATCTTTTCGAAAATAATATAATAATATAAATATTTTACCATTTTACATGATTTAAGAACGTAATCAATCAGCCGTTTACCTTAGTGGCTAAAGCGTCAGGCCGCGAATGCCGAAGAAGTGGGTTCGATTTCCTCAGCAGCGACAATCTTGTCGTACTTTTTCTAGAGATTTTAATTTTGATATTGTTATTATTCACCGTTCGCCATTCCCCATTATTTAATTATATTTTTTTCTTGTTCATTAGCATCTACGGACAAAATCGTGGCTATATAGATTTTAGCGTTACGTATTTATATTCGAAACTTATGTTATAAATTTTTTGTGAGAAAATTACCAAACATATATTTTTATTTAAATGATGAATAATCCTATAAGAGATACTACGTTTAACGCTAGCAATGAGCTTATTTTCACAGGCCACGGCGCATACTCGAACCTACAAAAAGAAGTATCAAAAGGTGCATTACTCCGCAAACAAAAACCACGACAACATGTTGATAATTATTTGTATGATAAAGTACATGTTGACTTTGATCAGCCATCTACGTCGAAATATAATTACTACCAACAGATAAATAGGTGATTATTAATTTTAATTCATAGATTTATATTAAAAACAATAGTTGGACAGTAACCTCTTAAACTATATTACATATAAACTGGTGAATTATTTCTTTGGTAAATAATTAAGTGTACTTACTTCAAAAGACTATCCATGTGGTATGTTTTTAAGCCTTTTAATAGACAAAATTTGGCAATAATAAAAAAATTACCAATTGTAGTGGAAAGACACGTAACAAATCTAAAAAAATTAAGAGAGTAAAATCTCCAAAAAGATGTCCAATTAGAGCAGCCGAGTTGGCTGTACCTACAAAACGTCAGTGTATCGAATCCTGGAGATACAAGTCGAGGGTAATGCCAAATTACATGGTAAGTTTGTTACCATGGGTGCATTCGTTTTACTTTGCACACATCGCTTATAATTTATATGATATAAAAAAACCACATAGGTGGACTAAATGCCATCTGCATTATTTGTCATTCAATCTTGGGGCGGAAAAATTAAGGTAGGTAGCATTCATTATAGGATTAAAGTTGCCGTTACTGAAATTTTGACCTAATATGATAAAGGTACCTGTAATATACAATGGAAGGCTAATCTATAAAAATAAACACACGTACATATATTAAATACATATAAAAAATTAAATATATAAATTATATAAATACTACTTATTTTTATGTATATATTATTATATTTTTTTACGAACAAGAGAATCTGAAATTTTTATGCAAGCGCTGACGAACTTCTGCTATAGATGTAACTATAAAAAGCCGGTATAACACCTATAGGTTGAGAGAAATTTCAAAGTAATTGATTTTTCGTTGCGTAGAAATATTCGTATTATTTCTCATGACTGTATCTTTTTTTGTCTGGAGAGTAACTGCTTGAGATAGTTTTTAAAATGTTAATTAACATGCATCGTAGGGTTGCAAATGTTAATTAACATTTGCAACCCTACGATGTTGCAAATGTCCATGGGCGGCGGTTATCACTTAACATCAGGTGAACCACCAGCTCGTTTGCTACATTCTCATATAAAAAAAAACTTGTCAAGTTTGATTATATACTTATATTCTTGATAAGTTTATAATCAAAGTATATGGCTCAAGATACTTCTTATCGATTAGTCGAGTAATCAAATAACGTAAAATATTTTTTTATTCCAAAGGGTTGGAAACATCTACAACACCTAATTGGTTGCAGATGTGACTAGCATACTCAACAAGTCAAGCTTTAAAAATGTATGCTCCGGTTATTCACCTCAAATTATATTTCCACTACATGTTGGCCTTCTGATAATTCGTGGCACTCACCCGGACGTGTCTGTCCTACGTGTCCTATCCGTACAACAGCAGGAGCTGCAGCGGGGCCTTAAGCCTAACAAGCAAGAAAATACATACTTGATGTATGAAACCAAACTTACAATGTGACAAAGTATAAACAACGTTTGTTAACTTTCAATTTATTCCTATACCTCCAGGTAGACAGGCTGAAGCAAAGAGTAAAGGATGAAAGGCCAGTAGTGCTAATAACGGACGCAATTAATTGTTTTAAAAATAGAAAAAAAGGTACAAAGAGGTAAAAGTTTTATTGGCACTTCCTTTGCATTAATGGACAAAATTAGAACAACAAAAGCTCCGCATATCTTTTAGCATAATAATATCGATTAGGGTAGATGTATCTAATCAATCAAGAATTTGTATAGATACAAAACGTTATCACGAAATATGCTACAATGATTTCTGGACGCAAGGAGTTCCAAAAACTAGAAACTTACGATTCGAGTCAACGACCTCAGCCAACGAGTCAACATCTCGATAACGACTTCGACAACAAATAACCTTTTTAAATTTCTAGGAAATGTTGTTCTTCGTAATTATAATTAAGCCGTGATTAGTCTCCAGGCGCTCCTATACTAGAGCAACCTGAGTTCGATCCCCGGTGCCGGTACCAATGAAATTGTTAATTTCAAGTGCGGATCGTGAGGAAACCAGCATATTTTCGAAATAATAACAAAAAAAAATATTTCGAAGATATGTGAAGTCTATGCCCTGATACTCTCTGTACAGAGGATGCCTTTGCCCAGCAGTGGGACATGTACAGACTGTTACTTTTTTTTAATGTTTCTAAAGCAAATAAAAAAACTGATTTGCGTACTTCACTAATGATATCTATTTTAATAACGACCTTTTGCATGGATAATTGAAATAAAGTAAGTTATTAAAATATGTAGAAAAAATTATAAGTGCAGAGATTAGCACTATAAAAATTTAAATTTCTAAAATTAATTAGTTACGATATAAACTGATAACGACTGAAAATTTTATAAATCTGAAATAAATTCTTTCAGAATTGCTTGCAGGTCTAATAAACCCGCTTCACCACCCAATAAAAGTAATCGAATTGCAGATATGAAAATGCTTAGTGCAATATTTGGATATAAAATCACCGTTAAACTGTTACGTCCATTAAGTTTGTCACTGAATCCCCGGTAATATTGTTACATGATTTATTTATTAAAATAACTTGGTAAAAAGACAAGACTATACTTACATATATAACGGCACGGCAGTCATACACAGCTACAGAATAAGTTTTAAACTTAACAGATTTAAAACTATTTAAATAGTATGACAAATTTCACACACATTCCCAAAAATTTATAAATTAAAAAAATCGGTTTCTGACTTTAATAAATATTATTTAAAAATGCTAAATATTATATAAAAATCTGTTATTTATTTTTAATTCTATTAGATTGGACCAAATAAATAACATTGTGAAAGAAGAAATAGAAGCCCTATTACAAGACAAACAAAAATTAAGCCAAAAGGAGTTTCGAAGAACAGACGAAAATATAATTGATGAAGTGGCCCGAAAGGTATATAAATCTATTAAATTATTATTTTTAACTTGAAAAAACACTTGAAACATGAGAGATATTACAAACCATTTAGAGAATGATTACAAAACTCAAGGCTGTAAAAAGTACTATAATAAATCGTGACTCGACATCTTGTTTTACTCTTCTATACTTTTAGGTATTATACATAATTTATATCTATCCTTTTATACACAAATTCCTATAGAACAAGCACTAAATCTGACAACATTCAGTCCACTCAGACAATGATATTTTACTAAAGGTGCATGTCCATACTGCTCGGCGTTTAAAATTGTTCCGTTTACATTACTTATAAGATATATAAACAGGGTGGCTTTTATAAAGGTGGCCAAAATCACACAGGAGGTTCAGACTCAAATAGTATAATCGTTTATTGAAATAAAAACAAAATTTATTTTAAAAAAAATGCCATTCTATTACCTAAAAAAACAGAACTTGTTGACAATGCGGTAGTGATTCATAAATGCGTCGTATACTTTTAAAACGAACTTGTTTGCGTGTTAGCTATGAATGATCGCGCGTAAAATAAATGAGTTGCCCATAGATCACCCACATTTTGAGATAAGTTCAAATGAATGTAATTAAACAATTAAGAGTGATTTTATATTTGATATTTAAATATTTATCATTATTATATAACATTATTTATGTCTAGAATTTAATTAAAACAATGGATAGGTACACTTAGAAAAGCCCTCCTGTATAAGTGAATTTAACAGATGATTTAGAACGTTTGATAAAGACAAAGACAAAGTCTATAAAATTGTAAAGTAATTACACCAATTGGCCTAATTTGAATGATTCAATTTTGGTCCTCTAGTGTCATAAATCTACCTCTTATTTGTAAATAATATCATTGACGTCAGATAATTATAAAAGGAGCCTAAATAAAGTAATAAAATTGTCAAAATTACACGATTCAAGGTATATCATTTTGTATTCACACGTTCTGAGTGAACATTTTTGATTTGATTTTTATTATACTTTATCTCATGGTTTTTTCGCAATAATATTATATACAAATACGAGGTAGATATGACACTAGAGTACTAGAGCACCAAAACTGGGGCACTCAAATGGCACCAATTGGTATTATTGCATAGCATTTCTATAGACTGCTATCGTTTTTCCGTAGGTATTGTACGTTCTAATTTTTATATCATCTGGCACGCTCACTTTTATGGCGTATAATGTAAAGCGGAACAATTTTTAGACGCCGCATAGTATGGACATGCGTTATAATTATTAAACATCATTTCTTTTACCATATAAGACGATAATTTGAATATGTTCTTTAACTCCACAGATTACATTATGGATTGAAAATATATTGACGGACACGAATTATAGGCTATTAGAAGAAAGTCTCAGAGGTATTTCCTCAATGATATATACGTAGTATAAATTATCGAAATTACCGGAATTTGTAAAACCCTTTAGACTTGATAATTAATATTGTACCCCATCTAACTCCCACGAATAATAACAGACCAAACAGAACACTACATCATCTGTAAAAACTTTTCAAACCATGAAAAAAACAGGTCTGACCTTTTTTATACGTAGAGGTTATTTTCCTTAATTCTATCCTCCATGATAGACTACAAAGTGTGCCAAAGAAATAGAGATAGGTACATACTTAAACACGCTTCAAAATATTACTTAACTTCAACAGTGGGTTTAAAAAAATCGGATGTAAAATTTGGAGGACTAACGCGTAACCAACTCTTTGAATTGATCGTTCTGATCATTAAGAAGATCATTCTGGTCAATTCAGAGATTTTAACCATCCTTTTGGCAACTAACATGAAATTTGAAAAGCCATTTGACAGCTGATTAGTTGACATCTACGATGATCAGTGTTTCAGAAACCAGGGTAATGTATGCATTTATTATGGTATTTAACATTTCTAAGTAACTTAATAACTTTCAGAATTAGAAGAAGAGGAAGGTCCAGTTCTAGATTTTATTGATGATTTGATAGACAGAGTTACGGTAACTGTGATAATTATTTTTGGTTTGCAAATAACTATAACCATAATATGCATTTTACACTTTACGCTATGATTTTCTTTTTCTAGAGTATCTGTGAACCATCCTTTTATGAACCGAGTGAAAAATCTTTTGAAAGGTTAGACTCTGCGACCGCAATATCGGTCTTCGTTAATTCTCCAGACTTTTCGAAAGACAATATTAAACAATTAATAGAAGAAATCTGTCTTCAAGCATTGGAGGAAGTAGAACGACAAAAATATAATTATAATGAGTCAGTTTACAAAGACTCAAATTCCGTTAGTGAAATTTTAGGTTCTAGTATTCAAGATGTAGATAATGAAGATGTATTAGAGTATAATGAAAAACAATTTACAATAATATTAGATCAAATTTTAAATAATGTTATAATAGATGATTCTCATTTAATTGAAAATCAAGATTTAAATAATCTCACTAATATAGAGTTCCCATCACAAAAGTAATATACAAAATAAAAGCGAAACCCTCTTCCTTGATTTGAAATCTGATTCAATAGTTGGATATGATAGAAACCACCAAGAAGACGCATTAGATTTAATAAATCGCGAAAATAAATACAATGATGGTGGTGTAAGTAAAAATGACCAGTGGAATCAGTTGAAAGAAATTGATCAAAATCAAGAACCAGAGTCTTCAATTTATGGCGAAAATGATAAAGTAGATGACAAAAATAATTTAGAAGATACGGAAGAAAGAAATGTAATGTCCATGGAAATTGAAAATAATAAAATTGAAGATGAATTTATCGAAATTAGCGTAATGGATCATTTGGAGCCGGAGAGCAAATTAAATGATGTAAGAGGTTCGGAACAAGACGAAAAAATCATAAAGGACAGTAAAAGTGATCGTGAAGATAATGACGACGATATCCAGTTTACCGACGCAGAAAATGGAGAAGTAAAATTATCGTCGGAAGACAGTCTAACGAAAGTAACAAACAAAGATAGCGTGAATATAACCTCGGATTCCAAAACCTTGGAGTCAGCAGATGACGACGACAAAAACAAAAAAGTAAAATTTTCAGATATTGATATGGGTAATAAAGTTTAAATTTCGTTTCAATAAGCTGTTCTACAATGAAAGGTTTTTTTCTAAAATTACTACTCCAAACTACGCCTAATACATGAACTTTTGATAAACTATAAAGAATGCAGCTTTCTAGGCATAGATGAATGAACATAAGTCTAAAGCGCTGGTAGTCGTCGGCTTCGATTCCTACCCGAAACAAGTAGGTTTCGTGTTTCAGGAAGGGTTTCCGTTTAAATATCGACAATATTTTGGAAGGCTCTTAAAAATAACTTATATCCGCAATTGATGTAATAAATTGAAGTTTTTCGAGATCATTTTAATGTTCTAATGTGGATAATTGTATTTTTTTTATTTAAATCACCTTGTTGTTGTATCTTCTGTTTTAACCGAATAGAAAGTAAAAGCTGTATTAAATTTTCTTTATGAAGCTCAATTTCCATCCTGTGATTTTTAATATACTTTTTGATAATGCCACAATCAAAAATTAGGCATAGAACTAAGGAGAAAATACTTTTTCAGGACTTGGATTAAACACTCTGTTATCAACAAAACAAAGGTAAATTTAGTAGTTTGAATTTTACCTTAACTTGGTTAAAATTTCATATTGTTAAATCAAAAAGGCAATTTCGTAGTTATATTATGTTCGCTATGTTCTAAACGCTAATTTGACTGAACAGATAAGAAATTTGTATAATTTAAATACTACTTTTTATGATTGTTGTGTATAAATTCTCTATTCGTTGAAATTTATGTTTCAAAATCATATTTTTCAGTGCTCAAGAATTACTGTTACAAGTATCATCTAGCGAAAATCAAAAGTTAAATATCAATTTAGCTCCGCCAAATAACAACTTGCTTTGTAAGTAAATTTTAGATTAAATTAATTAACAAGAAATAATTGTAATGGAGTGGTGGGTGTAATCCCTTAGGCAATGGACTTGCGATTTATGGCCGTGAGTTTGGATTCCCATTAGGGCGTATCAATTAATTTTATCGGTGGGTAATTACTATCTATGTCCATTGCGTGGGAGTTAAAAACTTAAAAAATAGTGTGTATTGTATGTGTAGTAGTTTATTCTTCTGCACATATAAATAATATTATTTACAGCCAGCGCTGATGAATCATGGCCACAACATATGCCGCTTCCTACAGTTATGGTTACTGATAGTGTAAATAAATCTGTAACATCTCTTGGTAAAATTTTTGAAACAGATGAAAAAGGAACATCATCCAAAAGCAGTTTTAATTCTGGACAAGTTTCGGAAATATTAATGGATGCTCCACCATTTACATCGACATCCATCGATGGTAAAATCAAAGATGGGTTAATTTCACCCCTACAGAAGGAAAGAGAAATAGTTCCTGATACAAAAAGTTTAGAATTATTTGTTTTTGAAAGAGACCCAAAAATAAAAAATGGAAAAAAGCAATTACATACTAAAAAGCGCAATAAAAGCGATCATATGATAAAAAACCGCGAAAATTCGGAAAGTGTTAATAAAAGTAAATCACAAGTATCCACTACACTGAAGGAATTCAATAAAGGAAATAAATTATCTAGAAAATTTGATACACAAATTCAAAAAGAAATGTTAAATGAGCGACATTATATAAATCAAAATAAGATAAAGAAAGAAACAAAGGTAAAAGATACAAGAAAAGAATTACCAGAAGCTGATGTTAAGGCTAAAGGAACCGAAATGAAAGTAAGAGGCATGAAGACAGATAAAACATTAAAATCAGATTTAAAGAACCCTGAGCAAGTTGTAAGCGGAATTGGACGCAAAATTAAGGGTTAGTTTAAATTTATTTAGTCTAAAGAGGTTTTTTTTATGAAAACGAAGACGATTTATGGAAAAATTTAAAACATTGGTGTTCCAGAACGTAAACGTAAATCACCTTCTCGTAAAAAACCTTCATCCACGCAAAGAGAAACCAAATTAAAAAAGATTGGTAAGTTACGTTTTTACAATCGATTCTTAATTACTTTGGTCAACATTAGTCTCATTTTAGGGATAAGCACTATAGATAATGATGCTATTTTCAAATGGTGCAAGGGTTTGGAAAATGTTATAGATAATTTAGAAACCTGGAATGCTTGGATAAATTCCACTTGTACCTGCATTAGGTATCTGAAGCAGAAAGGTAAGGTTATATTTAAAAAATATATTGTAAACCATTCTTGTCGTTTTAACTATGTAGCCATTACAGGTAATTCTCAGAGTGTACGATCCATTGAAAAAACTAGAAGGAAGTGGAAAATATTACATAAAAGCATTAAACAAGATAGAGTTTTATGGAGTGATATGCAGCGCCGTAATTGCGATGGTTTAAAAAGCTATAAAAAGTATTATTACAAGGTTAATATTTGTAAATGTGCTACAAAACTGTAAACACAGTATTTTAATTTTGCGGAGACGTGTGACGGTGTGATTTATGCAGTTCATATACAGCGTGCCTTTACAATCGCGATAATAAATGAACACACATTAGGATAAATTATTAAAATTGTATTAAACATTTACATTCTTTAAACATAAATATTTACGGAGTTAATAAATTTTCCAAAATAACGATTATTAGAACACGCTTCCGTATAAAACTGTAACGTAAAGTTCATCCGTACATATGAATGGTGAGTGATGGTACAGATGATGTCCATGGGCGACGGTATTCACTTACCACCGGGTGAAACGTCTGCTCGATTGGCAACATTTCACATAATAAAAACGATAGTGGTTTAAAAATGCTGATAGAAACTATTAAACATTCTGTTATACGGCAACTAATGCACATACAGCCTACAGCCTTAAAAATCTAAAAATTGATGTAGGTTATCTACCTATTCCTTTTTTTGGATTTTATGGCCCGGTATTAAAATTGGCACAGACATAAGTTTTTTGAAAGGGTGGAGAATATTCCAACTTATGTTAAGGCCGAAGATGTGCCATGAACATATGCCATACCCGGAGGAGTCTCAAACATTGCCGGCCTTTAACATTTAATACCCTCCTTTAAAAGCTCAAAGGCTCACAAATCGTATTCGTTTGGAAATACTAATGCTGAAATACGACTGAGATCAAATTGTGATAAAGATTCAAAGTATACCTAGTTGAATATTTAGTTTCATGTAGAATTTCAAATATTTCGGATGTTTCGATGCCGGAAAACTGATACCATTATCATCCTTGTTGCACAGATACAGAATTGAAAGATTAGTTCGTTCAATTCTTTTTTTTAAACTAGACCTGTCAAAAACACTACTTAGTACTTTTTATTTTTTAGGGCGACGTAGAAGATCAATGTAAAAAATGTGACTGCAGTAAAACTTAAAAACAATTACAAAATAAAACTCATGTTTCTTTTTTTATTAATAAGCACTATTATTAAACATTTACAAGTAAAAATCATGTTGTATTTTACCTTATATTCAGAAGCGAAATATTTATTTCGATTTCATTTAAAGTGTACAGTTACTTGATTGTAGTCGTATTTTCTTATATTTCTATCTCTGCAAGCTGTCAAAATCCATTTGCCATTGAATGCTATATCTCTTATACCATCACAATCAGAGCCTGTTAGCTGCACTCTTATTGCAGTGTGTGTTTCTTGCAAAGACAATACGGTGCAAGTTCCATCTTGGCGACCGACTACAAACATTTGATTAGTAAGTGTTGCCAGGCTTAGAACAGGGCTTGCTGATTCATACAACTCTTTTACAATCGAACCATCTTGAAGTTTCATGAAAAAGATCTGAAATAAACAAAAATATCACTTAATAACTTGATGCAAAAATGTTCTATTGTTATTAGATGTAAAAAGTATATGAATGAACTCTTGTCTTCAATACATAGTGTACTAAAACAAAGTCTTCCCGCTGTCTGTCTGTTCCTATATATGTTAAGATCTTTAAAACTATGCAACGGATCTTGCTGCGGTTTTTTTTACTAGATAGAGTGATTCAAGCGGAACTTTTATATGTATAGTACGTTGCACCCGCGTGAAGCCGGAGCGGGTCGCTAGTTTACAACATAAGTTATTAAACTTAAAGCTATATGTTTCAATCGTTATTTCAAAGTTTTTGGAACTCATTAAATAAAATAAAACTATTAAGAAAAAATTTGCAGTAAACCATGAAGTCGCAGACTTTAGAATAGTGGTAAAGTCTTTTCTGCTTGTCATTAAAGATAACTAAAATTCGATACTGCGTTCACGGACCATTCGGCAATAGCGGACATTGTTAGTCTTTCAATGAAATTACAGAGAGTTTTGGATGTAAATAAAGACAAACTATATGCTAAATTAATAATTTATCATTATCAAAAATTACCTTTCCATTGCTACAACCGGCAACAATTATACTGTCGATAATAATACAGACATTCACAGCAGAATCCAATGCCTTTTGATACCTTTCATTTCTTTTGGCGATATGAGCACAGACAATTAAACCACTTTCACAACCCACAATCAGCAATTTGTTGCCAGTACCAATCTATAAAAGTTAACAGTAAGTTAATATTAAAACAGTGTCGTCGCTGTGGCTATCAGCCGTTTAGCTCAGTGGCTAGAGCGTCAGGCCGCGAATGCCGAAGACGTGGGTTCGATTTCCACAGCGGCGACAATCTTTCCGTACTTTTTCTACATGTTTTAATGTTCAATCTTAAGTGCAGAGATTAGCACTATAACAAACTTTAAAATTTATAAAAAGCAATGGCGACATCTCTCGTTCGAATTATCGTTATAAAATGATATTCGAAATTGTTTGTATGCTGGAAAGGATACAACAATAGATGCGCCAAGCATTGCTTCAAATGCTAAATAACAATGTAAAAAGAAGGCGTTAAGATTTTCGTCGCTGTGGCTATCAGCCGTTTAGCTCAGTGGCTAGAGCGTCAGGCCGCGAATGCCGAAGACGTGGGTTCGATTCCCACAGCGGCGACAATCTTTTCGTACTTTTCTACGTGTTTTAATTTTCAATCTTAAGTGCAGAGATTAGCACTATAAAAAACTTTAAAATTTAGTAAGTTAATAGTTGGTAAATCAGTAAACATTATTTTATACACTATAAGCAATGTCATAACAAATCCAATAGAACAGAAATTATAATAGACCCTCAGTAATCTGAAAACTGAGATCAACTCCGTGGAATGTTTTGAAAAGAAGTCGAACAAATTTTTTCTGCCACTTTGTGATTAACTAAGCCTTTAAGGCCAATAAATAATAAATGATCATTTATGAAATTTTCCAACATGACAGCAATTAGTTAAAGCCCCCAAACCGAGAAAACATGCTATGTGAAAAATATGTGAAAAAGTTACAACCTATCAACAATAAATGTTCAAGAAGCTTACAGTAGTCTAGTAATAGTAATGTAGAAAAATTTTTTACAACCGCATTTGAAACACAATATTTTTAGTGTTGATGTTAAGGTTTTAGGCCACTAATTATTATGCCTGATGTTTATATTTTAGTAAAGCTAATAATATACACTTTGCGATGAAAATACGTCACTTAATTTATCTAATATATAAAATTCTCGTGTCACAGTGTTTGTAATTGAACTCCTCCGAAACGGCTGGACCGATTTTCGTGAACTTTTGTGTGCATATCGGCCAGGGTGAATCGGACAACATCTATTTTTATTCCCCCTAAATGTTAAGGGTGGTCCACCCCAAACATATTTTTCTAATTTATATGGCAAAACAATGTTTGCCGGGACAGCTAGTAATTGTATAAAATTTAATAATTTATATAATTAATATACATTATGTAATGACATATCTAAAATAATCTACAATGTTAATAGTTTATTTACCTCTCTATTATCACTAACAGAAACTTCTTCAATTGTTGTTGCTATAGTACAGCAATTTATAATACCATGTCCTTCTATAACATTGGCAATGCATCTTGATTCACCTACATCCCATAACTTAGCTGAGCCATCTCTACAAAATTGTAATATATTTTAATGTATATTACGTTTCACATTTTTTATATCATATACATGGTTTGTTTACATACTTGCTAACAGTTATAACATTTCTTCCTTTCTCAATAATACTGATATCGGTTAGTGACATTTTGTGACCTACTAATGTAACTGGATTAATTCCTGACTCCGCAGACCATATTTTACTTGAACCATCAGCACCAGCAGATATCAAAACAATATTTGATGGAAAGAGCCTACATTTATATACTGGTCCTCCATGACCTTTTAAATCTAAAAGCACTTCGTCTGAAATGAAAATACACCAATAAAGGTAATTTAATTTCAAAAAGGACAAATATTATTAATTTACAATACTCACCAGTTCTAGTATCCCATACCAGGAGTTTGTCCCCTTCACAAGATGTAGCTGCTAAAGCATTCTCTCCACATGAGACAGATAGTATACCATGTTTGTGAATTGTATGTGTTTTAGTAGGTGCTACAAATGCTACTTTTAAACCGGAACTCAGGTGTTTAAGAACAAGACTCAAATTACTTTGTGAAATATACTGAAAACTATCCGGGCAAACCACTTGTATTTTCCCCTCAGTTTTATCAAGTACAGTTTTGATTATATCATGTGTGCTGCCTCGTCCAACATACTTAAATGATATCCATATTTGTTTATGTGGAAGCCTAAAATAAAAATAAAATAAAGAAAATTAGGTGTAGTACCTAAGTAATACATTTTAATTAATAAATATTAATTACCTTATAAAATCAATCCAGTCACACTGTATTGTAACAAAAGGCAAAATATTAGACATGTTAATATATTTGCACAACTGTATGTATGTCGGTGCTAGAAACAAATTTATATTTCATCAGGGAGAAATATTTAATATGTAATTTTGGTAGCTAACGAAAATAAAGATAATGTTCAAAAGGTAATGCTATAATGTAATATAGAAGTATTAGTAGAACTTAATGTTATAAATTAAAATATTAAGATGTTATAAATATAAACATCTTCATAACTAAATCAGTAAGTAAGCTATAGGTCATAGTTATAGAGGTAAACAATGATTTTTCGTTTCGAATTAGGTTGTCTTGACATTTGTCAATAATGACAGACGATAAAACACAAATTACGGGTTGCGCAGCGGAGGATGTTAAAAAAAAGATTTAATATATAATAATATTAAATGAAGAATTTTAAAAGTTCCTTAACTAAGTTTATTACTTAAGACACTGAGGGGTGTCCAATCGGTCCAAAGTTAGCATGACGAAAGAAGCCACGCTTATTATATTGAGGGAAGCACTGGTCATTGGGGTTGTGCAATAGGCTACTTGACTCTTTTTTAAAGTAGGTCTCAAATGATTAATCAGCTTTTGATTGAATAAAAAAATATATTAGCATATTTTTTTGGGACCTACAACAGGGCGAAAACGGCGTCCGCCATGTTAGCCTATAGATTATCTGTGTTGTGACGTCACTCGTATTGTAAACAATCATTTGACATTTTTAAAATAACCACACGCTTAGCCACGGATGCCAACTTAGGAATTTTCTTCCTAAATTTAGGAAGGAAAACTGTACAATGGAATTTTTTTAGGAGGTAAATTTTTATGAGAATATTTTTAAGCGTAAAATTTTATTTACATCTTTGAAAAAAAAAAAAAACTACATAGGACTACTTATTTGAACAAAAAATATAATTTAAAAGTGTTGGCTATATTGGTGGACGTCAGGGCCAAAGCCTATGTGGTGATATTTTAAATTCTTTCGCCCTACCTATAACAGTGAATATTTATGTCTTAGTTAAGATGTAAAACATATTGTAACTGAGTATTAATATATTAAAGTCATTAGAAATCACAGTTATTACCTTAGTAAGCATATTTTTGTAGCCAATATAAAATGCCAAAGGATGATAAAACTGTCGTCGATTATGTTTACAACAGAACTGGTTATTGTAGTTTATGTATTTTAATGATTAGTGTTAATTTTTTTTAGTATTATATTTATTTAATATTAACAGATTCATTTCTAAATTAATATAAAAAAAAGAAATATTATGTTTAGCTTTCGTGATCATTTTTAATGAAATAGTTATTTAAGGGGTATTTTTTTTGAACAGTTGGTAACACTGCTATCATTGACAACGGTTTGTTTACAAGTTATATGACGTCAGATTATGGCCGCAAGCGTTTTCAACGTTTAGGACAAAAAATAAAAGTATAGCAATTTTTTAATTTAAATTGTACAGTCATTTTGCACTTTTATTAACCGAAATCAATATATTTCGGTTTGGTATATCTAATACTGCATGAAATACTCATTTAGAGGGTCAAATTTGATATGAGTTAAGAAGTCTATTGATGCATGCATGCAGGTGCAGTACGATGGTGACTAGGGATGTAATACACAAAAATATTTACTTATATATAGTATAAAACAGTCATCCCGCTGTCTATCCCTAGGTATGCTTAGATATTTAAATCTACGCAATGGATCTTGATGCGTTTTTTAATAGATGTAGTGATTCAAGAGGACGGTTTGTAAATATAATTGCACTCGTGCAATCTCAATAAAACTTTTCAGTCTGTACTCTACAATCTGGTAACATTGTCGTTTTTTTTTTTTTTTTTTTTGGATTTTATGGCCCGGTATCAAGGACCTCTAAGCCAAGTCTTAATTTATATGCACATCACTTCACTTTATTTTCTTCGTTATTATAGTTTCTTGAAAGTATTTTTAATATATTTGTATATTGGATAATAGGTCTCTTTAATTTTTAGTAATTCACACAAGCGGCGGGGCGTATTATTTAGGTGTAAACAACTTATTTCACTTATGTCACTTGCAAGTATCAAACGTTGTACAGAGAATAACGGGCATGAAAAAATCAAATGTTCGGCATCACATGGTTCATGTCCACAATGTTCACATCTGTTATTGTCAATAATTTTCAATTTATGCAAGTGGGCTGGCGTACAGGAATGTCCAAATCTAAGGCGATTTTTTATTGTTATAAAATCTCTGCTAACGGGTCTTAATTCGTCATACCAGGGCTTGCACGGTAAGTCCAGCTGTATCTCTCCATACCATTTTCCCTTAATTTCTTGATCTGACTTCCAGAATTCTCGCCATAAGTGCATTATATCTTTTCTAATACGTTGAAAACAGTCAGTAAACGGAATTTGCATAACTGAACTTACGTCTAGCTCATTAATACCCCATATGCTGCCCTGTCCGCAATTTCGTTACCAGTAATTCCTTTATGTGAGGGCACCCACATAAAGGCTACCTCGATGCTTTTACTAGCATATTTAACTAAATAATCTTTAATATTATACACTAAATAACTCTTTTTATAGTCTATCTTATTACTTACAAGACAATTAAGTAAACTAAGGGAATCAGTCACTATCAAAAAATATTTACAAAAATGAATATTTGCAATTCGTTTTATTGCTTCCAGGACAGCATATGCTTCAGCGGTAAAAATAGAACAGGTTGTGCTTAAATTAAAGCTCTGCACAAACTTAGTTTGAGGGTCATACACTGCACTTCGTACATGTGATTTACCTTTGCTTCCATCGGTATAAAAACGGTAATACTTTCCATTTTGCTCTAAAAAATTTAAATAGTCTATATTAGAGTTAACATTTGCTTCAATAATCTGAACTGGAAATATTAAATTACTATAGGAACCTATGTAACATGGCCATAAGGGTTGCTTAAATATTGTAGAATAATTGTTTTGTATTTCCAGAAAAACATGACACAACTTAGGATATATCCCTGCCAATAATTTACATCCTGAAGTTAGTGAACCTTGAAAACAAATGGAATGAGGTAAAACCTTTTTAATGATTAGTGGATTCTTTGAAGCAATCACTTTAGCACAATATCTTTCAGCTATAAGTAATCTTCTCAAACAAAGTGGTTCAATTTTAGATTCAACCTCCATAGCTCGGATGGGAGTTGAGCACATTGCACCTAAAACAACACGCATAGCCCTATTCTGGAGCACATCCAGTTTATGTACATAACTACTATTTACATATGCTAAGCAACTGTAGTCAAAGTGGCTTCTTACAATAGATTTGTAAAGCATTGAAAGTGTCTTAGGGTCTGCACCCCAAGACACTACTGCTAGACATTGTATTACATTTATTCCTTTCAAAGCATTTTGAGAAATATACCTTATATGTTGTTCAAATGTCAATTTTGTATCTAATACAATTCCTAAAAATTTGTGAGTCCTGACTACTGGAATATTTACATTGTTATAGTTGACCTGAGCTGTGGGAGTGTCCTTACTGTATATTAATACACTGCTTTTGCTAGGGCTAATTTTTAAATCAAGTTCATTTGTATAATATTTGTAAAGTTGACTGAGTGCAATATTTACATTATTTACAGCTCTATCTACATTATAGTCTACACTGTATAACACTAAATCGTCTGCAAATTGCAATATATTAACATTTTTTGTATTTACATATTCACAAATCTCACTTGTATATAAATTATATAATAAAGGAGATAGAGTCGCCCCCTGCATAGTACCTTTTGAAGCTGATTTAGGGCCATGTAAAATGTTATTATGTTTTATGTATAATTTTCTGTTGGTCAGAAACTTATGTATCCACTTACATAATATACCAGGGATACCTAATCGCGATAAGATTTTTACTAGTATACCTGGCTGAACATTATCAAAAGCTCCTTGCACATCTAAAAAAACACATATAATTGATTTGTTCTTTTTTTCATATTTCAGGTCTGATATCAGGGTGACGAAACTGTCTGCACAACTACGTCCTCTACGAAATCCATATTGAATATTTGGAATAATGCTGTTAGCTTCAACAAACCAATCAAGACGAATCTTAATCATGTTTTCAAAAATCTTTCCTAGGCACGATGATAAAGATATAGGTCGATATGAATTAGCATCATCTGGAGCTTTGTCAGGCTTAAGAATAGGAATAACACACTGAGTCTTCCAAGATTCAGGTATAATTTGATGAAGCCAAAGAGCATTGAGTATTTTTAAAAATAATTTCTGGACAGATGCATGTAGGTGTTTTATTAGAAGATAAGGAAAGCCATCTAAACCTGGAGTAGTGTTCTGTCCTGAATCTAAACTCAATGTAAATTCATCAAAGCTAAATGGATCTAACAAGAATTTCGATTTGCAGTTTGTATTATGAAGTTGGAAATAGGTGTCTAATCCTTCTACATCCCTACCATCAGTTGAAAGTTTATCTAAAAAAGAGGCTACAAATTCATCACAATATGATTTATTATTGACTTTGATTCCTTTAAACATCCTAATATAATTCCAAATTTTACTGACTGGAGTAGTTCTATTAAAGCTGTTACAAAGGTTTTTCCAACCATTCCGTTTCTCTTCAGAAATGGTTCTTTTTTTAACAGCTTCTAACTTTTTATATTTAATGAAGTTCGGGATAGAAGGATTTTTTCTATAAAATTTTAAAGCTTTATATGATTCCATTACAGCCTGTTGACATCTATTATTCCACCAAGGAGCAGGTGGCTTACATCTAAAATTATCTGCCTTACTAAATTTAGGAACACACTCCAGTTTCAGAGTGTTGAGTCTATCACAGAAACTATTATATGCTTTCAATGGATCACGCATATCCACAGTCACATTATTAAAGTAGTTTTTGGAAATTTGGCAATATTGGTTCCAGTCTGTCTTGTTGTATAGAAATTTTTCTATTGGTGGGTTGTATTGGTATCTGTCTATGCTTAATGTGATATCCTATAATGGTAGGAAAATGATAGCTTCCCATATTATTATCATATACTGTCCAATTACAAAGAGGAGTTATGCATGCACTAGTAAAGGTCACATCAATAGCTGATGGGACAGTATTAGGATAGTGAATTGTTGTTACAGCACCATCATTGAGAATACATAAGTCCAGTTCATCTATTAAATCATACAACTGTTGGCCTCGACCTCTAGTTGATAAACATCCAAATGCTATATGGTGAGCATTAAAATCACCAGCTACTAATATAGGTTTCGGGAGATCTCCTTATGATGTTGCGCAGTTTATTTATTCTTATATGTCCATTTGCAGGAGGACAATACGAGCATAAGATAGTGAGGGCTCCACCTTGAGTGGAAAGGGATATTGCAATAGTTTGAACATCTTCATAAAAGGTGGTTTGTAAAAGTATATATTTGAGGTAAGGTTTTATGAGAATGGCAACACCGCCATGTTCATTACTGGCATTTTTAAAGTGAATATTGTAGTTAGGTATGCGAAAAATTCGACCTGTATTTTTAAACCAAGTTTCATTAAGAAGACAGATATCAATATTTTGTTCTTGTAAGAAATTTGTTAGTAATGGCTTTTTATTGTGAGCACTTTGAATGTTGTAGTGAGCAATTCGTAAATGTGACTTTTTGATAGGCACAGAATCCATTAACTAAGAGATTTAAAGAGCATTTCCTTAATAGATTTCGTAGTGATATTGGCACCATCACCACTGTTAGCCAATGAGATCAAGCAACGGACAATAGCCATTGTGAGATCATTACTTGATAGCAAGATGGCTTTAAGATCCTCTATTTTAGGAGGGGTCCCTTTATGAACACTTTCTGACTGTGATGTATTTACATTATTTACAGAAGGATTATTTACAATGGGTTTATTTACAAGTAACTGTGCAGATGGAATAAAGTTAAAGGAAGTCTTGGTTGGTTTGTATGTCAAAGCAGGAAATTCGTCATTGGTTATTTTCTTAGTACTAGCAGCACTTGCATAAGATATTTTATTCTTTTTTTCTTAAATTTTTCTCATCTTAACTGGACATAATTTGGAAATGGCTAAATGTGGACCACTACAATTTGCACAGCATAATTGGTTTGGTTTATCACATTCACGATATAAATATTCACCGCCGCAGCAGCTGCACCGTTGCTTTAGCAAGGTTGCAAACACCGGTAGCACTGCTGCAACGGTGGGACATATTCAAAAACACGATATGAAAACAAATCATACTTAACAGAATCTGGTAGTATATTAAGATAGGAATGGTATACTGACTGTTTGCAAAGGTACTTTTTCATTATTTACTTTTTTAGTGAACCTTCTAATCGCAACAATTTCATAATGTGATGATAATTTACAATACAGCTCTTTATTTGATATATTTGCAGGTACAAAGCGGATGATGCCCGTTTTCTCAATTTGTGCTGCTGGGATAAAAGCCCTCAAATTGTACTTCTGAAGAAATTCTATATTATTTAAGAAATTGTTAGCCGTGTTATATTGTTTAAAGACCAATACGATTTTATTAGCGTTCACTCTGTGAATTGCTGTCACGCCTTTTACTCCTGGTGAAGTAGTAAATATATGATTCAAATAGATTGGACTTTTATTACAAATTCTCTCAGTGCCCACCTACGATTGAACATATACTTTAAAATAAATATTTGTTGAGTTATCTGGATATATTCTTTTATAATTTGGTTTATAATAGGGTAGGTAAGAATCTTGCTCACCCCCGCCGTTGGAGTTCTTTCCCTCATATCTCTTGCGTTTTGTACCATCAGGGTTGAGGGCTGGGCCCTCAACCTCCTCGTTACCGTCCATATGCACAGTTATTTACAAACTATTCACTAACTATCTTACACAAAAACAATGAGATTTTAGCTTAAAACAAGATTTTTAAAAGTTGGAGAAAATTTCAAAACTCCCGCTCTACTTGATTTTCCCGCCCGAATCCCAACATTGTCGTTTTCTTACTTTGAAGTAAGGATGTCAGCACAACCAGTGACAAAAATATCGATGTATATGAATATAAATATTGACCTCGATATATCGATGAAATTATATCGATATATCGGATATAGTCTTAGAAAGATAATATCTTGTATTTACGCGATTACATATTATTAAATTAAACTAATTTTGCATATGTATGTTGTTTATTTTATGGTGGCAATCAGCTTGGAATCCTAGTATCAATAAAATTAGTCATAGCAAGCTTTATCTAAAAAAGAAGGTATGTCAGGTATTCTTCTTTTTCTTCGTCGCGCTCTTAATTTCTGAAGGTCGTATTTTACTACAGTTCTGTCGGTGTTGGTAGGAGCCAGGAGTCTCTGTCTTCAGCATGTCGCAGGGCGGTGGTAGTATAGGAAGAGGCTCCCAAAGTTAAAAATAAAAATATGTTAGGCTGAGGTGAAAAGATCACGAGATAGAGCATAAGAGCACCATGTCAGATATCTCAAGTATTAAATACTTGACACCTATGGATTCTGTGCCGGATTAGAATTCGAAAAAATTTTGTTTTGATTGATACGATTTTCGATATTGAGTACCTTATTTGGCTGAAATATCGATATACAGTTCTCGAATACAATACAATCGAAAATATCGACATATGGATACTTTTTCGACATCCGACCGTACTTTTTGAAGTATTGAATTTAATTGAAATTTGACGTTCATGAGCTGCAATACAATACAATGCTAGTGTGACTCTTATTTATTTATTGTAATAATAACTATTTTAAAAAGAAATGGCTGGTGTGAATGACTTATTTGACTGTTTTGACGAAAAGCCTGGGAAATGAAACTGAAATTCAAATTCCAAATGTGCTTCGTATGGAAAAGGCCATGTAAGTTCTACCATAACCTATTTTATGTATAGGTAGTTCGATATATACATAGTTTAGTGTATTGAAATGGTTGTTTCAGAGAGGACGGAAACGAACTTAACACTGTAGGCCAGAAGCGCCCTCATGAACAGGTCGAGTATGCCGATACTTCGGAAATTAAAAGATCTAAACCAGACGAAGATGATGCCGATATAATTGATGATTTAAAGTAGCTATTTTTATTCTATATTGTTACTTATGCTCATTTATATATTATGTATTTATATTCCATATCGTTTCAGCTTAGATGTTTTAAATTCTCGAATTGTTATACATACATTAGAAACAGCGGAAGGTTGTACACATGAGGTAGCTATACCACCTAATCACGAATATGCTGCTCTTTTACCAATCACATCAGAGCCAGCAAAACAGTACAGTTTTATTCTGGACCCCTTTCAAAAGGAAGCAATAATGTGTATAGATAACTTACAATCTGTTTTGGTTTCTGCACACACATCGGCTGGTAAAACTGTTGTTGCTGAGTAAGTACATTCACAGATTTTTTTTATGTATACTGTGTTGTAATTCTTCCGTTTTAAATGTATTCAATCAATGTTCTACGGTAAATGAAGTATAACAGTTTACTCTATAGTCACTGCATCAAATTAAATTGATTGGTATTGTTTTTTTTCTTTGTTTTCTAAGGTATGCAATTGCTCTTTCATTGAAGAATAAGCAGAGGGTAATATACACAACACCCATAAAAGCACTATCAAATCAGAAATACAGGGAATTTTCAGAAGAATTTTCATGATGTTGGGTTAATCACTGGTGATGTTACTATAAATCCATCAGCATCATGCCTTATTATGACCACAGAGGTGATGATGATCTTCATTTAAGTTTAAATTGTGTCATATATTGTAACTGACCCTTTAGTTATGGGGTAATGAATTATGTTTTCACATCATATGTTGTATTTATTAATAAAATAACGCGATAAATCCGTAAAATTAGTTTCATGTGTAATAAAATACTGTAAGAATTTTGACATCAATGAACATTTGCTGTGCTTTTTCGAAATATTGTTTTTCTTTTTCAGATTTTAAGAAATATGCTGTATAGAGGTTCAGAAATAATGAGAGAAGTGGGGTGGGTTGTGTTTGATGAGATACATTATATGAGAGACAAGGAGAGAGGAGTTGTGTGGGAAGGTAGGATGGAACTTATACATTTAAATTTACCTTTTCATTACTTATTATGATTCTGTGAATTAATTTTATTTTTTGTGGCATAAAGTGAAATTTGAAGCTATTTTCCATTATTTACAAATTCTGGCTAAACCTAAAGCTAAATAAGTCCAATTTAAAATAATAAAAATGTTGCTAAAATTTTAAAATAAAAAGACACAGAGTTTAAAGTTTTATCTTAGTAAAGCCATTTTATTGCATATTTTGCTGTTTGTTTTTAGTGTATTGGTGTAAATTACATGTCTAATATGCTACAAATGGGTTTTGGCTTATGGGCAGCTAAAACTAGAACTGTTGTTGTGATAATTCATAGACTGATGCAAACCGAGATTTCATTACATAAAAAAAGAATAACAAAATTAAATTCATTGATTCTTCTAACATGTTAATGTTAAAAAAAGTTGAAAACTGTGTGTTATACATAGTCTCTGTATTATTCATACAATATTCATTATAGAGACCCTGATCCTACTACCGGATAATGTTCACTATGTATTCCTCTCGGCGACGATACCCAACGCCCGTCAGTTTGCGGAATGGGTGTGCCGTCTGCACTCGCAGCCCTGCCATGTAGTCTACACTGAGTACCGACCAACGCCACTGCAGCATTATATATTTCCCGCTGGTGGTGATGGTATACACCTTGTTGTTGATGAAAAGGTAATTCTTTTTTCTATTTTTACCTTCTTATTTTGCTAAAAGTATAAAATAAAATTTTTTATTATATTTGAGTCCATTTTAAGCATATAAATTGCAAAACCAATTGAACCAAGGCTCTAGAGTCAGAATAACTAAAATATAACTTTGTAGTTAATTGAATTAAAATATATTTCAATTTTAACTTTTAATATTTTTAGCCCAATGATTAAACTTATGACAAATTGAATTATTAATTAATTGTTTGAGCTTCTAATAAAAAGTCATGTTTAAAATTACAGATACATAAAGTAGAAAAAGCAAATTAGTTGCAATAATTTTTTATAGATATTATTATAGATAATGGTACCCTTCATTGCCTGGTCTTTTCTTTGTTTCACTGGTCTTCTCAGTTTATCCCAAACATATTCTACTACAATTTTAAAATCAAATTACATAATTACTTTAGACTATTTTCTTAGTTTACTTTTCTATCGATAACTCCTATTTTTGGACTTGACGGTACACGTACAGAATTCGCGCGACCAACTTCATTCAAGCGCTTTTGGGTTTTACGCGGTATATATGTGTATATTTTTGGATCGTAAACAGGGTCAGTTCAAGGAGGACAATTTCAACACTGCTATGGCAGTTTTGAGCAACGCAGGGGACGCGGGCAAGGGCGATCAGCGCGGCAGGCGTGGTGGTCCCGCCTTTGGCAACAATCAAACCAACATCTTCAACATAGTCAAAATGATAATGGAGCGCAACTTCGCGCCTGTCATCATATTCAGCTTCAGCAAGAAGGACTGCGAGGCGTACGCCATGCAAATGGCCAAATTGGATTTTAATACCAGTGAGCGGAGTGTATTTTTCTTTTATAATACTACTAATAGAAGTACTATTGAAATATAAAACAGGATTTAGATTGTACCGTACTAGCTGCTGCCCGCGACTACGTCTGCGTAGAATAAGCTGAAGGCGTAACATTCAGACAGTAAGACAGATATACATAAAAATACATATATAAATTATAGCCTATATCTTATTCTGATGTATAAGCTATATTATTGTAAAGTTTCATCAAAATCCATTCAGTAGTATTCTCATGAAAGAGTAACAAACATGCATTCATACATACAAACCTTTGCGTTTATAATATTAGTAAGGTTGTTGGGTTGGTTGTTTGTAAATATACTTTTAGATTATATTAGTACACAATATGTTCTTTAAAGTATGTTGAGTGATGTTATCATATAATTTATTAAATACGTCTCTGATATAAAATTTGGTAAGTCCTAAAATATTGTTAATTAAATTTCTAATTAATATATAACCATGTGTCATTCCATAAATGTAACAAAAATAAAACAAATACCTTTCTTCAATACTCCCTTTGCCTCATCCATGGGTTTGTCCATAAACATATCTCTGCTTTTCAGTTGAGGAGAAAAAGCTGGTGGATGAAGTATTTAACAATGCAATGGACATCCTATCAGAGGAAGACCGAAAATTGCCGCAAGTGGAGAACGTGATACCGCTGCTGCGGCGGGGCATAGGCATCCATCACGGCGGGCTGCTGCCCATACTGAAGGAGACCATCGAGATCCTCTTCGGCTTGGGTCTCATAAAGGTATGCTGGATTGGGAAAAGTTTATATGTTACCCACACATAGTGACTTTTCATCAGAGCACAAAATGTTTGAATTCTTGTCATAACTGCAAAACTATAGATGGCGGGAACATAAATTTAAAAACAATTTTTTGTTTTCTTTTCAATTTATTTTGTCTTGACGCAATACTGTCGCGTGGCCCTACCACATACTTTATACTCCCACAGATCTCTTTACAAGTAGCTTGTAAAACACTAAATCTTATTTGTTTATCGTCTTTGTGAGCTGTAGCAGAAAAGCTTTCTTTCGTCAATGTGTAGCGGACAGTATGCCTCGTAGGTTACCTGTAAGTCTTCAGTTGCAATTTTTGCTGGTTTGTTAAAGACAAGTTGTTTTTTTTAATTATTACTTGTACTAGATAACAGACCTGATAGAATTTGTGAATGATTTTGAATTATTTATATCAGGTCATACTTGTATTTATTTTTTAAAGAACATTAACATAGCTTTTATTAAATTTTAATAATTTTTTTGTTCCCAAGTGTTGCTTTATTTCTCTGAATATAGAAATGTATTCCTGTCTCTTATAGGCACTCTTCGCTACCGAAACATTTGCTATGGGACTCAACATGCCTGCAAGGACAGTTGTGTTTACAAGTAGTCAGAAGTTTGATGGAAAGAATTTTAGATTTGTAAGTATTGAAATTATTATTAGATACACAAGTCATATACAATATATTGCAATTATTAGTAGTACATTCTATTCTATTCTAATCTCTTTTATTATAGATGTTATTTAACCAGACTTCATTTACCATATTGTTATTAAAAGATGTATTCACTTTATAATATAAATTTTTCTTTTTGGGTGTAATACAAGAAGGGAAAAATCCTTTCATCGTTTTTGAAGTGAAAATTATTTGACAGCGATTCGATAACTCGACGAAAATTTTAAGAATGCGTCACGTTTAGGCACATTACGTTACATGGGAAAGAATAGAGATATAAGGTGAGAGAGAGAGAGAGAGCGACGTATACATCTAATAAAAACGACAGAATAAGATAGATAGCATCTGACGCTCATAGATGTACAACATGTATGAAGCGTCAGATGTAATGTGCTGTTAACATTTTTCATTGTGTTTTGTAATTTTCTATGTTAATCATGTAATTTTACGTCTATCACGTTTACGGCGGTGTTCGTGCAATTTATTTATGATTATTTTTTATTTTTTTAATTATTTATTTGTATTGTAGATAACCTCAGGTGAGTACATTCAGATGTCGGGGCGTGCCGGTCGTCGTGGTTTGGATGACAAGGGCATTGTAATCCTAATGATAGACCAGAAAGTAACGCCCGTCATTGTTAAGGGAATGGTCCAGGGCAAAGCGGATCCGATTAACTCCGCATTCCATCTCACCTACAATATGGTATGAACATTGAAATTAAAAAACCAAAATTTTAGATGCATTTAACATATAGGACTAAGGTTCTGTCATCCACTGTTGAACACAGGCCGCTGCCTTAGAACCTCGCAATGAGTGACACATTGCCAAGTTCCGGATTGTTGTAAAACTATTCCGTTAGTTGCCGTTTTGTATTCTGTCATTTTCTTTTCAATTATCCATCTTTTAGGTACTCAACTTGTTGAGAGTGGAAGAAATCAATCCCGAGTATATGTTGGAGAGGAGTTTCTTCCAATTCCAGAACCAAACAGCCATCCCCGATCTTATTGAAAGTATGTCCAATGTTTCTTTGCCTCCATTATTTTCATCAAAACAATAATTTTGTGCTTTATTTATATTTGAATTATGGATTAAGTATATTCAATTTATTCTTTGTGATCAAAGTTATATATTTACGGTATAAAAAGCTTGCCTGCCCCTGGTGATCAGGGTTGTTTATTCGCGACCTTGAAAGAATAATAACTCAAGTCTCCTCTTTATGCAGCTCAACTGTACGAGTTAAAAATGCTTACAATATTGACGTTTTAGTATAGATTCTGCATTTTCATATTCTACATTCTTATTCCAGGGGTGAAGCTGAAACAGAAGCAATACAACGCGCTGACGGTGGACCAGGAGCACTCTATAGCTTCCTACTGCAACATCCGCTCGCAGCTGGAGCTGTTGGGGGCACAGTTCCGCGCATTCATTACCCGCCCAGAGTACCTCAAGCCGTTCCTGCAGCCCGGAAGGCTCGTAAAGGTACAACCCTTTCTTTTAACGTGGGGAAATTCGCGATGGATACTTGGCTCGCCGTATAGAGAAGAACCAAGTTATTTTGGACTGGTTTTCGTTTAACTAGTACGGAAAAAGACTTCAGTATGATGAATCCTCACTTTTAAGACGATGCCGAACTGGCACTCATTCCTTTACGGTAGAAAAGTTTTATAGTTTAATTTCGTTTATCATTTACCACATTCTGCAATCTACGATTTTTAAGTGTTTTAGCAACAAAATTGAATATGGCACAGTGGCAGATTTTAAGTAAAGGTGCGTTTAGATAGATAGCACGAAATTTTATAATATTAATTGTATGAAAAATGAAAATTGAAAATTGAAAATGAAAATATAATAATATATATGTCAGAAAAGAAATGTTATTAAGATTAAGATTATTGTAAAACGTTTTTAAACATTTATATTGCAGGCAGAATTCTAACTTTTCGGTATTTTTTTTTAAATTTGATCATCAATGTGATTTGTATAACTTTGTATGTAAAAAAATATGTGTTCGCGTTTAGGTGAAGACGGAAAAGCACGAGTACGACTGGGGCATAATAGTGAATTTCAAGCATAAGATGGGTAAAGGCAAGAAACCGCAGGAGGAGAACCCGCTGACGGCTGAGAGCGTCATCATCGTGGACATATTGCTCCACGTGAAGAGGTCGGAGCCGGACGAAGCGGACACCAAGATCCCCTGTCCTCCCGGCGAGGTGCTTATGGCCAATTTTTTACATTCATAATTATCATCGTCATAGCTGCTGTAACCATATAAATATTTTGACAATTCGATTGGCGTGGTGGATAGCGAGCTTCTTATATCGATGAATTGTAACATAACAACGTATAAAGAATTATTTATCAGTGACAAGTATCTTATACCTAATAAAGTAAAAAGAATAACATTTTACAGCCTACCTCGATATATGTCATTTAAACAAATTGTCAATAGATGACATCATTAAACATTCATTTAATTCGATGAAGAATTATGGAATTTATTGCGAATCGATATAATAACCCATTTGAGAAGTAATATGTAGAGATCACTGATGCAACAACAGCATCAGATTTATCCATACATTTGATATCGTAAGATTATTGTAATATGCGTAACTTACATAGCATTGTATTCTATTCTAGACGGGCGACGTGGAAGTTGTGCCTGTTCTGCACACACTGATATACCAGATCAGTTCCCTCCGCGTCTACTACCCGAAGGACTTAAGGCCCCCGGACAATCGCAAGTCCGTGCTGAAGACCATAGGGGAGGTGAAAAAACGCTTCCCCGAGGGACCACCCCTCCTCAACCCCATCAAAGACATGAAAATCAACGACCCCGTGTTCCAGGTGTGTGTGGACAAAATCAAAGTGCTAGAAGAAAGGTAAGGCTGATGAAATTATATACAATTTTACTAATATTGGTTATTGAAGTAAATTGTTAGTGCCAAGGAAGAAAAAAAAACAAGGATTTTTTTAACGAAGCTACACTGTGTTTACCACAAGGCAATCTGACGAAATGTTGGATTCTCCTTTTAATATGTTGTTATAATAAAAATAAAAAAAATAGCACATTAACCCTTTTGCGTAACCGTGAGCTCCAAAAATTGCAGTATTAATGGTGGCCAATAGTTTCAGCATTATGAAGATGGTCACAATGACCTTGGCATATCTAAGCAAGGAAATAACTCTAAAATCTTTTCAGATAAAAAAAAACTTCCTAGAATTTGTTTATATACCACAGACTGTACGCACATCCGCTGCACAATGACAAGAGCCGCACAGCACTGACGGCCGCATACGAGAGGAAACAGGAGCTCCTAGAGGAATTGAACACCGCGAAAACGGAGCTGAGGCAGGCCAAGAGTATACTACAAATGGACGAGCTCAAAAAGAGGAAACGCGTCCTTAGGCGGATGGGATATTGCACATTGGCTGATGTGATCGAGTTGAAAGGTCGCATTGCCTGTGAATTGAGCAGGTATGGAGAGTAATCATTGAAATTTTTCTCCCTCGTTTGAAGTCTGTTAAGTATCGTAAAAAGTATATAAATGTCTCTGTCTGCATACTCGTATTTAGTATACTTAAATATAGTATGCATGCTTGCTTAAAAATTTAAGTAATGCATGCTTTAAAAGTTATGCGTTTATTATTGGCATAATGATACCCAATAATTGATATTTCGATACGATATTTTAATCATTAAGATAATCCTTAATATATCGTATTTTTACAAAAAATATCAAAACGTTTTAAAAGTACCGTAAAGTGCAGAGATTGTCGCTGTAAAATTTAGTTTAACCTTTAAGATACGTCCCGTTATAACCACTGTGACGTCATCAGCGCGGACGAGCTCCTGCTGACCGAGCTGATATTCAACGGGGTGTTCAACCCGCTAAGCCCCGAGCAGACCGCCGCCCTAGTCAGCTGCTTCGTGTGCGACGAGAACGCCTCCCAGGCCTCCGCCACCGGCGAAGAGCTGAGGGGCGTGCTGAGAAAGCTGCAGGTGCCTGCGAAGACTTATCGACTGCCCTTGTCCAAATCTTTGGCCAAATGCAAATTCGATTACGACGACTCCGTGGTGCAGTTGCCTTCGCGGCGGTCGTGGGTTCGATTCCCACCAGAGACAAATATTTTTTGTAGAATAATGAAATCAAATACCTCGATAAAATGTAGAGAATTGCAATACAGAGTGGTTCTGTGTTGCCACAGTGGAAGCTGGGTGCAGAGAGAGATGATCTCCCTAGGTGAACTCAAGCGCAATGCAGAGGGGCACCGGTCAGTTCCGTTGGAGATTCTGGAGCCTTTCGAAATGCATTGGGTTGGCCGTCGAAGTTTTAGTCAGTAAAAGTTTCACATAATCAGGTCTTCCCCTCTGGAAGACCGGGTATCTCTATACCTCCCGCTCTCTGGTGGAAAAAAGTTAGAAGGTAACTCCATTGTCTCTTCAAACAAGGGTTTAGGGTATTGGCATAACAATGCCCAGAGGAGTTTTGACATTCTGCATTGATTGATTAGAAATAGAATCAATGTTTAACTGAATTGTTTAGAAACAACGTTTTAACGGTTTACGTAGGAATACGCCCGTCGCATCGCCAAAGTGTCCATCGACTCCAAAATGGACCTGGACGAAGACGAGTACGTGTCCAAGTTCAAGTGCACTCTGATGGACGTGGTGCTCGCGTGGTGCAAGGGCGCCACCTTCCTGCAGATATGCAAGATGACTGACGTGTTCGAAGGTAAGTCGGAATGCCAAAGGCGTGTTGACGCCTTGAACGAACAATGCTCTATAGCTAGAATTACAACTGTAGCAGGGCCACAAAACATGTTCGGCTGTTGCACGAATGGGCAGGTCCGTCCGGGTGAGTACCAAGACCTCACAGAAGACCGGCGTGAGGTAGAAGGGGTTATAGGCGTTTCCGTAGTAAACCGTTAATAATTGCAGTTGCATATCTGTCAGGACGATTATTTTTTTTTTTAAATATTTTTATCGTCCTTTTCTACTATATATTTCAAATTTCTATTCTCGTGTAGGTTACGTGTAGATTTATTAGATATCAATGACCATCACTATGATGTTATTTTAAACGTATTTTTTATTTTATTTGGTTGATTAAAAGACTGATGAATTTAACTAGTTGATCGATACGTAGTTAACGTTAAGACGTCGTAAGGAGATCAATGGTTGATTGAACTACTTTGTCGATTGCAATCGTTAATCGTCACATAACGTAAGTTGAAATGCTTGCTGAATTGTCATCCCCTTAAAATGAAAAAATGGGTTACCTGTTGCTTTGTTTTTCTTCAGGGTCCGTCATAAGATGCATACGGCGGCTTGAGGAGGTGCTCCGGCAACTGTGCCAGGCAGCCAAGAACATTGGCAACACCGACTTGGAGGTGAAATTCAGCGAAGCGATCAAAATGCTCAAGCGAGACATCATATTTGCCGCCAGTCTGTACATGTGAATCATGTACATAAATAATAATCTTTAAATAAATTTTATTAAACACTTAATTGTTTTTAGCTTTCAATGAATTGTTTCCTGATATGTGGTGTCTATTTCACTCTGGGGATAGTAAACTAAAACTGAGTGAAGGCTTCGATGGCCTATTCGCCTCAAACTTTGGACTAAATTTTGTTGTTTTGGTTTCCAGTAAGTTTTCGTTTATCAAATTAGGCCCTACCACAGTAAAATTAAAACCACTCATCTCTGTCTGAGCGTAATTTATTGAGTGAATAATTTTTACGAGCTCGGAATCAGCGGCAAGTTTTGGGGCTGGATTGCAACGAAGTCACAAGTTTTTCAGATATTTTTTGTAGCCATTGTATGTGACAACTAAAATATCGTTTTAAATCTTCCGTTTCAAAATTTGACTTGAACATACAGGACCTGGCACTAATAACAACAAGAAATATTTAAGAGAACGTTAGAATAATTTAATGATGAATATTTTTTTCGCAAATGGTTTTATTCTATACACGGGACTAACGTGGAAATTAAACAGCATCACAATGTTATAAGAGAACTTTATTATTGTAATTACGGTATATCTATAGCATGAACTTGCAAATAACAAAAAGAAATAGTAATTTTCTAGAATTACACTAGATAACCATGTTCACAATTTCGGTAAAATCCAAAAGTACAACAACTATATTCATTTGTTCTTAGCTAATTTTGTGTAAATAAATAAATAACCTTTAGAACAACGATAATGAAGTTTTCCATTCACGACGATCAATATTTTATTTTTATAAATTTCAATATTTATCCCTAAGAAGCGTTAACGAGATTATGTTTGACAATATTTAGATGAAGTTTTTAAAAAAGAAGTACGAAATTAATAATTATGAATAATAAAAACATTAATTTATTGAAATATGTACACCGATAAAGTGAACGTGGCATTAGTTTACACATTTTTAGTTTCTTACACGAGTAATTTATTGCACATATGATATTTATGATTTTCGTAATATCTGACAAGAGGGTCACGCATTTAGTATCTACTTCTCTTCGACAAATATTTATGAAGTTTAAAAACGTACATAAACGTCAATTACAACATACTTTTTGCTCGCGAGTGTATTTATTAAGAGGTTTTTAAACTTTAGTGACAAATTATAGTTTAAACATTAAAATTTTAAATTTCTCTATAGTGTCAAAGAGTAGTTTAAAAGTTAACCACGACAAATTTTAATGAAAGAAAATGAAAAAAATGACAAGGGATTTTTAACATTCAAAATTGATTTCACCGACGGAATTCTTATTAATATTGCATTCATGAATAATCCGGATCTGATGATAGCTGAGTGCTTTATACATAAATGTTATATTAAAACTTATTTAAAAATAACTTATTAGGGCTTAAAATGACAATATAACGTCCCCTTTAAAACAACTCTACAGTGAGTGTAAAATCACACCTCACAAGTGAAAACCTGCAAAAAACCTTACGCTATAGTATCATTTGGTGCCTGAATTGATATGTCCGAAAACTAAACGCGAAAGGAACACTAATTTTGACTATTGCGTTTTGCGGAACTAAACGAGGTATTTGATATATTTCTATACTTAGAATTAAAACTTGCGAGGTGCCCCCGCCACGCATCGCTCCTATACTAACGTAAGTAGTATACATACGCTATTATTATCGCTTAATACTTATAAGTTACAGGTTACAGTAAACACTCGATCCACGCGTTCAACTGTTATGGAAGACTCGACGCTTACTAGAAGCACATTCAATACTTAACCAGTCGCTCGTCATTCGATAGAAACGAGCTTTATGCCATATTATATCAACTCTGAATTGTGATTTTTTTATACAAAATTTACACCACTTAAAAGCGCCCCAATAACTCTGTTAAAGAGGTAATGAATATCATACTATTGTTCTATTTTATGCTTATTATGCTAACAGTAATGCGTCGGAAAATATCAGGAATATAGGCGTCTCGCGAGATATTTCGACACTGTACGCTCCGATGAACAAAATTAAAAATTAATATTTTTCATTGCTGCCGAAATAGAAAAAAAGCAAGTGTTTATTTATTAGTAAAAATATAATTTTTTTATATTTGTTATAACTAATTGAAAAGTGTATGGTATATTTAATTACTAGGTGATTTGCTACGTAAAATAATTCTCGTCTGTAAATCTTTGTCCATGCTTGAAAATCTTTGTCTATTATCTGCCTGGTTTACCGCTGCCCTTAAATATATTTAAGTGATCCAAAATTGATTTCGGTCAAGTGAATACCTTATTGTAACAGAGGGTTGTGCAACAGGGGATGCGAGAATCGATTGTAAAATAGTTTTTGTAGTATTGTAGTAGTTTAAAAACATGGCTTTTACTGTAACATTATCTTACGTTGTGAGGACGTTTTACAAACAAAATTCACGTTTACAAACACACAGACCACAAACAGTTGTTCCGTGTGTGAAAGGCCCTCAACTCCAAAGCCAATAACCTTGGCAACTGCGCCACCTCATTTATCTCTGTCGTGAGTGGATTGAATATCAGCAATAAACCGGATGAAGTGGATCCAATATCATTAATAAACTGTACAAAATAATTGGTATGAAATATGAGATCTTACATTTGTGATATTGCTTAAATTGCACAATCATTTCGTATTAACACTACTTTATTCTTCGTTGAACTTAGCTCGTGGACAGCGGCACACTTTAGGCGTGTAAAAGTTTCAATAATTTATGTTCATATTTTGTATATAACATGAAGTTATGCTTCATTGTAGTGTATTTTCATTTCTTATGTAAAAAATATTATTCACGTTTCGATACATACAATATTACAAGTCGATAATACAGATATCAAACTAAATAGATAGCAGGCAAATAAATTTCTTCAGAAATGGAAGGTTAAGTAAACATGCGAAACATTTAAAAATATCATATGCAAATCCAGTACACTTAGAAGATGAATCAATGTTGTATCAGCGACATACGACATAAACATTTAAATAGGCCATTTAATTTAGTAAAATATTTACATTGATGATTAAATAGTGTACAGTTTGAAACATTATCGAGAAAGGTGAGAAAATTTCTAATTTCTATAGAACAAGATTTACCGGAAATGGTAGCGCCGCGAGCTTTATATAAAACAGAAATAAAATGAAAAAGCAGTTAGTAAATTTTAAAAGATCCTAATTTAATATTGTCAAGTTTTAAAACATTTAGGCCTAATCGATAATACATACACTCTTTGTCATATTGTGACATTGAGAACAAAGATAAAACTATTTTTTTTCATATCATTTGAGATGTTGATTATTGTGATTATATTCTTACAGCTTCGCGGCGTGGCCATAGCATACGAATTTTTTTAAATGTACACGGGCACACAAACTAAGCAAATAAAATATCTACAACTGATTACATTAATATTTACATTGAATTTATGAATCTATTTTACTTGTTTAATTTGAATGATAGACAAAACGAGAAAAAAATCCAATTATGATCCAACATAGGTATATTTTTCTAAAACAGATTTAAACGATATTATAAATTCACAATAATTTTTTTTCAATATCTATTAATTAACATTAGCTATAATTTGTAAGACCTCCAAGTTTGCAATAATCCTCAATTAATATAACAAGATATTTTTTTACCTACCTATTTACTTTAACCATATTGTAATTCCAATAAAGATTGACAACTTATTGAAGAACGGGGAGAATATATCGAATATATTAAATCTAAACGGAACAGGTTCATGTCGGGTGACATAATCGATAGTTCATTTGGTCGGATCGTAATCGAGTATTCATGGTAACTCGACACAACTCACTTGGTAACCTATCGAAAATCCGATGTAACTCGCGCGAGAATCGCATGAAAAAGCGCGGGAACGCACGATGCGGGTCTTTCACTACTCACATTCACATTTCGCGCGGCTTTCGGCAATCTGAGAGCTCGAAACCGACGTAATTATGCCAATTGGCCTCTTTTGGCGCGGAATTTATAAAAGAAACGCGTTAAGTATTCGTTAATATTCTTCGTGAAGTGGTTTCGTCGGGAGCGGTTTCGTCGGGAGCGGTTGGCGGCTGTTTAACTGCGGAGTCACGTGGCGAGCCGCGGCCATATTGGCAACATAAGCACCAGGAACGCCAACGGCCGGAAAGAAGCCCCGCGTCCACATGATAAAATTTCGATTTCCTAGAAAGCATAAAATAGAAATCCATAAATACAGCAGATTTAATAGTAGTATGATACACCTAATCCGAATCGCATCACTGGCGTTCGGTTCAACATGCGGGCAACTGTTCATAGAAAGTAAGAAATTAAAAGAGAAAAGAATTAACGGGCATACTTGGTTGTAGAGAATGAAGGAACAAGACAGAAAAATAATATGGCACCTATTTGAAACAGTTTTTACTGGCAAAGTAAAGGAAAAAAGTTCTGGTCGATGTCTGTAATGATTTATTAAAAAATCTGTAAAATAAATATCAGGGACTTCTTTTAGTTGTTTTAGGTTGAAACTGAAATGTAGTTTAATTTTCTGTTTCTGACTAGCTGTGCCCGTGACTTCTTCCGCGTGGAATTTAAAATAAATAAAGTTTCTAAAATAAAAGTAGCCTAAGTTACTCCTTATTATATCAGTTATCTGGCAGTGAAAGTCCCATGAAAATCGGTCCAGCCGATTAGCGGGAACAAACAGACAGACAGACAGACAGACTGACAGACAGACCGACAAAAATTGTAAAAATATATTATTTTGCTATATATGCACCGTGTAAACATCCATATGCATTTAGTAAAAAGCGGTTATTTAAATATTACATACAGACACTTCAATTTTATTTATCTCTATAAAGTATGAGAGTGTATACGCACCCCAAATATTTATAATTTTATATTAAGTTAACCCCTTTGTATTGCTAAGTTCTAGTTTACAATTTTCTTATTTTCATTTTTTTTTCCATAAATAAAAGATAATTTTTTACTTAAAAGTTCTGTTCTCGAATTCAAGTTTCTTTTATAGTATTCTGTTTACTGTAATTTAAATATGTACATATACTGTTACAACTTCACTATTAAGTTAAGCATGTTTGCATGTCAATGTTCTGTATGTATTTAGTAGGTAAGCTTTAATGAATAAATAAAATAAATATGAAAATGCGAGAATGATAGAGAGTGAAATGGAAAATGAGAGGGGGAAAAGGAGAAATGGTACTTCTGGGTGGTAGGAGACGCAGAGGCGCGGGCGGCGGCGGTGTGCGCTGGGCGCGTGGCGTCGGCAGACGGCACGGGCCGGCGCCTCGCGGGCCCTCACGTCCAGCCTCTTGGCGCCGCAGGGGCACAGTGTGTCCACCACCAGCAGGATCAGGTTGCTGTGCGGGATCTTCTGCACGCTGAACGGCCTGCGGGATGATGATGGTTTTTTATATGAGCTGGCAGTTCACCTGATGCTAAGTGACAACCGCCGCCCATGCATATTTGCAACACCCGTAGGGTTGCCGATGCGTTGCCGCCTTTTAATAAAGTGGGCCCCGGCTACCTCGCTCACCAGACGAAAAGCATAAGTATAACACTGCCACTTCACGCCTGTATTATGCTAGATCGTGGTACTTACCAGGCCGGACCTGCCCGTTCGTGAAACAGCTGAAGCTGATGAGATCAAGAGGGCTGAAGTAGAGACGCTGCAGTTATTAAAGTAAAGAAGAAGCGATGACATTTCGTACCTCTCGCAGCCGGAGTTGTGGCAGTTGGTGAGTTTCCCCTTTAGGGGCTGAGCGGTGTTCAGTCTGGCCGACTGCAGCGTGAACAGCTCGGCGCTGGTGTCGCAAGGGCGGACGGCGGCGGAGCGCGCGGCCTCCCGCGGCGCCTCCCGCGGTAGCCCCTCCCGCCCCTCCCGCCCCTCCCACGCCTCGTGGCCCTCCCGCCCCTCCCGCCCCACTGCCGATCCCCCGTTGCCATCCACTATTATCTCGTATGGCCCCGGGTCGCGGCTAACGTCCTCGTACTCCATGTCTTCTTTCTCGTAGTCTTCGTAGTCGGCGTCTGTAATGAGAGGTGGGTTCGAAATGTTTACATTTAAATTTTTGTAATGATATATATTCCCTGCAGTTAAGATGATCGGTTAAATTTTGTATAAAAATAGACGAAAGGTATCCTCTATATAAATGTTTATCTTTCATCTTAGATGCTGATGTTAGCACAATAAAAATTTTAATTTTAAACAGCAACGCATATATCTCTCGTTCGAATTATTGTTGTAAAATCATATTTGAAATTGTATGTGACCTGTAACGGATATAACAATAGATGCGCCATGCAGTGCTTAAAATGCGAAAAAAAAGCAATGAAGGTAAAATACATTGAAATTTTTGTCAATGTGGCAATCGGAGGTTTATATTTGTAGTTAAAGGATCTGCCCATTTCTTTTATATTTTCTACAATTTTTATGCCTATCATATTTTATCATCCTTAGTCATATTAATCATACAAACAGCCACTAAAATAGCAAACAATATCAATATTTAGCTAATAAGATCGACTGAAAGCCTCTATATTGACCAGGTTAATTAGTGGGAAAGCTTTAATGTTTGAGATAAGCAAATTATTCCCTTCATTATATTGTAGAAAAACACAGTTCACCTAAGTCATCATCAGCGTAGCGGCTTGTCCGGGCTCGTACAGTCTCCCAGAGTGGAAACCAAACGGCCAGTAAGTTGGCCAGATAGCTGCCCATCCAAGATAGTGGCCTAATAGGCTGGAAGCAATGAAATATTCATGGCAATGAATCATTATAGGAATTTGTTCTTTATGCTTAAACAAAAATTGATGGTGTTAGTATACATAAGAAAAATATTATTAAGTATCTAGAATATCTAGTATTCTCAACGTCGGATACTGAGTATATGGTAAAAGTAAAAGCATATTTATATATTATGTCCCACTGCCGGGCAAAGTTCTTCTCTGTATAGAGGGTATTACTTGAACTCAGTTTGATCAAGAATCTTGCATTGAAAACAAGCTCCCGGTGGTAGGACCACGCAACAGTAGGGTTAGTACTACGATCTCACAGAAGGCCGGCGTAAAGTAGAAGTGTAACACTTCTGCGTTTTGTCTGGTGAGTGAGGTAGCCCGGGCCCACTTTATCATAAGGTGCCAACGCATCTGCAACCCTACGGGTGTTGCAAATGTCCATGGGCAGGCGGTTATCACTTAACATCAGGTGAGCCGCCAGCTCGTTTGCCACTTTCTAACATAAAAAAAGCACAGCTACGGATTCGTAAGTAGTATATAGTAGGGTGTTATTATTTACATGATTTTACTGGTAGAATTTTTGAATACACACATAAAACCTATACGTAAAAACATATTTAACTGTGCTAAAGTAACGCTGCAGTTGTCTTGGCCCTCGCAGAAATGTAGCGTAAATAGAAGTCTTAATTGTTTCGCTCTTCGTTTAGGATAACGAAAGGCGATAATCTCAAAAAATCAGTTTGCGTTTACTAATAAAAAAGAAAAAACATTAAACTTACGGTTAACTTATTTCCGTCGCCGCTGAACGGGTTCCTAGGATCGGGACAGCGCCCTTGGTGGTCGTGGACGGTGACCTTCTTGTATATCTTGTCCTGGACTAGTGAGTCCATAATGGTGCCGTCGACTTGCCCGAAGAACCGACCCGTCTGCGTCGTGTCCTCGGAGAGGATGATGAACCCGTTGTCATCCAAAATGTAGCAATCAAGCTCATCGCCGGCGCACGTCTTTTTACACACGCTACCGGCAGTGCACTATTGACAATACGGGTACTTATATAGTATATAAATCAAATGAACACACTGATTAATATCAGTTTTCTAACATCGAAAAAAATGCAGAAGAAATGAGAAGGCAAGTCCGCTGGCTGCTGTTGATTTTATACTTAAATATTTTTGTACACTTCTATCATTTAATAATAGAGTTTCTTTCCGCTTTTCCGCAGAGTTTCTTGCCGTTTCCTTACTGATCAGAACTAGTTTCCGATTGAACCGATGGTAGTTTTTTGACGTTCAATAAGAGCTTAAATTAAATTGATTAGATAATTATCATCAAAAACATCTTATTATTTACTATTACGAGTATATTGTGACTATTATTTGTCCCCTAGTGAATAATATACATAAACAGTTATGATTAGTAGATAAGTACTCGATAATTGATTAGAAGTGTAGTTGACTGAAAGTGTAAGAACTGTGCGATTAACATGAGACTTAAAAGTTTTAAATCTGAAAGATATGTTATTGGATAATGAACTCGCTTTCATATCTGCCTTATTTTTTTTTATCTACAATTGATGACGCGACGAGTTCAAGAATGATAAGAACATGAAGCGTGGTAACAAACATTAATATTAAAAAACATTACATCCTATTCATATCTTGCAGTATATATACAAAATATATAAACATAAGACATGGAACGTAGCAATGTTCAATATGAAAATCACAACACTACTAAAGACGGCACTAACCGTGGACATAAAAATCACAAGACGGCACTAACCGTGGAGGTGACGTTCAGGAAATGCTTGACCAGCGAGTCCAGCTGGAAATGGAGGCCGACGACGGCGGCGGGCGCCCGGTGGCCCCTGGACTCCACGAAGACCGCGTGCGTGGCCATCACCAGCGGCGGCGGCGCGAGCTCGTCCAGTTCCATGTCACGGAAGGGCACGGAGAACACGAAGCTCTCCGGCTCCACCGCGTGGTGCTCCACCGCCCGTCTGTACCACTCCGAGTCGAACGCCCGCCCGTACTTCTCGCTGAAGTGCCTGTCGCGCCGTTACGTTAGTTTAGATACTTATTATCAATTTCCTTTAGGAAAATAAAACAGATGTAAATAAAAATAGTTTAAGACAGCTTTTTATTTATATAAATTTATACAATTTATACAAAATTGACAATGAATAACTTAGAAATATACCTAAGTCCTGTTAACATATTAGTTACAAGTTTCGATGGGACTGACAGATGCATATTTGTGTAAAAGTCCCTAAATAAAATAATAAAAATAATAAAAATGTTTTTTTTAAATAACATAATTTTTATTTAATAAGAGTATATATAGCTTTAAAACTTAATTTTGCATTGGTTTAAAGCTTTGGATTTCCCTATCCATGCCCTTCTGTATACATATAAGTTATTGTTTTATTGTAGTAAGCAACTAAAAACCGAATTGATAAACACAAGCAAATTATCCCTGTATCTTACCTCCTTATTTCTCCTCATGTAAATTTAAGGCTAGGCGTTTCATCCATATTTTTTTATATTATTTATTACATTTGAGTGATATTACTAGGAATTCATGAAGCATGTACGTACGGCTCGGAGGATTCGGCGTTGCGTGAGCTGTTCGTGTTGTCGGTCCACTTCAGCAGGCCGCTACGCGTGGCGATGAACGACAGCGTCACCACGAACTTGTGGAAGCGACCTTGCCTGGAAAGATGGAAAACGTCAGCCGACCTGTACCCAGGGTTTGAATGCGAGATTCCCTCAAGGAACAGTGTTACAAACATCCAATTCAAAACTCATGACGAATTCGAGCAATTAATCATATTCAGGGTAAACTTAATGCTGATTATTTATATGCTGATTATACTGAGAATTTTAATTCTATACCAAGTTGTGCAGAATACGTAACGGTTTTATATTTTTTTTATTATGTATAAAATATACAGGTTTTCCTTTATTATTTTAATTTTAAAATTATGCATTCTATATTCTGATCTCGGGAATTAATTTCTACATTATAATTATTTTTATTCCTTAGACATAAATAAGTTTACTAATGCAACTACATTTACGGAACGCAAAAGTATAATACTTATACTTCTCGGTTCTCGCGGGTCTTTTGTAAGGTTGTGGTACTTCCCCGGCAGAGCCTTTCAATTCGTGTAAAATCAAGAGTCGCTGCGTGACTCTACCATAGTCAACGTCTTATCTATATCTGTTTAATCTCCACAAATTGTTAAGGCACTGAGTGCAGCAATCACATTGTGAGCAAGAATCGATAATTTGAGCGGTATTTATTTTATCAGGATTCGCACATAATGTTCAGTACTTAATATTTTTGCCAATAAAGTAAATTTAGGACGATAAGCTTTCCCGGTGGAATTTATAACATCTCTTTCATGCTCTTATCCCTCCCAGGTGGGGTTGGCACAACATGTGAATAATACTCTTAATGGCTTGGTTTTTTTACGAGCGGCCGCCTGCCTGACGTTAATGGTCTGTGGGAATAAACACCCATATCCGGAACAATTAGCTGTGGATCCAGAATACTTGACACGTGTAGGACCCCAATTGTCAATAGCTTAGTATCTGTGCCACCAAGCCGTCATGGAGTTTTATAAATCATATAAATCATTTTACAAATCAATTTTATCAATCAATCAACATACACATAAACAAATTGCAATGTGATTAAATATGTAGGTATATTGGAATTGTCAATATCGATTAAGCTTATTTTAAAATTTTGCTCCTTGTTAGCTAAAGCAAAGAAAAGTCTTGGTTAGTGCATAATTTTACCTGGATCCTCGGAGGCTAAAATGTTAAAATCTTAGGGAAGGATTATACAGCGCTCGAAAACACTCAACATTTTTTTTGCTATATAATCATTCCCCATGAAACATTATTAATGAGAAGCTAATAGTGAAGTGCGTATTAAGATTTTAGGCTTCAACTCAACTTTTCCTGTCACGAAGGTTTGAAGTCTTCGAATGTTTTTCGAAAGAATTAGCTCTAAAAGTGACACAGGATGGTTATAACGCTTTTTAGATATTAACGTGAATATGAAGTTCATACTATGTTTTGAATCATACTAGTGATTAAGGGGTGGTTAAGTCTTTGAAGTTTTTATCAACAGCATTACGGGTGACGAAGAAAGATGACTTTCAATGATTTCCGTTTAGAATACAAAATGACTCCAAACAAGTTTCCAATAATGATCACTTCGTCGCTAGCAAAATTACTAACACGACTACTAGGATTACAAATAATTATGTTATTTTTACGTTACCTTGTCAGTAGAGCCATTAAAGTCGCTATCGGGCTATTGTGACAAACACATCGAATTAGTGAACGAAATAAAATTGAAACATAATGTGCTTATAATGTGTTGAGGACCCCTATTAATGTGCTTTAGTTTGACATGCAAGTGTTGCAAAATTTCAAATAATTTTGTAATTTTTTAAGATAATTAATTCTTCTCGGATCATTGCGTAGTGGCTTAACGAAAAATATATATCATCGCTTTAACGCAATACGCTGTTTGTTTGTATAAATAGGCATGCATCGGTTAAAAAGTCTACTTACTGGGAGTGATGGTTTGCGTGTCCTGTGTGAGCGTCCAATTCTTTTATTACCATTGCGTCCCGCACGAGTGATTGTACTAAAGTTTTGTCGCCTGGTAAAAATAACGACATAGAATTAATAATTAATTTAACTCAATTACTTAAAGCCTTGCTAATTAATTATAAAAAGCGGTTCTTTAACGTCATTGAAGAACTATAATAGTGCAGTGCGTGATACGCATTCACAGGCTTAGCTTACATTTAGATAAAAATTGTAAGATGGTATGTATATATGATTTTAACGCAAGAAATTGGGATTTATCTTATAAAAAAGCTCTAACTTAATGATCATATCAAGAACATACTATCATACTCGGAACGAATTGTATTTAAAACGTTGAAAATTTTATTTCACAGAAGCCCGCCATGAAGTATTTTTGCGTTTCGTCTGGTGAGTGAGGTATTAAAAGTTGGTAAAGCATTTGCAACCGCTCAATTGTTGTACGGCAGGCGGCACATCACTCAACATGTCATTAACTGCTTCATTGCACACACTAAACAAAAAAATAATAGTAATACTCTGGCCAGAGATTGCTACTACATAGCAGGGGTGAACAGAATACGTTATGTGAATTACTCATTGTTATTTACCAAAAATTATACAACTCACAATAATAGGAATCTCTATCCTGTTTCTTGTGCGCGTTGTGAAGGGTTAGGGCGCGCGGGCGAAGGGACATCCATTTCCATCCGGGTCGGCCATGCTCTGGTCAAGAAGTGTACTAGCTGCTCCTCAGGGGTGTTGAACACTTGGTCCGAAGTTGATGCGTATTCGCAATACACCCTACGTATGAAATGGATATAATTAAAATAATTTACAGCTTTGATTGTTAATAATTTGAAAATATTGAAACATTGAAATAAATAAAATCTTAAAAAGTGAGTTTTTATATTCATTGTGCATCTAGTTTGTACAGAGATGTAATATATCATTTGGACACATTTTTGGATTTTCTTAAGTCCAAATTTGTACTTTTACATTATATCATTGCCACTCATATAAGAACTATATATTAGATGGTATACATACCAATCAGGGTGAACCTTCCAATTGTCGCCTTTAAAGTATTCCGTGACTGCGTTAAAAGAACAAAAAGTAGTGTAGGTTAAGAGCCAAGCAGAATTTTCAATGGAATAGGTCAAAGTTCTCTGCTCCAAACTTTATAAACGAAATGGTATAAAAATAATTTTCAGCTAAAAATTATCTCACGCCACCTAGAGGTTCATTCGTTCTTAAATCAATATGCCTACTCAATAAGCCTCAGCTCAAGTGCCGGTACCACAAGCGAATTTGTGTATTTATTAAATAACTTAAAAATATTTCCAAGTCAGGCTTGGTTCATTACATAAGGATTACGTTTGCCATTAACATATTTCACATACTATACCCCAATACTCTTAACGCGAAGGCGGCGCTGTAGTGGAGAATTCAGACAGGGCATGCACTAAAAAAAATTATCTCTAAGTAATTGATCATAACATAACAGGTCACTTAAATTATATCCAAAGTGGCCTTTGAAAAGTCTGTGAGATGTCAAGTTTGTTTTTTTTAACCCAAATAAAAAAATGATAACTTTACTATATAACTCGTAGGTCTCAATGTTTTGCGTTTTTGTATGCAAAAGCATGCAAACTTTTCCGCACGCATGGAATGCATGCGCATGATGGGGAGTACAAATACTGAGCTGTTCACTGTTGGGGGATGTACTAATACATTGTACTAATACATAGAGCTCTCAGCTGTTTATAATTCTGTTCTCCTGTCAGCCGCCTGAATGTACGCGGGAGTATGTCTGTTCTGACCATTGAACGGGCTGTGCTTGATCTCCTGCTCGGCCTGGAGCTCGTACATTCCGTAGCCGTCGGGCAGCACCGCCGCCAAGGAGTAGGGCGTGCCCTCAACGGGGCCGTAGAAGTAGCGCTGGCGGCGGGTGGCCACGCGCCTCATGCCGTCGTACTGCACCTTCACCCCTATCTCGGTTTCGCCCTCGCGCTGCTCTATCATGTCGTGGCGGAGCTGGAAAGACGCGTCGAATCTACGTCTTAAGTACAGGATTGGGTAAAATTCTCTTATTTATTAGAGGTGAGTGAACTGGGGGTTTGGTGTGATGATCCACTAAGTCTATGGTGTTTTCCAACATCTGTAGTTTGAAGATGTTGTATCCGGTTTGCACACCACACTTAATGCAAAAGTATTCATACTTTTAAGTTTAGTGCGCGAGTCAACAGCAGAAGAGGATGCGTGTAGGGGGGGTGAGTGTTTGTCTCTCGTTTGCCTCAGTCTTTATCGCTGTTTGTCTCCCTTCCACGGTTCGATTTTGTGGACAAAGAATTTTTTGAGTGTGTGTATCCAAATAATCGCCACCATAATTATTCGATAGTTTAGATATAAGGTACATTTCATAAGCGCTATTTGCACGTTTTGGTTGCTGTTTAAAGCATTCAATAGACCACAAAACGTATAGTGACTGAAAGAAGCATAGTAAAATGTTATTATATTCAACCAATATAACCTACACGTGTACAATCGTTGATGTAGAGACATCACAAGAAACAAGACGAACCCTGATAGAGATCAGGGTTCGTCTTGTTGTCTTTTGTTTTAAAAATTGACTGATAACGTTCATATTCATTTAGTGTATTTGTTTTATAGTTGAGATGTTTGGGTAAACGCCATCTAGCGGAAATAGTTTCTCCTAGCAAAATTCAACTTTGTAGGCTGAAGACTATTATTGGTGGCATGTCGTGTTTGCTCAAATTATTACTTACATCTAGCAACAACGAGGTAAGGTTGACTCGCGAGTTCTCGTCGGAGTCGACAAGTAGCTCCACATCGGTGAGGTCGACACTCGAGTAAAGTGGGCGCAGAGTCTCTGTGTACTGTAATATGATTGTAAATAAATTTATTGAAGGTAAAGTATTTTTCTTATATTTATGTATTTAATTAGTTGCGTCTTGACTCCCTTTGACGTCTTACATAATATTAATCATAGTAAACAGCTTTTTGAGTCGATCTCTTTCATCTACTTAAACAGATAATTACTTATAACACAGAATAATTAAAAAATAAAACTTTAGGCGGAACATTTTCAAATAGTGACAAATCATCGTCTCTATTCTTTAGTCGTTTTCTGCTGGATGACTCTTCAACAGTTTTTATTATACAAAGTACAAACCTTTCTGTCGACACAAAATAATTCGTGCTATCATACTCTACTGTTCTACTAACCTCTTCATTAGTGTGCTGTAACAAAATAATCACTGTTAACAAAGAATACGAGAAGCACGAATTTTATGTTGTCAATATTTTCAGAAGCATACCAGAGGCCTTAAATCAGGATGGTACAAAACATGCCCGTTGTTATCCACCATGAACGAGTAACCGTTCACTCCCAACTGAAAAAAATAATGGTTTTTCGTTACAATAATACTAGCTGTTGCCCGCGACTACGTCTGCGTAGAATAGGCTGAAGGCGTAACATTCAGACAGAAAGACTTATATACATAAAAATAATATGTATATAAATTATAGCCTGTGTGTTATTCTGATGTGTAAGTTATATTATTGTAAAGTTTCATTAGAATCCATTCAGTAGTATTTGCGTGAAAGAGTAACAAACATCCATCCATACATACGAACTTTCGCGTTTATAATTTTAGTAAGGATTTAAAATTAAATGAAAGACTTTAGTTTCTGTAGAGATTGTTACTGAAAGTAAAACATACCTTATACGGTGGCACGAGCTTCTTTATTTGATCGACAGGCACATCTGTGCCAACCACACCAAGTAGATTGGCTTCTCTTTGCTGGAAGGGAAAAGTTATTCATGTATTTACTATATGATAGATGCCCAGTGGTCCATTTTGTTAAAACACTCACTGTATGATTTCTCCTGTCGAAGATTGGCACTGTAACTGATGTCATCAATTGTCCCATTCCATCGTCAGCTAGGCTACTACTCTGTTGAATACATAGACGATAATAATGCTTTATTCAAACTTATTTAGTTGAAAAATTGTTAAAAATATTTCACAGGAAATAAACTTACTTAATTTCTATTAAAATACACAATAGTACAGTATTTCCGTTATAAAGTCACAACTATATTATCTGGTATATATGTCTTTAAAAAAATCATCGTCAATCGTTCAAGAGTTATAAAACTACAAATATGCATGTATAAAGTATTATAGAAAAATAGTCGTATTATAGATAAAATTTATTGACTTTAAATTAACATAGATTGCGATTATTTTGTAATTGTTTCAGACACTATATTAAAATAGTTACCCTTCCGCCGACGTAGACGGGGCTCCAGTGTACTGGATGGATCGTTTGGTACATTACGAGCGGCCTTGCAAGCACCTCGACGAAATGTAGAACTTTGTGTCTGATTTCCGCGTGATTGTTGATGGTGACATAGAAACCTAAGAAAAAATGCAAATCCACTAGCAGTTTTACAAATTTGTTTCATTCCACACTTATTCATAGGAGTATGTATGTATATGTTTTTATGTGTTTGTATGCATGTCTGTATAGTATAATACAAAGTCTCTGCTTTGTGTATATTGGTTTCCCTTTTTATTTATTAGTTTATTTTACACCGAACCTACCTCAACTTCGCCGGATCATTTGTTAGATTGAGTGGTAGAAAATGCCTTTGGAGTTAAGTTCGTCTTTGTACAAAGGCTTTTTTTGTGTATAAAGTTTTAAATAAATACATAAATTATTAGTCCGTGTCAATAAATTGACCATGTCAAATCTCATCTGAGAACGAGCGCGCGGAAAGGCTATAGTTTGCCTGTTGAAGTTTGGTGGCTCTAACCGCCATCGAACGTGTTAATCGTTTCTGTGAAAAACTTCCTAAAACGTGGTGTATGTTTTATATGCGGTATGTTGGTATCACCTCGCCAGCACCTAGCCGAAACGAAATGTCATCCGCTATTACTAATCGTGTGTAGTATTTTCGGGGGATCCCCGTCGGTTACCTTTATTGGTGCACGCCATATCTTTCATGGTATGTCCAGCGGCCGCGTCGCCGGCAACTCGGTACGTGAATATCCTGACGGGCATGTGGGGCCAGTTCCACACGCGGAACACTCCTTTCACTCCACCGGCGCCACCACCAGCACCGACTACCGCTATCGCTTGGTTGCATTGGCAACCCTGGCCGGTACGGTTGTACTGAGAAGGAGGTGTTTTGTTATAACCCTGTCATTGAAGCCTTGCTAAGGAAATATAACGGACTAGTGACTCGCCTCGGCTTTGCACGGGTGCAATATATTATACATATAAACCTTCCCCTTGAATCACTTCATATTTAAAAAATATCGCATCATCATCCGTTGCGTAGTTTTAAAGATCTAAGCATACATAGGGACAGACAGACAGCGGGACGACTTTGTTTTATACTATGTAGTGAAGTCTCGTGGCCTAGCCAAGGAATTAGCAAGTTGGTCATACTTTAAGGAAGAGTACGTAACTTGAGTGCTCAGTACTATGCCGCTACCAATCCAAAACTATTGTTTAATGCTTCAATTCGCAACTAAACAATGATAGATAGATGGATGGCACAGGATCGTGCTTTGAGGCAGTCTGTGGGGCAGGCCTATGGACTCCAGCAGGCTGAAATGATGTTGATGATACGACTCGATGCCAGTTATAACAATAAACAGCAAAACGTTTTTCATTTTTTATAACGTTATATTTCTACGAATACCATGAAGTTTTTATAGCAGTTACCCGATGCAGTATCTCGAAGGCGGTCGTCAGAGCTCCGGTCAAGTTGGCCACTCCGCCGGCCGGTTCCGCAGCCCAAAGTGAGGTTTTCAGTTCACGCAAAGTTTCAGGTACAGCCTGGGAACATACATATAACATTTTATTTAAAAATTTGTCATGTGAGCAGACGATTCATCTGTTGGTATGTGACCACCCTTGGACATCTACAACATTTGAGGGGTGGCAGATGTATCTTAATTTATGACATTGTTAATAGTTTATTTCTTTTTCAATGCGTATAATGGGTAAAAATCTATCACTGTTTATAACAAAATCCCAGTAAATTCGCAAAGCATGCCTATTAACAGGTATAAGAAAAAATAAAAGTTCGTTAGTTTTTTCAAACTATTATTTATTTGCTATTTTTTATTTCTGCTAAGTATATAAGTGTGTTTTTTGATGTGAAACATCTATAGCCGCACGTAAAACCGATTTCTGGCGTGGTGACGCATGCACGAATTAAGTAGTCATGAAGAAAATAGATTCGTAAATTTTTGTATTTAATGATAATAAATGTTTATTCAATAAATAGTCATCGTTATCTGGAAAAAAATCGTAATATTTTATTTTATCATTATGACATATTTAGTTCCTATCACAATCTGTTCTTTTCTGCATATTACTTTTACAAAATAATGTCGATGTTTCACATCTGCCAGGCGTCCCGTGACGGCTCACAGTTTATTTTATTTTTTAAACATTTTTAAATGCCTACGTTTTACGCATTTAAAAAGTACACTTATCAGGTATCGGATTTGGAAAACAGCTAGTCCTGAAGGTCCTGATCAGGATAATGGGAAAAACTGTTGGATTATTACTATTAAATCTGATCATTATAAGTCGGGCAAAATCACCTTCCTACCTACCTTTAAAGATTAGAGTTAGAGGAACCTCTTTACGAAACGGTGGTAAATAATGAAAATCGATAAATGTTATTAATATTTCCTTATTTCGATGAATGAATGATTTGATTTGATTTAATTTGATAGTAAGCAAGCGCGTTAACCAATGTACCATTTTCCATCTAAATAAAAAAGCAATTATAGTGAAGTAAACGCAAACGTAATAAGCTTCCAAGCCTAGAACGAATAGAGAGCTAAGTATTACTTAGTGGTGCAGGTATTTAAGCGTCGAGACGCTTCCGAGAGCGGTTTTGTGAAGGCGCCGGAACATGACGCGAAAGCCACTTCTCACCCGACCTTTGGAACTTAACACGGTCAAGGACTTGTGGAACTGCTCACCTACAATCTAGACTTTTCGAAGCCACATTTTAACCGTGAAAGTTAAATTAAAGATTTATAGTTTTGACGTGAGCTTATTAGCTGCTGGAATGTTTAAGCTAAATGGTAGTTGTTCTATAGACAGTTTGTCCTCAGCAATGGGAAATCAATGAATTACAATAACTCTCTAATGTTGATTATTTAATGTTTTAAATTTCCTTATGGCTTAGTTCAAAAATCAAGTTTTTATGTTAAAACGTATTTCTATTACGTATACGTATTTAGATTTATCATTGTAATTTGTACACGTTTTTTGCATTAAACAAATTAAAAAAAATTAGTAAGTATTAATCATTAAATAAGACGTAGATGGGGAACGGCGCCGAAAGCCGAAATACAGGTTCTCAAAACCTAGTTCGGCGACGGATGCTATTGATCTATTGTAGTTATTTGTAACATTATTATGTATTAGCACTAAGTCCAAAATTGTATAACTGAAAGGAAAATAAAACATATTAAACTTAAACTTAAAAAAAAATATCCGACCGCTTTACCTGGTTTACTTAATAAACCCGCTTACTTAGTAAACCCCCTGGTTTACTTAATACCTAATTTAATGAATTGTACGTTTTGTTTTTTTCAAAGAAGACTATAATTGTTGAGCAAAGTATTGTAAGGGTATTGTAAGAGTCTGCTATGCGACTCCACTTTATATATGTCCAAAACACTTTTAACTATATTTTTTACCATTTATTTGATATTTGAGGCGTAAATACGATGTTTCCCTTAACCTTTAAACACGCAGCCACACAGCTCTTATTATTGCAATCAAAGATTTTATTAGATGCTTATGTATAATGAAAAGTGAGGGAGAAAGAAAGGGAGAAATATCTTAAGTTTTTAACTAAGTGAACTACTACTATTGCAAAGTAAATAATAATATGTTAAATACGTAAGTTAAGTAACAAAACAAACACGAATGAACTAAATCATGCAGGGTAACAACTCTTAAATATCTTAGGTTTCATTAACTTGGGGACGATGTACTTGGTGGAATGTTTGCCGACGGGTAATTGCCGTGTCATATATTACCCGGAAAGTAAATGCGCGTAGCCTCTAGTGCCTATCTCGGGGGCTTTCGAGCCCTTAATATCACTTAGGTGAAATAATTAGCTTATCTCGTGGCACCGTCAGAAATGACAGCAGCCTCTGACGAATTCTGAATTCTGTTTATAGGTGCATAATATGTATGTTATACTACGCATAAAAATGCACAGACTAAAAATTTGAATAATGGAGCAAACAATGAGACGTACTTTGCAAATTGAAATTCTTGATGACGTGTTAAAACACACGAACAACATCCATTCTTCAGTAAAAGTGTTTGATATATAATTTTGAGGGATAAGATTTTTTAACTGAAGACTTGTCACGATGATTTGTCTTTATTTCTGTTTTTGAGTGATTGAGTGCTTTCAATCCTAGTCCTTATAAGGCTTCATTGGGGTTGGAGTTCTTGAAAAGACCATATTTCTACAAGTTTGATAGGCCAGACTCGTAATTGTGAACATGCGTGTGGATAGATGGCTACAGCCCATCATTCGGTGGTCCGACATTCGGTTTATGACATCGGCGGCCCACAATTCGGTTTTCCGAATGCTGCCAGAGTTGGGAAACGCCCCGGAACGCGGTTGGGAGTGAGGCTGTTGGAGTAGTCACAGTCATCCAACCAGTTGAGAAAATTCAATTGAAGAGTTCGATTGCATTAAAGTAAATAGCAATGAAGTATCTACAGAGGAGAGGAATATAGAAAAGACATTACACTCGATACGGCTCAGCTTTCGCGTGAGCAACTTCGGGACGTGAGCCGCCAACTCAGGCGATAAGCGCGATTCGCGCTCCGACATGTCACGTCTACGTTTAGTTCTTCGCGGCGGAGACTTTATCTTAAAAGTTCGCCGCGAGCTGAATAAGTGAATTCTGTGTCTGTACAACCTTAGGATACGTTTATAAATCGTGTTCACATTTGCATACTGAACCCTGCACTAGGTAGCAACCTGTCTCGCAGGGATCAAATTGTCGATTAGCTAATTAGGATTATAACATTAGTTTCACATCATCATTTAATTAATTAAAAGTTGGAAGAAGTATGTGTTTTTTTTATATATTTAGAATATAGGTGTATTATTATGTATATAAGTGTATAATTATGTATAATATATTGATATTGTTTTGTTAGTGTGCGTGGTGGAGTCATTTTGCTGACCTAAGTAAGTCTTGTGTCTGCTGGTAATCCAATTGTAATAAGTATTCGTCAAATTTTTTTAGGATATAACGTATTCAACACGTCACGGGGTTGGGGCGGCGAAAGTTGGGACAGCTGACAGCCCAATGCACCGACCCCCGCAGATTTATTAACGCGAAGTTAATTCCACTTTATCCCTTGTTCTTAAATCACGGTCCCAAAAATGTTATTCGCTAAACGAATTAAAAAGGAACTTAGCATTATTAAGGTAGAGTAATATTTATTAGACGGCATTGTAACAAGGTTTTCTTTTAATTGTTTACGTCGTCTTCGCTGTATTCTAATTTCATTGACAGTTCCCTATTTCTTAAACTTCTCATTCTTTCAAACTCAAAATTCCAATATAAACCTGTAAGCAACTCAGTACAAAACTGTGTGGATGTCGTACTAGGAATTTGGGACTTGTCCATTCTAGTTATTCATTGCTTTAAAAGTATTTACTGTTAAGACAAAAATTGTATAAAACAGTGTATTTAATTAAAGTACCAGCGTATACAAGTCCCACGGCTGGGCAAAGGCTTGCCCTGTACATAAGGTATTATTATATTATTTTAAATATATTATGGTTTTTTTAGTCAGCTTATAAATATCTTCTCGTCTGTAATTCTGTATTTCACTATTTATTCACGCTTCTCAGACGTATTTGTAGTACCATCCATAACCAATACCAGGCTTAAGTAAGCCAAGGGTAAAACGGGACCCTATTACTAAGACTCCGCTGTCTGTCTGTCGGTCCGTCAGTCATCAGGCTGTATCTCATGAACTGTGACAGTTGAAATTTTCACAAATTATGAAAAATTGAATAAAAAAATACAAATCCCATACAAAAGACATGATTTTTTTGCCGATTTTATAGAAAATGGCACGGAAACGATCGTGCGCGAGTTCGACCCGCACTTGGCCGGTTTTTATTTTAATTAATCGCACTTAGAGAAAAAGAAAATATTAACGTCATAATATTAGCCAAATTTTAACACAAGTATTGGATAAATTACAAACAAATTTATGCAAGTGCAATTGAGTTAATTTAAGCCAATTCCTTTGTGTTGGTTCGCGGTGTTTTATTTTATTTTTACATTTATCGTAGTTTAGAAAAAACGTGATGAGGTCACTCAAGAAGTTATTTTGAAAAAGTTTATTACATTAGACAAGGACAGAACTGAAACTTTCGTGTCGAGAATAGATTAAAATGTTGTTGCTAGCCTTGGCTAACAGTACGGAGGGTTCCGCTATCAACTAATAAAGATGTTTTACATAGATACGCTATCACGATGACACGACTTTATAGATTTTTGCTCTTTTATTTTTCCGTCTGCCATAGAATTTCAAACAAAAGGAAACGGTTCGAAATAATTACTAGTGTACTCTTTTTACTGGTTTTGATCTTTTCCTTTTCTGTCTACCGTTAATCAGCAATGATAAAGCAATTCATTACGTTAATAAACGATTAAGTCTTTCACTTGTCGTTGATACTTAAGGTACACGAAGATAGAAACGCAAAAAAAAACGTGCTGCGGAGTAATTTCTATAACGTGACATAGCCGTGAAAAGGATACTCCATCTTTAAGGTTGGCTCCTGCGTACGATTACGTGCTGAGCCACTAGTTTGCCACTGAGATTAAAGTATTGGTTCCGTTGTGTTTATTCATTCCAATAAATACTGTTGACGACAAAAATTGATTTTACATAATCCATACTTAGATAATAATATTATAAATTGTGAAAGTAACTCGGTCTGTCTGTCTGTCTCGCTTTCAGTCTAAAACTACTGAACCGATTTAAATGAAATTTGGTACACAGATAGTCTAGAGCCTGAGGAAGGACATAGCATATTTTTTAATCGGAAAAAAGTGTTGTAAAGTGTTAAAAGATATTTATTTTAGGGCTACAACGCGAGCGGAGCCGCGGGCGAAAAGCTACTTACAATATATTAGCTAGCTACAATAAATACAATCTATAGAATTACCGAGCTTTGTTGCAATTGTGACTATTTAAAAAAAATCTCTATTTGATAAATGATCCAGATTAAGAAACTTCTTAAAAGCAATTTCTTATGAGCAACAATGTAAAAAGATTATGTATGTCTTTCAAAACTGTCAAAATAAAACGTAAACAATCCAGACGTCGATCTAGTAATCGAGCAATATCGTCGTTTTAATGTATCGTCGTTTTTTCCGGACCCAAGGGGTAAAACGGGACCCTATTATTAAGATTCCGCTGCCTGTCTGTCACTAGGCTGTATCTCATGAACCGTTATAGTTAGACAGTTGTTTTGAAAATATTTAAGTGGGGCTCCCATACAACAGATATGATAATGGTATGGCACCCTTCGTGTGCGAGTCTCACTCGCACTTGGCCGGTTTTTTAAATGAACAATAACTTGAAGCCATTTGACCACCATGATTTTTTCATGTGACTAGAATACCATGTTGCCAATCGTTTTATCTTTTTTCAGTCACTGCTGCTTTCAAGCTTTCCCAATATACTCGCATTAGGACAGACAATGGCAGAAAAGGAAATTTCCACCCCCTTAGAATCCAGTGGTTTAAGTTTAAGTTATGCCTAAACATAAGAGTCTGTCGGTAAGTTCCTCCTTTCATATATACAGATGGTACAATGTAAAATGTCATCGTTTGTAATAAACGATATGAATCAAAGGTCAGCACAGTATTTGTTTGTCGGAATCTAATGGAGTCCTGGATTAGAGCACGTTTGATTGATTCCATTAGGGCGCGTAATACCGAGGACAGATGGGTATCAGGTAATGCGTACCGGGGCACGCAATACGTGCATTTGCCCGGCGGTTCCGAGAACGGTTTTAAAACAACGCCCTTGCCTCTTAATAGCGAAAGGGGTTACTTAGATTTAAAAATGTAACAAGAAAAAATAAAATTAATTTACAGGGGTTTTATGTTGTAATATTAAAAAACAATTCTTAATTTTGCTTTTTGAAACATGACATGATTCTCGGCTTATTCAGGATCTTTTAGAAGTTGAAGTAATTTTTTTATGAATAATCTACGTATATTATTTTAATTTTTTGAGAGTAACAAGTATGATATTTGTGATCAAAATCTAACCATTCTACAAAAATATTAAAAAAATGGAAAATTAACGAAAAAAGACCTTTTTTTCTTGCATGCTCACAGTTGTTCCGCCTGTTAAATGGAGGCGTCGGCCCGTCCGGGGAATACCCAGGAAGTATGTACGAGTACCAAAACCCCTAAACCCCTTTGCTAAACCTTAAAAAATCAATTTTAACATTAAAATATGTGGAAAAAGTACGAAAAGATTGTCGCCGCTGTGGGAATCGAACCGCGTCAGGCCGCGAATGCCGAAGACGTGGGTAATTACCAATTTTAGATTTCAGTTGCCAAATTTTAGGATTAGGACCATAATGCTAAAGTTTGGCAACGCAACAAGCTCACGTGCTGTTGGTACTCATGGACGGTGGTAATTACTCCACGTCAGTAAAAACCGCCGGATTGTTCTGCAACTTCTCTCAAAAACCTCATTTGGGATTTAATTTCAATTATCTCTTCAGATAATCTCGTTATAATTACCATCAGCAGTAGTGATGTGATATCTTAATTAGGTACCTTTATAGATGATATATAAAAAAAAGTAACACGTTCAGATCCAAGGCATTAGGCGTATTGCGAATTATTTCTCATATATGTTTAATCAGGGATTGGAGCAAAGACAATCTGTTACGCCTCACGCCCACCTGTTTCAAAGTCCTTGTTTTAATTAAACTTATGTCGTCTAATTGTGCTCGATCACGGTACGCTTCGTCGTGTGTGACGTAATGTCTAGTAGGCCTTTGAGAGCAAAGTTTAGGCATTACAATATATGTTAAGCGTCTGGAGGTACGGCATTAAGGTAACAAAGCATGTGTGTGCCGTTGAAAACTTGAGAATTTTCCTCACATAATCTTGCCAAATTAACATTATTAACGAGCATTTAATTTCTACTTGTACATTGGGCATGGCTAACCGTAGTTATCCGTAAGTCTCTTTTCCTTAATCTCTTAAATTTACACGAATACTACACATTTCCTCTGAACGCTGGCCAGTAATTATACACAGGGTGTTCTTACTTTAATGAAAGGCAAAAAATGCCTTCGTCTTTAAATCAGCCTTGTACAAAGATGTGAATAAGGTTTCAATAAATTATTAAAGACGGTCCACATTACATTTAGTGATTACCACCGCCCATTGTCTTATTCAACACCTGTGCCATTATTAACATTTGGTTAAGCTCACTCACGTTAACCGCTGTCACATACGAAACGTAGAAGCAATATTTTTACTTCACGCCGGCCCTCTGAAAGGTGGTAATACCTATAAAGAACGTAATAGCAAAAGCATCCGCAGCTTTAGCTATTTCAGGCTGAACACCGAATTCGCATCAGTTTTATTCTGATTGCCTAATTTAAACTGTTTACGAATGTCAAACAGATAAAGTTCTTCGTACTGTGTTACGTGCTCTATTTTCATTTTGTCACCATGTTTTCTACATACTTAATAAGTGTTAGGATAATGCGTAGCCGGCAGTAATTAATTTTAAATCAGTCTAGTCTATCTAAAATAGTTATTTTACAAAATGATATGAATAAGCATTAAATAGTGCTGCTGTCAAAATTAAAACTAAATTCAACTTTTTATACTGTACTATATATGTGGGATATTTGTATCTACCCTCGGTTTGATTGACATAAATGATGCTTCAATGCTTCTTCGTTAGTTTAATGTATAAGGCTTGTGCTTGGTTATGCTTGGATATAGGCATACGAGGCTCTGCCTCCATTTGAAAGGCCTATATCTTTTCTATTTTCATGATAAAGCAGCAGCCAAAACAAGTGAATAAGATAAAAGGTAAACACGTCTTTACAATGTTGAAGGCTATAGGCACATACCTGGGCCAAAATCTTCGTATAGCATGGATGGACTTCAGATATCGTGTCGCTGTAACGGTACACGTTAACAAAGTCATTCGGTCCGAGGGTGTCGAGCAGGGCGGCCACGGTGGCCTTCGCCAGCCGCCGATACGAGGAGCCGAGGTCATCGGAGTCGTCCATCAGGATGACCAAGTCCTTCGGCGAGGTGGCCGCCTCGACGAACCAGTTGGACGACCTGAAGTCGTAGAAGTCCCTCGCGTGGTGCGAGTAACCGTCTTCCGGGGGCCAGGACATTGCTGGTAAATGAAATACAAACACACGCCGTAATAACCGGTAAATAAATACAGGCTGTTACATATTTAGCTTTATGTTTGACTTCGAGGCAGAGGCTAGGTTCTCTTTTGCACTGTCCTCTTTCGCTTCGTAACCTCTGGATAAGGATAAGGTTGATTCTACGTTTTACTTCTATTAAAATGGTAAAAATAAAGTATCAGCCTATACATGTCCTACTGCAGGGCAAAGGCCTCCTTTGTACAGAGGGTATCAGGTCATAGTCCACCACGCGGCCCCACTGTGGATTGGCGGACTTCACATATCTTTGAGATAACTTTTTTTGTTATTATTTCAAAAATATGCAGGCTTCCTCAAGATGTTTTCCTTCATCGATGAGCACGTGATAATTCGGCACTTAAAATTAACTATTTCATTGGTGCCGGCACCGGGAATCGAACTCAGGTTGCTCGAGTATATTGAATTAGCGAGCGCTTGGACACTGTGCTATCACGGCACTACTATTAAGCTAGGTGTGAACTTCTTCAAAAGCTTATGATACGTCAGACGTAAAGTCAAGAGTTTCAACGATGTTCATTATTCTGGTCTCGAAGGTCTTTATTAAGCGTCTTTCCCAACAGATGCGGTATTATTTCTGTCCATTAATTAAATTGTGGGGGATGTTTTTGCTAAAATTTTTACGTTTTTACCACTATGCGTGTCTTCCTACATTTTGTACCGCGCTTTCATCGTCCAAGATGGAGCGTTTCGACATGAAAAGCCTGCTTCGTGTTACGAGTCTAAGTTATAAATCGTAGTGAATTTAAGAAGCACTTTCAAGGAACGCTTTAGAATAGGAAGTGCTGCGGGCGGGCATCACAGTTCGGCGCAGTTCACACCAGCCGGGCCACTCGCCGTTCTATTTTTCGCCTGTAGTGAGCCAGCCAGTGAGCGAGCGAGTGAGTTAATACGTCTCTCTTAAAGCGTCTTTTCTTCAGAACAGGGTCACGGAAGCGATGCTCTACGCTTATCAGGCGGCTTGAACAGAGCTAGAGCGCTCCTAAAGTTGTTAACCTCGCCCGAGTTTTGAGTTATCGTTTCAGTTAGTCTCATTCACGTAAATATTCTCTGTTTGACATTGCATAATAATTCAGTGAGTAATACTCACCAAATTATTTTGGAACATCAAGAATAGTGAGTGTTAATAGTAAAAATTGAAGATAAAAAGATTTCTTCGTATTCCGAATTTTTTTTATTCGGACTATAAAACACTAAAAGGTGAACAGAAATTAGTAATTTTTTTGGTTATTATAATTTTGGAACCATGCCAAACATTGTATGTGGCGCATGCAAGACAAGAATAAAAATATTGATGATTACATTATTATCTCCCTGTTCGGGTTGTTTACTTAGTTTTAAAAGAAGGAAGAGAATATTTTTTTCTATTTAAGTGTATGCAACTCTTATAAATATAATTACCTGGATATCGCCTCATGAAGCCCGTTGATGAGGCGTAGTACTGCCAAGATAGCGTAGGGTCGATCTCATAGTTGTTCATAAACAGCGGGTCTAAGTGCTCCGACCAGTATATTTGATTCTTTACTTCTGCATCTGCAACAAAATTGAGATGTTGGCTTAAACTTGATATGGCTAAAAAAAGCCACCAAGCTAAAACAATACATAAAACAAGTACAGATTTTCCAGATGTCAGTAGCGATGCTTAACGTCGTCACTAAATGTCATAAATTTGCCATTTTCATTGAAGCTTGTTCTGTACTTGCATCGGATGAAACACTGTATAATATATTACAACGCGTTCAGCGTTTACGAAAAATGTGGGCATTCGACCGTTCTTCCTCCTAAAAGAGGAATCTTTTAATCCGATGTAACCCGCTCACGATAAGAGCACAGAAAGTTTGACTAGTGTATATATATATACTCTTATGTTGTATTTTACGAGTGGCCTATTCTATAAAAGCAGCTAAATATGTACATCAAATCGTCGTTAATATTAGTTGTGTATCGTATATATACAATATAAAACGTCTACATATAGGTGTTGTTCATTGTATAATTTACTCTTTAGTACATTTAATTGAGTGCAGTTATTTACAATATTGTAGTTATGAAGCATTGATAAGGGATCAAAGGCGTTTTAGGTCCAATTATAATACCATCCAAAAGGACACCGATTTCCAGCTATTTTTTCCCTTGTTGTTTCCAAAGGAAAAGAACTTCCAGTTTTTTTCCAACACGGACACGTCGGTTATCTGGATGAATACTGACTAGCTACATAGATATTTGAAAGAGCGCGAGTCTGGATTGAATGCCTTTAATATAGAAAAACAATTGAATTCCTATGTAGTTCTATATTACTATTCTACATTTATAAATAAAGAATGTAAAAAGAAAAAAATATATTTATATTCTACCCGAACAAAAAGATTTCGATTTTTCAAACTAATCGCAAACTTTTTTGACGTGTGTACATGTGTCTAAACTTCTAGTCTTGAAAACTTGTTCAATTGAAATTTACCGGAAGTTACCTTTTAAATAGTTTGAATGAGCGAATTTCGTTTAGAATGACTAAAGTTCAATATTAAAATTATTAATTGGGTGAACCGCTTCGTAGTTTACCTCTTTATTTTATGAAAAAATATATAGTCAGAGATTGATATGGAATACCTTTAAACTACTAATAAACCATTATTCAGTTATCGTGTCGAGTTTAGTTACCAAATTAATTCTTATCCTGTTCCAAAGTTTTTTAAATAAAGATATAAAAAACACATCTAAAATGACTGCTGTGTTTGATTCGTTCTCGAATTTTCCAAAGCCACGTTTTCAATTGTTTATAACATTCTGACAGGAAAATTTGACGTGGAAATCAAAGACTTTTTAATAATATTTTAAAATATGTAATCTATAATAAATTTTATTAATTTAATTATTATCTATTGATGTCCAGCGCGGTTTTTTAAATCCAATTTCCGGGTAGGTTATAATAACAGTTGAAACTTGTTTTTAGTTGAAACACGTAAATACAAAGGAAGGAAGAAAGATACGTTTATTTGTTAGAACATGGTACAATATAGGCCTTAACAGTTGTAACATTTATCATTTAAATAATCCTGTGGAATAGTAGCATTTACTTATCAGAAAGTTATACAGATTTCGCCTGAACAATTTTAAATTTACCATTTCTAAAGTTCAATATGTTAATTCCGCTAGTTTCAGTATTGTTTTCTCTACCGATTGGAAATGATAAAAGATGGTGGTAAAGTTACCTATTTTGTTTTATTGGATTATTGTTAGTTTTATTTGCAATAAAGCATTCGAATATTGATATTCATGATAAATCAGAGTATTACTTTGATAAAAACGTTTATGTGTACGTTTAGATAAAGGAACGTTTTGTATTAAAGGTTATTACAATGTGAATGTTATATAAATGACTAGCGACCCGCCCAGGCTTCGCACGGGGGCAAGGTATTATACATATAAACCTTCCTCTTGAATCACTCTATCTAATAAAAAAAAAAAAACTGCATCAAAATCTGTTGCTTATAATATATAATTGCTTATAGAAATATGCTTCTAATATTGAATAAATATATTTGAATTTAAAGGTAACGCAAGGATCAATAAGTAGGAAATGGCTTAACATATTTTTTGACGTTATACTTATTTTGGCGCGTTTGGAAAAATTATGAAATTAAAATTTAACGATGCACGGTGTGCGCACCGACCCTCAAAAAGCGACATGATGCTTGGTAACCAATATAATTTTGGCAAACAACTTTTTGACGTTTACCAATAATTTGCAATTATTTAAATAAACCGTTATAAATTTCATTTAATGTCTTTACGCTAAAGAAGTATAATTAACTTCCTACGGGGTACAAAAGTACACACATACTTTTTTAATATAAGGGAGCATCGTAAATGCTCAAATCTAATTGCCGATGGAGTTCGTCAGAGACTGTTCACGAAGCGGGCCATGGCCCGCTTCGTGAACAGGAGGGAGAAAAAACCGGCCAAGTGCGAGTCGAACTCGCGGACGAAGGGTTCCCTACCGTTATTTATAAAAACGGCAAATAAACCATGTCTGTTGTATGGGAGTCCCCTTTAATATTTTTAATTTTATTCTGGTTTTTAGTATTTGTTGTTATAGTGGCAACAGAAATACATTATCTGTGAAAATTTCAACTGTCTAACTAACACGGTTCACGAGAACAGGCTTGTGACAGACGGGCCGGCAGACAGACAGACAGTGGAATCTTAGTAACAGGGTCCCGTTTTACCCTTTGGGTACGGAACCCTAAAAAGACCCGTGTCGCGGTGTCCATGACGACCAATTACGAGGATTTTCTTCGGGCGACCATTAACGGAGGGGTAATTGGCGAAGTTCGCTCGCCGTCGGCCGCGATCGCTTTCCACCGGGCCATCTCGAGCGGAAAATTTAATGGAAAGACCGGAAACTCTCCACCAAATGGACACGGTTCTCTGTAGTAGTATATAAATGGATTCAGAGTACTTAGTGCGAGTTTCTTTATCTACTTGATCACGTTAACGTAAACTATAATTTTTATGGAGTTAATTGAGCGCCGTCTGGTGTCGACTGCGAGGAACATAATATGCGAGTGTGAGATTGTTCATGTAACTTTCTCGATAGCGACAATTGAACAACAAAAACAGTTCCCGTATTCCGGCTATTTTGTTTCCCTGACATTTTATTGAAGAGATTCCTTTCGAATGCCACAACTGAAATACGCGTCGGCTATTCCATCTCTCTGTCCAGTTCACTATATATATGTAGCAATTTACCGTTAGGGGTTATAATGAAGATCAATACAATGATAATAGTATATTGGCGCCGCAAGATTGCAGTTATTCGACGAATGCTGAACCTCGGAATCTTGTATTGCGGTAATGCATGTAAGATGATTACATTCTGTGACGATGATACTGAATTTAAAGAATTTAGTACTAATTATTGAAAAAATCTTACTAAATTTATTATGCATGCTAACAGTTTTTAATAACGGTGCATTTATGTCTCAGGTCACGTGGCGCAGAATACCCAAACAGTTGTGTACAACTATTTAAAAACACCATATTCTGCCGCTACCTTATTTGCGGAATTTGCATATTTGCTCACAAACATCCGACCCTTTTTAAAAGTAATTTAGAAATAAACAATCGACATAGTAGATTCTCGGACAAACTATACTCCCCATCGTACCACAATGTTCAGCAGAAACTGTTATTGTATGGCCATTAGGATATGTAATAAATTACCAAATAGATTAAAATTGTGAATTTAAAATTGTTCAGGCGAAATCTGTTTAACTTTCTGATAAGTAAATGCTACTACTCCACAGGATTATTTAAATGCTAAATAATTATAAAAAACGCTTTCCTCAATTAGATTTTCTTTTGTTTTGTATTTCTTTGCATGTATTAAATGTAAAATGTAATATTTGTACACCAGAAATGGTAGAACATAAGGGACGTTACAACTGTTAAGGCCTATATTGTACCATGTTCTAACAAATAAACGTGTCTTTCTTCCTTCCTTCGTATTTACGTGTTGAATTCGATAAAATGGGTATCTCTTTAGTAAAAACAACAAGTTTCAACTGTTATTATATAGCCTACCCGGAAGTTGGATTTAAAAACGCGCTGGACATAAATAGATAATAATTAAATTAATAATACGTAGTGTTTGATATTTTAAAATATTATTAAAAAATCTTTGCTTTCCGCGTCAATTTTCCTGTCAGAATGTTATAAGCAATTGAAAACGTGGCTTTGGAAAATTCGAGAACGAATTAAACACAGTAGCCATTTTAGATGTTTTTTTTATATCTTTATTTAATAACTTTGTAACAGCATAAGAATTAATTTGGGAACTAAACTCGACACGATAACTGAATAATGGTTTATTAGTAGTTTAAAGGTATTCCATATCAATCTCTGACCATATATTTTTTCATAAAATAAAGAGGTAAACTACGAAGCGGTTCACCCAGTTAGTGCCCAGTTATAATCGCGTATAAGCGTCCTACTTCATATACTCAAGAGAGCCTTATACTCCCTTGCGTACATGAGTGTTCTGCGTGGTTTTCGGATTTCTCGGTGGAGCCTGTATATTTATGGCATAGCGGAGTTTTACTTATAATAGTGATAGTGAGTCGTATCCCATTTATACCTGGTACCTGGACACTTTCTATAAAGGTAAAACACTAAAAACTTATCTAGGTAAACAATTAAAAGGTACAGTTTTCTGCAAAAATGGTTCAAAAAATAAACATGAAATTGTTACCAGTTTTTTTTATTAGTTTCTCAATATAAAGTAAATAATTTGAATATAAGTAAATTTTAATCGATGAAAAATTATCCTCTTAATTGGCTATCTCAATTATAAACTTGACATCAACCAAAACAAACACCAAATCTCCAACTGCGATGTGAAAAAAGGTGAAATACTCCTACATGATAATATTTATGTTTGCTTGTGATTTGTCTCATATGTAATTGCAATTGTGCAGAATCTTTTTAAAAAGAGGAACAAAATCAGTGTAGTACGAGTATGTGATTCATTTATTATTGTCACCCTTGTTTTCCCAATTTGAATTTTAGGCGCGGCGATTGTCAACAACACATCAAGTCCCATTATATGGGAGTGACGCTACGTTTTGTTTCTCGTTTGCCATCCGCCGTCAAATTAGTTTACATTTAAGCATAATTATGTTCTTAATTTTTAAATGGAAAAGCAAACATTCAATCTTCAGGACGTGAATTACTTAATTTGGTAATTTTCGGTTGCTCTTTAAATGGTTTATTTGTCATTAATGCATTTATTTTGTCTTTTGAATAAAATTCACCAAAAATATCAACTGTTACGCTCATGAACAGATTTGGGCTAAATTTAATTAGTAGATATTGACTGTGGTCCTACCACAGTCGCAGTCAGCAGCATGCTATTGCACGAATGTGCAGCCTCGTCTGGGGAAGTATTACGGCCCTACAGAAGACCTACATGAAGTACAAGTGTTATATATTCTTTTCTTTAGGTCTGTTGAGTGAGGCAGCCGAAACCAAATGTTTTATAACTTTGTAACGTATCCCCAGTGAGTTGTAGACGTCTGTAGGCGGAGGTAATCTCTAACATCAAAATTTAAGGTCTTTATTAAAAATAGCAAGGACTAATTCTTAATTTTATTTCCTTCGTGAGATGCTTGAACAGCCGCACTATCCGGCCCTACATTATAAAGTGTGCGAAAATTTATCTTGAATAATAGTCCGTGCGTACCAAACGACTGCATACCCAATAAGAGACGACTTGTTAAAAAATGTTTATTAAGTAGTAACTGGATTTTCAAGTACCAATATTAAACATGTCATACATGTCAACATGTATAACATTCACGCCCCACATCAAGTAGGGGTAGGCATAAACCACAATTATTTGAGGCAAAACAAATTAATACATCTATGTACAAATATCTGCATATAGCTTGTATTATTTCAGAATTAATTAAAATAAGCACATTAACGTAAAAGCACGGATTATTCACATGTGACATTGTCACGGATCACGGACTGCATTAACGAACTATACACAACCGCATCAGTGCAGGGTTCACTGTCCTCGCCGTTTGGAACAAATGTAATTCACACAAAACACGCTTACCGACGCCTATGGCTGCTAATTATTCCGCGTACACCTACAGCTGTTTGGTTACGGTTTGTACTTATATCGATACATGCCAATTGCCAATGCAAACTCCACGTACGCTATATTGTAATTTGCGGCGTACATTTATCTCATCTTTAATTAGAATATCTTTTAGTCGTGACTTTTAACTAGTTTGGTAGTTAGCTCTACATATCGTCCTTTGTCTTTTGCACTCGCAAGTTTTGTTCGTCAACTATTTATTTATTTTCTTTCCTTTCCAATGTATTTTTCCCACCGCATCTATTTAAACATTGGTTTTCACATGCCGCATCCGCCAAACGTGTGAGATATTGTTATAAATTTAGACACCACTATATGTGTACCATGTTTAGTCATAAACCTAAAAAAAATCATAAGTGATTATAAAAGATTATTATTATACTGTCAGTTAAGGTGTTTTTCTCATCAAATGTTGAATGGTTTCGTATCTATCATCTATCAGTAAGAAAACGTTTACACTTTAAGTTATCAAACGTTTGCGCTTTTGATCAACTCGTTTTATGATTTTCTCGTTTATGATTCGAATTCTATGTGAACTTGCAATCGTTTCATTTTGTTTCGATTCATTTCATTTGTAAAAACACACTCCCGATAATTACACGTATGATAATTTTGTGGTATCGCTTCGACGGTTTTACGGTTATTGCTTTTAGTGCAATGTTTTCAATTGCTATTTATTCCAAGCAACATTGTCGTCTTGATATCAGCTAAGCTTTCTGAGAATTGTTACAAAGTGAGCAATGTATTATTGTTGGTTATACCTTCAAGCTTTTACGGATATAAGGGACTGACTTTCAGATGTAATTGAAAAGGATATTTCAAAGGGGAAATGTAATACGTTAAATACATAACGTATGTATGTATTTGTGTATGTACGCCGCTGCATGTATGGCGGTGCAGCCACGTCGGTTGCGCGCACTCCATTTCCTATCCGCTTAAATAAATATTTTATGAGACAGATTGAAGCATGTCGAGTAATATGGCTGGGATCGTTTTTGAAGGTTTATTAGGTATTGCAATTCTGTAGTATCCGTTTTGATCTATTCGCGTATTTGTATTTGTATTATAATCTTCTTCTACAATAGTAGTTGGACTTTTATTAAAAATATCTTTTTTATTGAAATATTGGATCGATTACATTGTATATGACTGGAGATAGTCTTTGTACTTTTGGGGTTTTCTTATTTGAAACATGTATAAAATATTTCTGACAGTTTGTAATAATTTTTAGAGTAGGATATTTTATAGATATTATACAGAGATTTTTATGTAAGAAGTTGGCCATGAGCAAATGGTTCATTTGTGATTTGTGACTCCGCCAATGGATATCAGCAATACCTGAAGCAGTGCAGGTGGATACCAACCTTTAAAGACAGTTGGTCCCGGTTTCCTACTTCACGCTGGTCTTTTTTCTTTTATACTAATATACCTATGTATACTTATACAGGCCTTGATAGCTACTATTTTGACTGGTAGACCATGCTGACGGCATTAAGTCCACCGTTGTACATATTTTTATGTTTTGTGCATAAAGACTAAACAACAGTGGTTAGGCCGCGCTACTGTCCGTCCGGGGAAGTACCACGACCTATGGAAGACCTGCATGAAGAGGAAGTGTTATGCTTCTGGGTTGCTTCCGATGAGTCAGGCAACCGGGGCCAACTTTATAAAAAGATGGCGACGCATCTGCAACCCTATGGGCGTTGCAAATGTCCATGGGGTATCACTTAACATCAGTTGAACCGGCAGCCCGCTTACAACCTTCTCAATTCTACAATGCTAGGGCCACGCAGCAGCCTCGGCTGTTCCACGAATGGGTGGGCTCGTTCGGGTAAGTACCACGACTTCACAGAAGACCTGCGTCAAGTCGAAGTATAATACTTTCGCGTTTCGTCTGGTGAGTGAGGTGGCCGGAGCCCAATTTTCAAAAGGTTGTAAACGCATCTGGAACCCTCGGGTATAGCAGATGTCCATGGGTGGCGGTGTTCACTTAACATCAGGTGAACCGTCTGCTCGTTTGGCAATTTTTTACATAAAAAAAAAAAAAAAAAAAAAAACAAACCACACCTCCGATGTCGATGTACGGCGGCATGAGCACGGCGCTGTACGTAGTGTTTACGGCGATGTGGTCGAAGTGTCTGCTCGGCGTGAGCACCAGGCGGCGCGCACGCGCGGCCAGGGTGCCGTCGTCAGCGTGCACGTTCAGCCAGCGCGCGTCGAAGTACGACCCTGGGCTGCCGTCCAGCGCGCTGCTGGCGGGCGACAGGGCCGCCGCCTCGGCCGAGTCCATGATGCGCTGCGTAAAGAGCGGTCCGGTCAGAAACACACAAGCACGGACGAGACAGGAATGGTTCTTTTTTACACAGGGTCATCTACTCCCGAACTGAGCAAAGCTTGTATCGGTACTGGGAAACGGCTAGACATATTCATCACATCACGGGACAGACTGACCATGAACGCTGGAAAGGGTTCGAAGCGTCGGGAATTCAAATCAATATAAAAAACGCGATAAATTCCGTAAACTAGTTTCATTTAATATGTATAATAATCGCGTAAAATCAAGAAAATAATACGGCTAGACATAGTTAAACATAGTGTAAATGAAGTAATATAAGCAATACATATTGTATTTTATGTAAACACCTTGACACTAGTAAAGCAGTATATTCATCACACAATATTTTTCCAGTAGTTGCCAATCGAGTCGTCAAGCAAGAAATTTAGAGCTAAACCGCTATTGATTTGTATTGAGCAGCTTTGATTAAATAAAAAAGTGCCCGTGCTAAGAGATGTGTCTCTGTGATGTGAAGGTTTCACAGACATGAAACCACGGGCCAGATTCACCCTTAAACCGCGGCCATTGTTTACTGATTGGTACTTAACTGGTTTCCTCTTAAAATGAAAAACTACTGCAGCCTATTCTGTAAAAAGAACCTTGGGTTTTGAGAGAAGTAAGCAGAATACTTTTTAAGCAACCTATTACAAGGAATCAGTTTTCTTTTTAATGTATTCTTTCAATCTATACTCGCGCTCCTCCTTTCCTTAATACTGGTTTATATTTAATTAAGGCTTGACATGAATACACAAAATTTTACAAGCGTTAAAGTTCCGAATATCCGAATTAGGTCGCCTTTTACCTCAGATCAAATGCCGGCGGTCGTTCTTGGCGAACAGGTTTGCCGTAATGTTATAGTTAGAATAATTAAATGGCATATTCAGTGTGTTACATGTTTTTAATGTAATTTGATAGAATTCAATCTTTCAAAGGTTTTTTTATAATATATTATTAAGAGCAGGTATAAAATAATAATGCCGTTCGTTGATAACAATTTATTTCTTTTCCGGGCTACGGTTAAATATATTTTTTTGAAAAAAAAAAACGATTTAAACGTGCTCGTTGCGTGTGGGTTACACAAAACTAAAATGTGATGTCAACAACATGAATCTAAAATTAAAATATTAATAATATTATAGTTCCTGCTATTCAACCGATCATTAATTTTTAATTATTCATGAACGGTAGCTAGCTTATGTTTCGGTTGAATCATTCTATTATATATATACGATACATGCAATGTATGAATAAATAATAGAATATATAATAAAAGCGTTATCGTATTTTGTTTGTATGAAGGTGTAGTCAAATCCTGTACTATTGGTTGTTGGTTGGTTGTACTGTTTGTTATCTGGGCTTAATACTATTAACTATATGATATTTAAAAAAAGAAAAGTAAAAAACAATGCGCTGCGATTTCCAGTTTTATTTCTGTAGCCAAAATAAGTGAATATAACGATGAAATTCGATAAATGCGATACATAAAATGCTTTGAGATATGGGAGGTTTATAAATTTACATTAATCGATTATGGTAATTCATTCAAATATTAACCCTTGCACTAAATGATTAATCAATCAAAATAATGAAATCGCATAGAGTTAATATATTTAACCGTAAAAGAAATAAAATATCTTCTTTTTTATTAAATACTAATTTTGAAAACGTTATAATCGATGTTCGTCCAAAATCGATTAATTGGTGGGTTAGGTAATCATGTTCCCCCTGACCGTGACAACACCCAACTTTTAATAATCTATCATTTTAAAGAAATAAATAAAATCACTGGCATTGCGGAAATATGGGATCATACCTTTAATTCTTGTCCGTTTGAATATTAAGTGTTATTATGATTAATTCACCGATCGGTGCTCTTTATACGGACTTCTGATCTTGTTTAAGCTATACGACCTCTGCTATCATACCGAACATTACATACTCGTAAAATGAGTCGAATAATCCCACTTTTACAAAATATCTTATCTCTTCAAAATTTATAAAATTTGAATCAGTTACAATGTAGCTGATGAACTGGTATATTAGGACGTCCGAAAAAGTTGATCAAGCCATGGTTAACACACAATAAGGTGATGCTGTGTGTATTGAGGGATTATAAGGGCATCTCTACTGTTAACAGCTGTAGAGAATCAAACATGAAATGGAGACAAACCGGATGGAATTGTTAAATAAATGGGTGTGGCCTTTCATCATGATAACGCTTTTCTCCAATCAACAAAACTTGAAAGAGTTTTGTTGAGAAATGTTAATTATATAGCCCTGACCCTCAGATTTCGGTCTCTTCAAAATTCTTTGGGTAGTGTTAGTTTAACATCAAGAGAGAACTGTTAAAACTGATTGTTGCATTTTTATAGAAGCCCCAAAATTTCTTCAGCAACGGGATAATTTCACTACCTACAAGATCACAACAAGATATCGAACAAAACGGCACATGTAAAAAAATCATGAGTTAGTTTATAAAATTCGGAGAAACTTTTCCCCCACCTAATATAAGCTTTCTAATCCTTGTATTACCTTCAGTACTTCTATTACATAAAAAATACGATAAAACTAAGCCTCTTACGTTAATTTAACACAAGCTATGTGAAATACGATTATCTTAACAAATTCAATGAACTTTATTTTTATCAGGATCATTTAATAACTCAAATAAGATAATTAAAGGATACAATTGAGTTGAAATCATTATGCCCTTAATGTGCACACAGCAATGTAGCAGCATTTTAAATAACGTTCCCATCGTATTGGTATTATAAACGTAAAGTCCACCCGTCGCGACCGTTGAAAAACAGGCTGTGTAAAGCGTTCGAACATGTCCCGAGGGGCGCCATAATTGCTTTATTATAGTGCCGGAACAACTCGTCGATTTCGCGGCAGCCGATCACGCAGAGCTTTCACTCAACACGGCCAATGGCAAATATGTTTTTTTTATAAAGAAGGCGGCAAACGATGAAGATTTCGACTTATGTGATAACCGCCGATAGGTATCCACAATATCGAGCATATTGTAGCAGGCAGCTGAGCTAATTTTTACGAGTCCAAGCCCCAACTACGTCAGACCTTAAACAAAAGCATATACATTTCTGCTTTACTTCGTTATTCTTTGAGACCTATCCGTGTCTTAGTCGTCTACCGAGCAACAACAGAATCTGGCGGCTCCGCGAGGCCATAAGTATTATATGGCCTTTGATATGTTAAAAGAAAGGCCTTTGATTATGAATAAAAAAAATTATTCATAATGAAAGGCCTATTGATATAGTAAATTAAGTTTTATGTGAATTAGTACTTGTGCTAATAATTGCAATTTGTGGTCGACTACAGACTTTCGGTTTTTGTATTTTACTTTTTGTATTTTAATCAAATGTTATGTATCCAATAAAAAAGTCCTAAATGGTTTTAATATGAACGCCATTCATCATTTGAGACACAAAAGGTATCAGTGGTCTGGGGTCCAACCATTAGAAGTTATAAGCCATGTCGATTCCCAATGCATATATAAATGAGTTTTAGTTTTTTGGATTTTACCAGTGGTTAAATCTCCGCCTCATATTTGTGTCTCGGGTTAAAAGTCATTGTCTGTTATGTTTTTGATTCAATATTGATTAAGCCATCTATTAAAAATTGATAGTTTTATATATAGTACCCGGAGCTTTGCTCGGTTTGTTTTTTTTTTTTGGTAAATCGTGTATTTTGGAAATTACATTTAGATACAAATTACTGAGTAATGAAATATGAAAAATATTTTTCGATCTTACCGACGTAATAATAAGAAAATATGAACTGATGTTTTTCACAAAAGAAAGAACTTTTTAAAAAAAGGGGAAAAATAAGAAAATAACAAATCGATAAAAAATAAAAAATAAAGAAAGCAATGATCTGGAATCGGAAAAAAGTAAAAAAATAAATGTGTAAATGATCGTGACGCGAACCACACCTATGTTTCATCATCATCATCATTATCAGAGGTAACATGATCCTGAATCTACTTCTCTAGAAACCCTTCTTACCTGTAATGAAAAGTTTCTAGAAAAGACGAGTAGCAGCCTCGTATTGGCCATCGCACTGTAGACGGAGTCCATGTATAAAATAAGGTTACGTGATGTATCTTGAAGACTATGGCAGTTTTATCTGTCTGGTTTCAGAAACGTTAAGAAAAATTTGTGTTAGGGATTCGCCTGCGGCCTCAAAAGCTCATTGTCATTTTTCGGCGCGCGTTAATGCCTTCGAACAAAAGCTTCTATCGATCTGATCTATTATTCTTCGGCTAATTGCCAACAATTGTTTGTCGTTCGTTGGCTCGAGATGTTTTGACTAACGCGCTTTGATTTGCCACTTGAAGTTTCTATTGTTACCCGTGTTATTGAGTCGGAGAAATTCAAAATGTAAGACAACAGATTACGTGAGATCTCTTATTTGTGATCACGCAAAAGAGGCATTTCATATTTTGTAAATTACGAAATTGATATTAAAATAGAGGACGCCTGGAGAAATATACCTATCTTGCTGTAACTATATTATTTGCCTAACTATAATATATATACACCCAATAATCCAGCGTTTCACAACAGCGCGATTTTTAAGGTACTTTGTGCCTCGTACAACCACTTTGTGGAATCAGCTGTCGCCGGCGGCCTTTCCGAACCGTTACAACCTGGTAACGTTCAAGATGAGAGCATTATTTCCTGAAAGGCAGTAAGCGCATTTGTAAGCCCTCTGGTGTTCGAGATGTTCGTGGGCGGCGGTGATCACTTTCGGTCCGATGAGCCTCCTGCCCGTATGCCCTTTTTCCATAAAAAAAGATAATGTATCAAACATAATAGTTAAATTGTAGTTGTAAAAGATGTCAATACAATAATATCCAGTAAATAATTCATGCAAAAAGTAACTGAGGTTTGAAATCATCTTAATATTGCCCTCTGTCAAAAGATGTTACGCTCAATATT